CGTCTGAGGCCTGCATCACCTCGGGCTTTCCTCCCACATTAAGCTGACACGCCGTGATATGACTGGAATACTGTTAAAAATCGGCGTTAAACCCAACTCACTCACTCACTCACTCACTCACTCACTCACTCATATCAATCACTGGTTTGTCTGGTTCAGATGATTATGTACAGACTGCAGTCGCGTAGCCGGGATATTACTGAGTGTGGCGCTGAACAACAAACAAAACATCGAAATCATGGTGGGACTTCGACTTAACGTGACTTGTTTAACGTTTTAGTACTTCGATATTCGTTATGGTATTCGAATTAATGTGATGGTACTTCGATAAACGTCATGACATTCAACTTAACGTAATGGTACTTCACTAAACGTTATGGTGTTCGACTTAACGTGATGGTACTTCAATAAACGTCATGGTGTTCGACTTAACGTGATGGTACTTCACTAAACGTCATGGTGTTCGACTTAACGTGGTGGTACTTCACTAAACGTTATGGTGTTCGATTTAACGTGATGGTACTTCAATAAACGTCATGGTGTTCGACTTAACGTGATGGTTCTTCACTAAAGGTCATGGTGTTCGACCTAACGTGATGGTACTTCAATAAACGTCATGGTGTTCGACTTAACGTGATGGTTCTTCACTAAAGGTCATGGTGTTCGACCTAACGTGATGGTACTTCACTAAACGTCATGGTGTTTGACCTAACGTGATGGTACTTCACTAAAATTCATGGTGTTCCACTTAACGTGGTGGTACTTCACTTAAAGTCATGGTGTTCCACTTAACGTGATGGTACTTCAATAAACTTCATGGTGTTCGACTTAACGTGATGGTACTTCACTAAACGTTATGGTGTTCGACTTAACGTGATGGTACTTCAATAAACGTCATGGTGTTCGACTTAACGTGATGGTTCTTCACTAAAGGTCACGGTGTTCGACCTAACGTGATGGTACTTCAATAAACGTCATGGTGTTCGACTTAACGTGATGGTTCTTCACTAAAGGTCATGGTGTTCGACTTAACGTGATGGTACTTCACTAAACGTTATGGTGTCCGACCTAACGTGATGGTACTTCACTAAAAATCATGGTGTTCGACTTAACGTGATGGAACTTCACTAAATGTTATGGTGTTCGAGTTAACGTGATGGTACTTCACTAAACGTTATGGTGTTTGACTTAACGTGATGGTACTTCAATAAACGTCATGGTGTTCGACTTGACGTGATGGTACTTCACTAAACGTTTTGGTGTTCGACTTAACGTGATGGTATTTCACTAAAAGTCATGGTATTCAACTTAAAGTGATGGTACTTCAATATACGTCATGGTGTTCGACTTTACGTGATGGTACTTCGCTAAACGTTCTGGTGTTCGACTTAACGTGATGGTACTTCACTAAAAGTCATGTTGTTCCACTTAACGTGGTGGTACTTCACTTAAAGTCATGGTGTTCGACTTAACGTGATGGTACTTCAATATACGTCATGGTGTTCGACTTAACGTGATGGTACTTCACTTAACGTTATGGTGTTCGACTTAACGTGATGGTACTTAACTAAACGTTATGGTGTTCGACTTAACGTGAAGATAACTTGGTAAATCGTGGTTGTACTTCAACTAATCGACTTAACATAATCATACTTCGACTTACTGCGATGACAAATAATTTCAACATAATGTAAGGATACTTTCATATTTTGTGACGGTTCTTCACCATAACGCAATACTTCAACAAAACATGACACTCTGATACATTCCACTAACCAGATACTTCGCCATAACGTAATACTTTGACAAAACATGACACTCTAATACACTCCACTAACCAGATACTTCGCCATAACACAATACTTCGACAAAACATGACACTCTGATATACTCCACTAACCAGATACTTCGCCATAACGCAATACTTCGACAAAACATGACACTCTGATACACTCCACTAACCAGATACTTCGCCATAGCGTAATACTTCAACAAAACATGACACTCTGATATACTCCACTAACCAGATGCTTCGCCATAACGTTATTCTTCGACAAAACATGACACTCTGATACACTCCACTAACCAGATACTTCGCCATAACGTAATACTTCGACAAAACATGACGCTCTGATATACTCCACTAACCAGATACTTCGTCATAACGCAATACTTCGACAAAACATGACACTCTGATAACTCTGATACCCGATACTTCGACATAAGGTAATACTTCGACCAAACGGGATACTCCTACATAACTTGATACTTCGACTTAACGAGAGTAAACTCATGCTTGATGGCGTATGAGTGACTGACTTAAGGTGAAGGTAAAACAAAACACAAATATAATAACTCGACTTGATAACTACAAAGCAACCTAACCGTTACACACAAACAATCGCCCCTTGCATTTGAAGCATTCGAATCGCCTACATCTCGGATAATACATCCCAAACTATAGAGCACGCCATGCATTTACACCACGCCAACACTTTGTCCCCTGAAAGCCCCGCCTTTGTCCCCTGCTGCCGGACGCCGGACATAACCACAATACGCCACAGATTGTGTATGTCCCAGCAATGGGGAGCGTGGAGCCAGTGTTGATGCATCAATCAGAGGAGCATAATCAAATGCAGATCGATAGTCAGTTAATGTGGAACCTCTGGGTATGTATCTGCCATTAATATGGAACGACTCAAACAACACGAGGTTAGATTGCAGACACTTTGCACAGGACGGCCAGGGCAGGAGGTGTACTGTACCGACAGAGTAATGGTACGTGTTCTCTAGTTTGTTCATCAAGTTATGGTGCGAGGTATAAGTGACGTTAATTTGTTTTAATGACTTTATAATTTATCATAAATGATATTTTGAAACTGATTCTGGTATATGAGCCGGAAGTCATCCACAATGCGACAAACAATTGTTTCTATGTTATACATTTCCAGATTTGTGTTTAAAAGGGAAATGGTATAGTTTTTGTGTGGATCGTTCTAAAGTTTTGCTTCCAAAATTTGAACTATATTCAATGAAAATAACTTCAAAACTTCCATTGAAACATGTCTTCTATGACAAATTATTGGGGGGGTTTCTGTTCTAGCGTCTTAAGCGTTAAACATTTATCTATAACAATGCCTCTCCAGGAAGGACGAAAATACACAATATACACAGTCAATATTTGTATGGCATGTACTGTTACTTAGATACGAATTGTTTAAAAATGATCGAAATTGAGTAACATATGATACCAAATCAGTGTGTTGGATTTAACTCAGCCTTTAACAATGTTATGGTATATATCACGGCAAGTCATCTTTCAGCCCAGGGAGACGCAATACGCAAATGTTTACCACTTTGGAAAGAATGCTGAAAAATTAGTATTCGAGGGCCATCTGGGTTTCGAACTCACGACCAACACGATGCCATACGACACCGTAGGCCACTAATTTCCGAGGGTAATGCACCGGGAGCGGTCTTTGGCCTGGCTCCGGGATCATGAAAATAACTTAAGTCCATATTTAGTCTTAACTCTTCAGATTTAGACTTCAGACCACTGTTGTCTTAAATCGGAGATCACGAAGCTCAACCTATGAAAATATCTTAAGTCTAAGACAATATTTGAGCGAAGATCACTTTCATGATCCCGGGGTCCGGTAGTGGAGGTTGGATGTTCAGCTAAACAATAGTAAACATTGACAGACACAAGTGTTGGTATAGGAACTGCTCATTAGAAATATTAAATAATAATCAAATCAAATAATGATAACATATAATATGTGTAATCGATGGAATAATGCCTATTTCATTGCTACATTTGCAGTGTCCTTGGTTCATATACCTGATTGGACTTCAGGTCGTAGGTAAGTTTCCTTGTGCTCATTTAACATAATGTGTGTCCATGACCTTGGGAGCACCTCCACATCATCCGAGAAACTCAAACCAAACAGACCCGTGAAGATCCGGGGTAGAATAGGTCTTCAGGAACCAATGCTTGCCGTAAAATGCAACTATGCTTGTCGTAAGAGGCGATCGACTTACGGGATCGGGTGGTCAGGCTCGCTGACTTGGTTGATGCATGTCATCGTATCCCAATTGCGTGGATCGATGCTCGTGATGCCAATTTCTGGATTGTCATGTCCAGACTCGATTATTTACAGATACATAGCTGGAATTTTGCTGAGTGCGGCGTTTAACAACAAACAAACAAACCAAACATCGACCAAGAACCATATACACCATATCATACAATTACCGTGTACAGAAATCTTTAGACAGTAATATGTTGTGATATGTCCGTTGTATGTTTTTTTGATACAGCTCTTTTACATAGTTTTTAGACCAGTTCGTAATATATATATTAAGTTCGAAATGATTCTGGAAGTAGTAGTAAGAAACTGTTCAAATGTATGCATCATGTATATTTGCCATCAAAAGTGACTCTCGACGCTTTAATATTAAATTGGTATTGGAAATCATAAACTGCCGGGCAAAAGAAAGACAATTGGATTTAACCAGAACATTTCAGACGTTAACAAAACATTACCATGCTGACAAATGTAAGGCTCAAAACACAACTATTGTACCCGTATCAAATAGATTACTTTGAGACCCATGAAGATCCGGGATAGAATAGGTATTCAGCAACCCATGCTTGCCATAAAAGGCGACTATGCTTGTCGTAAAAGGCGACTAACGGGATCGGGTGGTCAGGCTCGCTGACTTGGTTGATGCAGGTCATCGGTCCCAATTGCGTGGATCGATGCTCATGATATCATTAACTGGATTGTCTGGTTCAGACTCTATCATTTTACAGACCGCCGTCATAAAGCCGGAATATTGCTGAGTGCGGCGTAAAACAACACACCAAACCACCAAAACATTACTTTGAACAACCGTTTTTTGTTTGCTTCATTTTTAGCTACCATCAAACATGGGTGTATTCTTTCTTTTGCCCGGCAGTTTTGTCGGCTTATTCCCTAGCTTCATGAAACATCAAGATGATCTTTGTCACTGAGCTGAGCCGCTTGAAATCATTTTATGGATCTTTTCGTTTTAATCGCATTTCAGATTGTTTCTTGTTTGATCAGCGTGGAGAGCGATATGTCCTTACGTTCTTCGAGGCTGAGAACAGAAACATCCTAATATTGATAAATGGGCACTACAACACTGCTGTGACCGTTACCTATCAATCAAACGTCGACTACTACGACCTTGGCGTCACCGGTTCTGTGACCTTCACCCTAAACGACACCGTGTGCTACAGCAGTTTTAACAACGTGCAAGAAAACAAATCCACGGTGATTGTCTCCAGCGCTCCCATCACAGTCTATGTCTTTAACAGCGGTGTTAACTCAGTCGGAGGGTACTTGGCGATACCAACTGACAAACTTTCCACGAAGTATTTTCTGGTTGGTCCCGATTCTACATCTGATGCACCAATTAAGTGGGCGGTCGTGTCTACGGAAGATGACAACGCAATTACATTCAATCTGAAGGATTGCAACATGTCCACGTGTGTAAATCACCCCATGACGTTAACCTTGAACAAAAATGACGTCTTTGGGGCCAATTGCCACTATGACATAAGCGGAAGTGTTATCAAAGCTAACAAGTCTATTGCTGTTTTCACGAACACGCTTTTGTCACAAGAAGATATGCTTCTTCCTGTTAAGTATTATGGAAGGAATTTCGTGTTGCATAACTTTGCGAACTGGCCAAGTGGTATAACTTATAAAATCGTGGCCTCTGAAAATAATACAACTGTTAGCGTTAAGCCAGGCAGTGACACAGCGATGACAGAGGGGGGCGTAGTCACATTTGATACACACACCATGGATGAATCGTGTCTTCAAGCCAATAAACCCGTTCTTGTTCTGGCATATCCGACGGGAAGTACACTAAATGGACAGACGTTCATGGTCCAAGCACAACCCATTGAACGTTACGTCAACATATTCAGGTTTGACCTTGGTAGTTTCATGACTACGCAATTGGATTTGTACTTGACCTTGACCTTTCACGAGCGCCATTATTCCGAGTTACCACCAGCTCTACAAGCTATGGCGTCAACGATGACTTGTTGTAAATACATGACTGTGACGACGCATCTCAGTGAGGTTGACCACAACACAGTTGTATCGTTCCCAGTTGGTGCTGTTGTGTACGGAGCAGACAACGCTGGAGTTGCCATGCCACTTGGAATGCAGTTCGGTAAGAAGAGATTTTCGATAATTATACTTTTTCATTTTAAATCATATCGGAAAGTATATATTTATATACAATAACTTGGTCCTACAGCATTTATGGAAACAATCTCGTTAAAATCAGATTACTGCTTTTACTCCAGTACTTTTCTTACCTGCGTGAATATCAAGTTAATTTTCTAGTGAACCAATTTGCGATGAGGCCTCTAATTTCTCGGGCGATCATATCTGATTTCTGTATCTCTAAATGAAACATTAATGGACAGTTCCAATGCGAAAAAACTGAAGTCAGCTCTGTGATATTATTGTGGCTATTTTATACACCCTTTCTGAGTGCAATGGCATCTACACCCGACACAGTGTAAAGTCGAGGGTGTACGTGTCTTGTATGTGGGCTTTCCGAATCAAAGTAGTACAAGAAATGAAGCCGGATAATTTGAGAATGATGACATCTGAGTGTTTGTGAAGGGTTTTTTTTTTGTTTAAGGGAGAATGTATTTTCATACAGCGCTTCAAAACACATATATTTGGCTATGAAAGGAGGGACCAACCTGTTTTATTTTCAAAAACACATTCCCCTTCGAATATCAAACAGTCTGACCCTTAGATCCAGCGATTGTCTTCTCAGCACGAATGTTAGCCATAAAGGTCGTTATGGTAGGATCCTTTGGCTTTCAACGTTGCAAAGCTACTGCGGCAGCTGTCTGAAATGTTTGGAGTCTAACTATGATGCTGGAATGCCTGGATCCCACTGAAGACTTCCTCCTGGTGGTCCTTTAAAGCAGAGATGACGTCATCGTCATTTGCATAATGCTTGCCAGACAGTTCTCTTTCTTCAACATTGGGAAAAGGGGGAAATCTGACGGTGCCAAATCTGGTGAATAGGGAGTATGTTCAATCGTAAAGTGTCCCACGCCATTGTCCTGTGCATTGTCTCCCCCCCCCCCCCCCCCCCCCCCCCATCTCTCTCTGTGTGTGTGGATTTTTCAGGATTTGTCTGGGCTCCATTTGAAATTTATTCTTTTTATTTAAATTGTAGATATAAAATTTTCTTTCTGGGACTAAATGTCAGCCTTACATAATCGGGGCGAACCGGTATTCGAACCCACGAGCCAAGAGACGCAACTCTGAACAGCGAATTGCGGCGCCTTGGATGACCGTCCTCCCCACAGTTAATTCGGCAGTCATGGTAGTAGCCGTATAAAATATGATGAAAGACTTCAGTCTTGTGTAGTGCATACGTGTATTAATACGTAATACTAGTACTTTGGACCATCGTCTATGCAATAAAGTATCAATGTTCTATGTTTCAGGTGCCAACGAGTGTCCAATGCATATGACTTTCATACCCGAGACGCGCACGTGCATTTTCTACCCCGATGTGGGTTCGTTTACCTGGTCAAATGCACTTGACTTCTGTGGTGAGCTTGGACTTCAACTTCCCCACCTCGACACCTCCGAAAAGAACACGCTCATAAGAGAGCTGTATGCAACAGTGCGTAAGTAATTTATTCGCAAAAATAGGACTACCTGCGGCCCATTTATTCCATAAAAATAAAAATTCGGTAATGGTACCCGACGGCCAAAAAGGTTTTTCAAGCTTCTTCCCAGTGCGTCACACCTTCCTTACACTCTCGGCAATATGGCTGCCACCAATGTGGGGGCGGCCATTACAAGAATCTTTAAATTTGCACTCTAACCCTAAATGTAGTTATGATTATACTTTTGTTTATGTCTTTGGGAATGTCATCATAGTGAATCTTGAAAAGGTTTACGACTGACCATATATCCCAGATGACTTTACCTTTTTGTGTGTTTGGTCAGATTCGTTCGAGATTGCAGACGAACGGACAATCAACCAACTTCCCCCTTACATTCTTACTATATTAATTACATGATAGTTGTAATGAAACCTAAACTCAAATTGACAAACAAAGAAAATTATTTAGCAGGGGTAAGAGTATTCGGCGTCACGGCAGCCATCACTTGTTTGTAAACATGACGGTCAGTCGGCTGCGAATTCAACTCCAAGCATCGTTGAAGCCACCTATCACAGTGGGGAGCTTTGACTGGTGGCAGCGATGGTAAAGAGAGCTCTGCGAATGAGATATCGCTGTGAGGAGCTTGGGTTTTTTTAGTGGGCGGGGGGAGGGGGTATAATTTGGAGCAACATTCCAGTCAACATCAAGTGCCAAAGATATCAACCAATTTAAGGGACTGTTAAAAGCCTATTTGTTCCATTCCGCTAAAAACTCTCACTGAACTCTCTTTGACCCCAAGATTCATGCAAAATCACCTATGGGCAGATCTAACCTGGCAATTTGCACGATATTACATATATCAGAACTTTCAAAATATATATACAGTAAACTACGGTTATAACGAACTCATAGGGACTTCTAATTTTAGTTCGTTATAACCGTAGTTCGTTATAAGTATATATACAGCATAACTACAGCAAATAGTCGGGACCAAAAAAGTAAGTTCGTTATATCTGTCAGTTCGTTATAAGCGTGTTCGTTATAACCGTAGTTTACTGTATTGAAAGTTGAAATCATTCACGTATTTTATGCATGAAAAATGTACGGAATATTGAAAGCAATGATTGTGTTTCGCATTGACTCGGATTCATTCACTGATGTTTTTATGCATATAAGATTCGTTTCATTGCAGCAAGGTCCTTTTTTATCGGAGCTAATGACGTGGATGCTGACGGAGTGTTAACCTGGCAGGATGGCGAGGCGGTCAACTACACCAATTGGGGGTCGGGGTTTGACCCCGAGTCGTCGTTGGTGAATGCGTGTGTGGTGCTGCAGCGGGCAGATGACCACATGTGGGCCGCCAGGCAGTGCGACATTTCCCGCAGGATTCTGTGTCAGCTCGTCCTGACCCCCCTCGTCCCGAGTGAAGACTTCGCCTGTACTCGCGACCCGACAGGTGAGGCATTCAGTGGAAAGCGGTTAACACTAAGAATCATCTTTAAGATCAAGTTCCGATTGTGGTGCTAATGTCATATTTTTGTTTGTTCTTGTTCAACGCCGCACTCAGCAATTTTACAGCTATATGACGGTGTTCTGTAATTAATGGAGTCTGGACCAGACAACCTAGTGATTGACATCATGAGCACCGATCCACGCAATTGGGATACGATGACATGCATCGACCAAGCCGAGTCGCCTCTTACGACAAGTATGTGTTGCTGAAGACCAATTCTAACCAATTCTTCACGCGGGCGGTGGTGCTAATATCAATTGAGAAATGAAAGTAGGGGCCGAGCATTATATTTTCAATGAAGATTATCAAATCGTTTTGTTCATAAGTTTTTATCTGAAAACGACGGCAAAGACTGACCAAAACATAATTCCTACCGATTACGATTTTCAAATAGTTTTCAGATTCTTTCTCAAGACTAAGGCAAGGACTGACCGAAAAATAATTCGCATCCATAATACTCTGCATTAATCTGGCAGTGTAGTATTGTTATCTAAAGGTTTATCGAATGTATTTTGCTAATTCCATATGGGTTATCGAGAGAAAAACACACATTCAAAATGAAAGTGTCTATATTATGATTTGACCCCGCGGGGATTCCTAAGCAGAATAGGACCTCACACTTTTCGTAAGAGCCTACAAACGAGGATCGGGTGTATATATATGCCATTTGACTGATCGTATGTCGTCGTACCCAACCAGCCTGGCCCACATTTGCAGGCCATTATTACATGGATTAAATATTTACTCACGACGCATATATATGATGTGACCCGTGAAGATCCGGGGTAGAGTAGGTCTTCAGCAACCCATGCTTGTCGTAAAATGTGACTATGTTTGTCGTAAAAGGCGACTAACGGGATCGGATGGTCAGGCTCGCTGACTTGGTTGATGCATGTCATCATATCCAAATTGCGTGATCGATGCTCAAGATGTCAACCACTGGATTGTCTGATCTGACTCGATTATTCACAGACCGCCGTCATATAGCTGAAATATTGCTGAGTGCGGCGTTAAACAAACAAACAAACAAATTTATGGTGTTTTAAAAAAAAAAAAATTTAAGACGTCACAATGTGCCAAGAAAAGGTGAAAAATCTCCCATTTTACTTCAGAGTCTCCGTTCCTGTCTACAACAACGCTTGAGATGCCTTCTATAGTACCATCTAGTGTTCTAACGTACAGTTCCCCAAGCGTGCCAAGCCACGTGACCGGAAGTGGGATAGGCACGCCATCTAGCGGTGGACCTAAACCTTCCATTCTAGAAGCAAGTAGAAGCAGCATATCACCAACCCAATCTTCGTCTCAAACACCTACAGCCCAGTTTCCGTCAAACGAAACAAGCTCCTATGCCATGGGGACATTCCAACAAATATCAATGATGTCATCGCCTTATTTCCTGTCGTCGTATACGGGTCAAATATATCCCGCCAGTACGTTCGTCTCTGGCAAATGCGACTGCACGTGTTCGTCTATTCGTGAAATGACGAAATCCGAGTTAAAGGAAATCGTACAGCGAATTAAACGTTATTTAACGATTGAAAAGAAGAATCTGACCAATCGTATTGGACGTTACACAAGTAGGACCGATGGGCGGCAAAGCGCGGCAAATATTGGTTTCATTGGAATCACTTTTCTAGTTCTCACTGTGCTTTTTGTAATAGTTTTAGATTTTTCGACCTTAGTACAGGGATTGTCTGCCCTACACCGACACGGGGGTAAAAAAAGAACTGCATTTATTTTGAAGTAGTGAGTTCGTTTACTAACATATCGGTTAGGGGGGAAGAAATGCCAAAATGATCCAGCTCAATTACGCTTACCACTTTTATTAAACCTAAAGGATGGGTATACTGCTGATTCATTCTCACTATCAGTGGATCCTACCACGGCTAAGGGACGTAATCCTTCACACAGAATTACTACACGTTTGGCCGTCTCCCTGTTTCAACATTACGAGACATATCTGGGACAATATTCATATAAGTTAGCCGACTGATGTATCCATATTTACTTCTGGTTAATGTCTCGCATAATAAACTGAGACTATTCCTCTCGGTTGATTTTATCATTTGTTTGAATTTCAATTGAAAATATGCTAAGTTATCGATATTATATCAAAAAAGTGAACTGTACTGCTGCTACTCAGCACTCAAAGAATACTTCAACATGATTTTATTTTTTTTAAATATAGTTTGATTTAAAAGTTTTGAAAATTAAAAATAAAAACACCGCAAAACACACAACAGCTGATGGGTATCTTAGACCAGAGACCATATAATAATCTATTATATGGTCTCTGCTTAGACATAATATATTTGAAAATCAATAAATCTGCGTTCTTCGGCACAAATGTATTTCCAACATGGAAGGGGTTATTGTAGAAATAGTTTTGTTTAAATATGAAACTTATATCTAATTCATAATAAAAATGTAAATTCGCCTGTCTTTACCGTATTCACAGTTAACTATCCCGATCACATTTCAGGAAACTTGGACATTTTTTTCAGATATGTGGTACCCATAGTTAAAAAATTGCCAAATGCAAAAACAATATCAAAATTTTAAAATGTTTTTGAATGATTTTCTTGTTTAATTTCGTGCACAGAGACAGCGTAGTTGAAACAGGCTTCAAGTTTTAAATGCGATCTATTGAGTCAACTTTCTGAAAAAAAATCAAAAGTAAAGTCACATGGACATGTAATTCTTACCTCGTAGGCACATGGCGTTACCCTGATTCCCATTCCGACTGTATCATGAGCAGGTGCTTTTGAATCAATGTCAATCAATCAGTTAACTTTATTCATTCAGTATTTGGGGGCACAGGTGGCCCAGTCGTCTAAGGCGCCGCGATTCGCTGTGCAGAGTTGCGTCCCTTGGGCATGACAGAAACCTATGATTGTGTGTTCGAATCCCGGTTCGCCCCGATTATGTTTCTAGGTTTGTCAGCACCATACCCGTGCTCGTGGGTTTCACCGAAGTGGTAAACGTCTGAGACAAGCATCACTTCGGGCTTTCCTCCCACATTAAGCTGACACGCTGCGATATAATTGGAATACTGTTAAAAGCGGCGTTAAACCCAACTCACTCACTCACTCATTCAGTATTGTAAGCCATAGACCCCTGATACAATGGCAATACACTCAGGTAGTCGGAGACTCAGGGTGCCAGTTTGTTTCTGATACACATTGCATGTACATCGATAGGTTTTTGATTGTGTATTCGTTAAACTACATTAACACATTAAATCATTATCAAATACTGGTGATACCAGGGTTTCGCGAAAAGGGGAGCATATCCTGTTAAGCCTGTGGCACCCGTGACAAATGTGGCAGACACAAGTGTTGACATACATGTTGTATATATGTTTTTATCTATTTGAGGTCATTAAAGTCTGTAATATTATCCATCTTGCACTAGACACAACACCGCTTTAGAAGTCAGTCAACATTTTGGACTTGGATACATCTTTGGATAAATAATTCGATTGTTAAGATTAGTAATCTATGAAATTGCCAGCTAATATCTATGTATGTATTTGTATAATAATATAACTTATGTTTCCTAAGTTATGTGGAATGTCATTTCAGTATCATTAACATGCTTATCTCTGTTATGGTGATTGTGTCACCATATTGTTAAGTTTATAATTAAATAAGGCTAAGTAAACCACTGTAAATGCTTCTCATCATTCTTCTATATATCTGTGTGAATGTTTTAGTGAATGCGTTGAATTTTATATTTGTGTAAATACTGTATTTGTATGCATTGTCAATCAATGTATGATAGTGTGCTGTTATTATGAGTGTGCTGATAGCTGCTTAGCTACAACGCAAGGCGGCTGCCTGGAGACGACAAACACCCCAGTGTCACCCACAGGGTATGGATAATTTACATGTTTTTGTCGTGTCTCGAAATATATTTTGTAAATATTGTATCATGCCAAATATATGATCAGTTAATAAATAAATATAGTAGTTTCAAGAAAATGGTAATTGTATTTGTAATGTTCTTTGTATTTTACAACCACGGACCAGGTTTATATTGTATCGTATAAGTAAAGTCGGGATCGAGTTACCGCCCTTGATTAATCGTTTGTTTACTTTAGGGTTAAGATAACATATCATTGATTATAAAGTTCATGTACATGTTCATGTACAGAATATAGACGTATGTTTATATGATGTTTGTTTATTTGTTTGTTTGTTGTTTAACGTCGCACTCTGCAATATTCCAGCTATTTGACGGCAGTCTGTAAAATAATCGAGTCTGGACCAGACAATCCAGTGATCGACATCATGAGCATCGATACACGCAATTGGGATCGATGACATGTATCAACCAATTCAGCGAGTCTGACCACCCGATCCCGTTAGTCGCCTTTTACGACAAGCATAGTCGCCTTTTACGGCAAGCATGGGTTGCTGAAGACCTATTCTACTCCGGATCTTCACGGGTCTATGTTTATATGAAATGAATGGTCGCTTTGTATTGTATTAATATATATGTGAATGAAACCTGTGTACTACTGTTTTTATGATGTTATTGTTTTGTACATAACAGGGTGTCATTATTTACTATGGCGATAAAAACTCACACCCGTAGCCTGTGTTGGACCTTGTATTTGCCATCACAGACCCCGGTTACACAAACACATGCAAAGGCAACTCAATTGTTCACCTGAACAAACACGGAAACAAATGGTAGAAGTCAAAATAGGGAAACGCATCATTTCTGTCACCGATGCGTCAAACAAGGAGGTACTCAGCGCACACGTCCATCATAAAACGTTTCGAAAGCTTTTCCTGATCAAGCAATTTCTAATTAACGAATGATTACTCCATGGAATACTTCTTTCAAAGTTTCAGTTCGCCCAAACTAGTATGTGAGACTTTGTCCTACATTGCGTACTTGCGTGCTTGCGGCGTACTTGTCGTAAGGAGATAAACGTGTTGACCGCTCGGCCACAAGGTCACACGGTACACTAACCGGTTATCTAATGTTACCCTTGATCCTTGTTGTATAACCCTGAATAGGCATTTCTGAAATTAATTATGTTGACTGAGAGGTGTTTTTGTCAGAGATGTACTAAACGATATCATGCTACTATTATTTGCAAATGACGTAACATTGCTTGATGACATTGTACTAGGCCTACAAAAAAAACTTGATGTGTTAAAATGCTATCGTAACACATTGGGGCCTTGAAGTTAACCTAGAGAAGTCATGTATTGTTGTTTTTTAGAACAACACAGAAGTAATACAGAAAAATCGACTTATGATAGTAAACATATGAACGTAGTACCCCACTATAAATATCTAAAGTATTGTCGAAATGCTAGAAAAAATGCTTTTCTGGCTTCATTTTAATAAATACGAGTCATAGGACTACAAAAAGAGCATATATCGAAATAACGCAAATTGACCTAATCTAGTCTGTCCTAACTGACATTGTGATTACCCTTAAAATGTACTTTTACTGGTAATATGATGATAAACTTAGAAAATATTCGTGTGTTATCATGGTATGTATGAAACGGCCTATAGCCTGAGGTAATGACCTCACACCGTCCCGTGCAATCTCACAGGTGCAAATGTCACCCGAGTTGGGGGTGGTCTCAAAATATTGCTGTTATTGTACTTAATTGACGTGCGTTAATGGGGTAGCAATTTAGGATATGTACTGCATTATATTTGCTTGGAAACATGATGGAATAGTTAAAGGCTATGAATTGGAATGAGTATTGGAAGGTTGAGGTTTTGGAATCAAGAAGTATTTTTGTTCTACAAATGATTTCTTGAGGTAGCATCTATCTCCGCTGATGACGTATATGAATCTGTACTTTTGAATGTTGTGTTAAGTCTTGCGACGAACCCTTTACACTAAGCCGAGATAGGCACAGCAGGGTTGAACTCACGATGTCTGACTGGCCTACGTAAGACAACGTGACCGTGTTGTGCCGCCAGCACATATGTCTTGTACTTTACTGATTTCTTATTCAGACGAATTTTCTCCATGAGTTGAACTTTCGTTTCAGATGGTCTGAAGTCGACAATGTCATATATTCCTGCATTGTCGCCTTCAGACTACTCATGGTACACTACATCTGATTCCCGGAAGTTATATTAACTGGCTTTATCCATGACAATGACACTGACGTTGTTTATAATGGGCAATAGCTGAAGTCCAAACCACTCTATGAACACATCACCTCCTATAATTTCGGGGGCACGGGTGGCCCAGTCGTCTGAGGCGCCGCGATTCGCTGTGCGAGTTGCGTCCCCTGGGCACACCAGAAACCTATGATTGTGGTTTCAAATCCCGTTTCGCCCCAATTATGTTTCTAGGTTTGTCAGCACCATACCCGTGCTCGTGGGTTTCACCGAAGTGGTAAACGTCTGAGACCTGCCACACTTCGGGCTTTCCTCTCACATTAAGCTGAAACACCGCGATATAACTGGAATAATGTTAAAAGCGGCGTTAAACCCAACTCACTCCTTTAATTTCCTTATGGAAATCACTTTCTTTTTCGCCTCGAAAACTAGCACACGTCCATCAATAACCCCATATCATGGGTTGCAGCGTGCAAAACAATGACACGATTAGCTTTACCTGTCTGGTCCAGACTCGATTATTTACAGACCGCCGTCATATAGCTGGAATATTGCTGAGTGCGGCGTAAAACAACCAACCAACCAACCTTCACCTGATGGTACTATGAGTGATTTTTGTCCATCTGCCGATAGCCACATGTAGTCAGTGGAATGATTCATCAAGGTAAATTATCTGGACGCCCTGACTGTGATAGTTATGAATGGTTCGGGGATAATGTGACCTCATAGACAGGATGGAATATTTTCCCCTGAAAACTGCTCGGTTATCGCCACGCGCAGTGTATCGAAATCCCATCTCGTGGTGAGCAAGAGTTAGTACAGTCCTGGAAACATTAACAGTATCTTTAATTTCCTCCCTAATTCTACAACAAGTCAGGTTACCTTCTGCTCATAAAGCTTGTACACTATGCGCCTGATCACATACCGTATTTATCATACCGTAGACTTGATTGTATGAAAAAAAAAACCATAGCTTAGGCGGTTCGGTAATTCACCCTAATTCACTCTAAATTAACTAATGGTTTCCCTCTATCTCTCTTAAGTGTAAAGAACTTGTATACATTTCCCAATACAGACTCCATATCGTGTGCAATGGTTATGGCTATGCAAGTGTAATGTAACATGCATCATGGGAGCAGTGTCGACAAAACAAACGCAGTGTCATTTTGTCATTTTAGAAGATGCACATCTAGAATTTTCTCAAAATGATTTTTGTGTGTGGATTAGATGTTTTATGAAGACTACATTATCATCATAATAACGGCGTCACGTGCGCATAGTTCTATAGTCCATTTCAGACTGCCATCATTGGACTCAGAATAAATGTGAACTTCCTGTTTTCGTTCGAATTTGACGCCTGTACACTTGTCGATAGGACTCCCTGTGACTGAAATACTTCAAACCACTGGTAGGTCGATCGGTAGTTACTCGATATTTAAATAACAACCTGAGTGAAAATTTATATCCTTTTTTAACAGGCAAGATGCATTTTTCTAGCATTTCCGACAGTACTTAAGGTATTGTCTTCACATCCAGATTAATTTGGTCAAATGCGCGTGAAACATAAGGGCTACAAGCTAGAAGGATTTCGTTTCCTATTTTTACCTTATTAAAGGATTTTCCAAATATTTCTCTAAAGGTAGCGTCTACAATAGACGAAGTGGACACTGCGAATTAACCTACTTATGTGTTAATTATTTTAGTCGTTGTATAAAGTAGTGGTGCAGGCTGCAGTATATGGATAGCTATGGATACCCAAAAGCATGTCATGTGTTGAAATCACAGAATGAAAACGGCAGCCACAACTGGGTAACGCATGTTCGTATACTGCTATTAGAAACTGTATGTACGTGTTTTGGGGATGGATGGATGGATGGATGGATGGATAGATTCAGAACTGGCATGCTAAAATTATCTCTTTATCATTTCAAAACCATTATTCTACATGCAAGCCTGTACTCGAACCAGAGAAATATATCAATGAGTTATGACCAAATAAAGATCTTATCCGCATATCATTTAAATTCCGATGTCTGAGCCATAGGTTGGGTTATACAACACTTATGGTACAATGACAAAGTCAATACTTATTTACTGATGTGCAATAAATGTAATCATTATATACCTGAAGATGAATACCATTTCCTTTTAGTTTGTCAATTTTATATGGAAAACAAAGCTCTACATCCCAAGCTTCTATTACACATATCCATCATGTGCAAAATTTAATCAACTAGTAGCAACAAAAATGTTAAGCTTATTACAAATGTTGCTATATATTTGAAAAGAAATATGCCCGTCATGGTAACCAGTGATGTCACAATGGTCTGCAAAGCATTGTGATGTAATTTCAATGCAGCGATATCTACAGTGTAGATATTGCTTGATCTAATCCAGGCATATCTCCTGTGGGAGCCAGTTTTGGATGATAAATGCTTATAACAATCTACGGTTATAACAAACTAAAATTAGTGGTCCCTTTAAGTTTGTTATAACGGTACTTTACTGTATTAAAAATGAAATACATGTGTATTTGTAATAAATGACTTGCTGGAGTGTTTTTAATGTTGATGTCTATATTATATACATAAATAAATGTGTAAAAGAAAACTTGAGGTATTCTACAAATAAATCCTTTTATTCACTTGTTCTGAATCAACACCTTATTTCTGGAATCTGGGTGACACAGAGTTTATGCATCACCGTTAACATCAAATGTGGCAATGGACACTACAAATAGATTTATTTAAGAAATAACCTTTAAACAGTCTGGGAACTATTCAACTCATTCTGCTTCCCATAACTTTTCAGTTACCAATGTTTACATACATTTCAATACCAAAGTTGGAAAGTAATTCTTCAATCCTACCATGACATTATTCCTACAAACACCTCATTGTCTTTGCCAGGATCATGCTCTTCATATATACAAGAATAAGAATGAAAATGGAAATGTTTAAAACAAGCTGCACTCTCTTGGATGATATCAGAACTTCATATTAATCCTAAGAATCATTGATTTATTTTTGAAACATCAGGTCATTCAGAATTCTCCTCAACAATGTTTGTTAAAAAATGATGCTTTTATGGCCAGTAGTGTCTCCCTGCTTCTCACATACACCACAATGGCGACTGTTGTCTTTATGCCGTCACACAATGGAGCAGTGTTGGACAGGCTGTCTGTGTACAGATGCAGGATGGTGGTTATATACACATGCTGATGGGGGAAGGGTTCAGTATCTCTTCTTCTTGAGAATGTCCGGACGCCAGTTGATAGGATGGGACTCCTCTGTCTGAAACACAAGTAAAGTAAGTTGTTGAACAATGGTATCAGTTCCAAGGGAGTTCCGAGTTAGAATAGATCCCCAGGAACCTATGCTGGTCATAAGTGGCAATTTAATTAATTGGGAGGTCAGGATCAGTGACTTGGTGGATTGTGTATCTTTGTACCCCAGTCATGGAGCATTGCCCATGATGTCAATCACTCGATTGTCTGGTCCAGATTTGATTATTCACAGGCAGCCATCATAAAGCTTGAATACGAGGGTCAGGAAGGGGGCGGTACTAGAGGGGGAGGAGGGTGTGGAGGGGCAGGAAGAGGACTGACACAGATGCTACACAGAGGAGGGTGTGGTGGGACAGGAAGAGGACTGACATAGATGCTTCACTGAGGAGGGTGTGGAGGATTCCTAAACAATCGCAAAATTACCGTGGGTATAGACCATACGCTATCGGACCAGTGTCCCCTAGAAAATGGCACTCCCCAGGGCAGCATTCTCAGCCCAACCCTCTTCAATATAATGATAAATGATCTATTCGAGGGCTTATCCCCTAAACTAAACACTTCAAAATTCGCGGATGATGGAGCCCTATGGATCCGCACTAAAAGCATTAAAATGGCAGAAAACTTAATCCAAAAATCTCTAAATAAAATACAACAATGGGCAGACAAATGGGGCTTCTCCCTTAACTCAGATAAAACAACAGGAGTAGTATTCAAACATAAAAACATGAAACCTGCCTACCCAATCCTCCAGCTAAACAACCAAACAATCAAATTCCAAAAACAAACCAAATTCTTAGGACTTATTTTCGATCAACACCTCACCTGGGAGGCTCACGTCCAAAACCTAAAAACTAGATGCAGCAAAGACCTTAACACATTAAGATGTCTCACCGGCTCTAACTGGGGAGCATCCAAAGATACCCTCCTCTCACTATATACAACACTAATTAGATCAAAACTAGACTACGGCTGCGCCATATACAATACCCTAAACCACTCTCTATCTAAAAAACTTGACTCAATCCAATACCAAGCCCTTAAACTAATTACACGCACCCAACATGGCACCTCCTACACCTCACTTCAGGCCCTTACAGGAGAAATGCCACTAAATCTACGCAGGGAACATCTAAGCCTTAATTTCTGGGCCGCGTCCCAAACAAACCCTCTCATCCAAAACCTAATTAACCAAAACATTAGCCCAAGAAACCAAGCTCTAGCTCGCAAACACCCCTTACTCACCCCAATATCCCAAAGAATAACTAACTACCTTAATGAACACCAAACTCAAAATCTTAAACAAAACTGCAAAAAATCAAATATCTACACCCCTAAACTCAAAATACCCCAAATAGACACAACGCTAACTAACCAAATAAATAAACAAACCGACCCAAACATAGCTAAAACAACCACACTTTCATACATACACGAAAATTGGCCAAATTGGTGTCACATATACACTGACGGATCTTCAGACCCGATCTCCAAACACACAGGTTTCGGAGTCCATACCACACAACCAGTTATATCCACACAATCTTACCGACTCCCGAACAACCAATCTATATTCACGGCCGAACTTATGGGCATGGCCTCAGCCCTGCATAACCAACAATCAAAAAACCACAAAAAAAAACTAATTCTCACTGACTCGCTTAATGGACTACAAGCCCTTCAAAACAAAAATACCAAAAAACGACCTAAATTAATAAACCAAATACTTAAAAGCTCCAACGACCTAACAAAAGCAGGCAAACAAATAACCTTCTTGTGGATCCCCGCCCACGTAGGAATTTACGGCAACGAAAGCGCCAATAAAGCAGCTAAATTATCTCTCAAAATACCAGAAATAAGCCTAAACCTACCCATCTCAAAATCAGAAATTAAAAGTGTAAACAAACAAAAAATAACCCAAAAATGGCATAATCAATATCAAAACTCAAATAGCCAAATCAAAAAAGTGCTCAGAAAACCACTAGCCAAACCTAAAATCCTTCACCCCTCTAAAAAAATTGACAGATTAATTACAAAACTCCAAACAGGACACACGAACCTAAATAACCACCTAAAACAACTTAAAAGACACACCACAGGCAACTGCCCCCACTGCAAACAACCCGAAACCACAGAACACGCACTCATCCACTGCACCCACTACCAAACACACAGAACCACACTACAAACCAACCTCAATCTAAATAAGGTTCCTACTCTAGATGAAATACTAAACCCTCAAAATAAACTAGAAAACTTCAAGGCCCTAGGCGTATTCCTAATCAAAACAGGCCTAATTAAGCGCATCTAAAAACTAATTAATCTACCAACCCAAAATCCAATAAACATACAAATACCCACCTCACCCAGCTCCCTTAGTTCCCTCCTCCATCCACCTCGGCATTTATTCCAAATTTTAAAATTTCAAAAATCGATATAAGCAACCCCTAAAATCCCCCTCTTGTGTTGCACACACCACTTTCACCCTCCTCGGAATACACTAAATGGTCTGGCCAGGCCCGTGTGCGAAATACGCTGCAGTCGGAAAGCGCACGTTAAATCTTCTATATCAGTCAGTCAGTCAGTGTGGAGGGGGAGGAAGAGGACTGACACAGATGCTACATGGAGGAGGGTGTGGTGGGTGTGGTGGGACAGGAAGAGGACTGACACAGATGCTTCACTGAGGAGGGTGTGGAGGGGGAGGAAGAGGACTGACACAGATGCTACATGGAGGAAGTTGTTGAGGGTATGGTGGGACAGGAAGAGGACTGACACAGATGCTACATGGAGGAGGGTGTGGAGGGGCAGGAAGAGGACTGACACAGATGCTACATGGAGGAGGGCGAGGAGGGGCAGGAAGAGGACTGACACAGATGCTACATGGAGGAGGGCGAGGAGGGGCAGGAAGAGGACTGATACAGATGCTACATGGAGGAGGGCGAGGAGGGGCAGGAAGAGGACTGACACAGATGCTACATGGAGGGGGAGGAAGAGGACTGATACAGATGCTACATGGTGGAGGGGCAGGAAGAGGACGGACACAGATGCTACATGGAGGAGGGTGTGGAGGGGCAGGAAGAGGACTGATACAGATGCTACGTGGAGGGGGAGGAAGAGGACTGATACAGATGCTACATGGAGGAGGGTGTGGAGGGGCAGGAAGAGGACTGACACAGATGCTACATGGAGGAGGGTGTGGATGGGCAGGAAGAGGACTGACACAGATGCTACATGGAGGAGGGTGTTGAGGGGGAGGAAGAGGACTGACACAGATGCTACATGGAGGAGGGTGTGGAGGGTGAGGAAGAGGACTGATACAGATGTTACATGGAGGAGGGGGAGGAAGAGGACTGACACAAATGCTACATGGAGGAGGGTGTGGAGGGGGAGGAAGAAGACTGACACAAATGCTACATGGAGGAGGGTGTGGAGGGGGAGGAAGAAGACTGACACAAATGCTACATGGGGGAGGGTGTGGAGGGGCAGGAAGAGGACTGATACAGATGCTACATGGAGGAGGGTGTGGAGGGGCAGGAAGAGGACTGATACAGATGCTACATGGAGGAGGGTGTGGAGGGGGAGGAAGAGGACTGATACAGATGCTACATGGAGGAGGGTGCGGAGGGGCAGGAAGAGGATTGACACAGATGCTACATGGAGGAGGGTGCGGAGGGGCAGGAAGAGGATTGACACAGATGCTACATGGAGGAGGGTGCGGAGGGGCAGGAAGAGGACTGACACAGATGCTACATGGAGGAGGGTGCGGAGGGGCAGGAAGAGGATTGACACAGATGCTACATGGAGGAGGGTGCGGAGGGGCAGGAAGAGGACTGACACAGATGCTACATGGAGGAGGGTGCGGAGGGGCAGGAAGAGGACTGATACAGATGCTACATGGAGGAGGGTGCGGAGGGGCAGGAAGAGGATTGACACAGATGCTACATGGAGGAGGGTGTGGAGGGGGAGGAAGAGGACTGACACAGATGCTACATGGAGGAGGGTGTTGAGGGGCAGGATGAGGACTGATACAGATGCTACATACCGCTGAGTCATCCTCCTTGTAGATCTTAATGGTCTTGTCAGCCTCTGCAGTGATGAGCCGTGTTCCGCTGTTGTCAAACTGGACTGCAAATATGCCGGCCTCAGAGTCGATGGAGCCAGGTTGTACGGCAGCCTGAAGACGCTGGAAGTTGTAGCCAGTCCGCCAGTCCCAGAAGTGCATTGTACCATTGTCAGCTGAAACACACAGTACACTCATGTGGACAGGAGAAACGCATTTATACAAATAAATAAATTGAAAATAGAACCAAAAATAGGAGACTGAAAGAGGGCTAGAGATTATAGGGCTAGTTGCCTCAAACAGTTTGGGCACAGATTATGCTAAAGGTACAGAGTGCTAATTAATAATAGCGAATCAGAGTATTCCACTTATATATAAATGTATCCTGACACAACAGGTAATGACTGCCCGCCCATCCATCCCCTCAAAGACTTTTGTCAACGCTTCCTTTGCTTGCTCATATCAGTGCAGGACTTGGGTGCAGGCGCCTGCAGCTACGTCCTCTGCAGATCTTTCTCCAGCTTGATTGGAGAGCTCTACCTCCAGTGGTGGACCCCCGAGTCGAACATCTACGTAGAGGTTTCTTTGATCGACGTCGATCCAACTCATCGTCTCTTCGTGGATGCATCGAACGAGGGGTGGGGGCCCATCTCAGGAACCTCTGGGCTTCCTGACTGGACCGCCCCGTTTCTCACTTGGCACATCAACAGCCTAGAGTTTCAGGCAGCTCTGTTTACCATTCAAACATTCAGATCTTCGTCTCATGATGGACAATATCACAGTCGCTCATTTGATCAGCTGGGATCCACTTCCTCCCCTAGTCTCCTGGATCTCACATTTGCATTCTGCAGTCTCACTGACAATATCCCGTTGGAGGCAAGAGCCCGTCACAATCCGGACGTCTCCAACATTCTCGCCGACTCTCTCTCTCTCTCTCTCTCGCCCCAGTCAATGGCAGCTGAACCCAGAAGCTTTTCAGACGATTTGCCAGCGTTTCGGCCACCCACACATCAACTTGTTTGACACATGCTACACCCAGCATTTTCCAACATTCATATCATTGATACCAAAAGATCTGGCTTGGGATCACGACGCTCTCATGATCGTATATATGTACGCATTTCCAATATCTGCCTGTTGAGGACGTGGACAGGCACCATCAGCTGGGTCGTCTCGTCTTCGCCCAACAACTCATCGCACCTCCACGTCACCATTGACAAGAGGGGACCAAAGCGACTGCCATCAAGGACGCCTATACAAGGACTCCTGCATGTTTTCTCCTTCTTTCTACAGAATGATTGCCCTAACTCCGAGGGTGCTACGTATCGTGAGGGCAACTACAGTTCCTGATCTTTTGAGTACCTCCAGTTCAACAATGTTTTAGACCCAGCCTTGTATGTAATCAGGCACAGTGGATGTATAAGGTGAATAGTGAGGTTGAACACACCCATTGGTTGAACACACCAAGTGGCATTCTTGTCACGTCGAAGCTCTGGACCGACCACCAAATCGCAAAAGGGAATTGATCCAACCTGCCGTCTTACTGTGTTATAATTGCATACTGTTGTGGAGGGATAAGTTCAAAAATAATTTCAACTGATTAAAGTTAATAAAATAACTCAACGAATATGTTTCTTTGTTTTTAACGCCACACTCAGCAATATTCAAGCTACATGCCAGCGGTCTGTAAACAATCGAGGCTGGACCAGACAATCCAGTGACTGACATCATGAGCTTCAATCCACACAAATGGGATATGATGATATGCAATCAACACAGTCACCAAGCCTGACCGACTCTTACAACAAGTATAGGTAGCCGGGGACCTACATTCTTGCTGTTTCTTAACATTAACTCATTCACACATGTGTGGATATTATTACAAACCTGCTGAAACGAGGATGTTGTCCGAGTTGACTGCCAGACTGTTCACAATGGCATTGTGTCCGGACAGATTCTGTATGAAGTTACCGTCAGGGAACTTCCACTGCTTGATGTTGTCCGGGGATGCTGATGCGAAGGTGTACCTGCAGGCAGTTCAACACGTTCAAGGCATGTCCATCGTGAGCTTCATCAAAACAAGTGCTCCATATCTCATGCAAATCACCCATGGGAAGTGAGTTGGCCATTGTTGTCAAGATTGAACACATTCAGTTTCACATTATTTAAACGTAACGGCATTAACCATGTTAACTACAGTGAGTGAGTGAGTATGGATTTACGCTGCTTTTAGCAATATTCCAGCAATATCACGGCAGGGGACACCAGAAATGAGTTTCACATGTTGTGCCCATGTGGGGAATCGAACCTGGGTCTTCAGCATGATGAGCGAACGCTTGGGATGCCATTGTTCATGCGCATACCGGACGCGCATGTAATGGCGAGTATTTGTAATGCGGTTACGTCCCTTTGACTCACGGCTAATTGAACTTCCGCCAAAATGTCTGCCGCCAACAAAATGCCATCAACTAAAGGGCTTTTCACAAAAAGGAATGTAGAGGATAAGAAACAGAAGAGTAAAGTAAGGGTATCGCGTTTCTTCAAAGAAAAGAGCGAAGGGAGAGGAGACAGTGTGATTGAGACATAGAGAATTTTTTATGGAAGACGTATTGTCAAGTTGGCAACACTATTTTGGGTATTTTGCATAAGAACTCATAGAAATGTAAATTTGGGCAAGGGTTACCTCCCCTGATTCATTATTTTAGGAGTATGCTGTGTTGATTGAAAATAATTTGAATATCCTCTGGTAACATGTTGTTTTTATTTTATAAAATTTTTTTACAATGAATAAACATTAGAAATAAGCCAGTTTGAAAAATATCTTGATTTTGTAAAATGCTTTTTTGACTGATGAATCAATTATTGTGGAAAATGTGCTTTTTTTAAAGTCAAATGATGTGTGAAATTAAAAATGTCTTGACTTGAATTTTCATTTTTCTGTTTTGTGTCATATCAATACTGTAATATGTCTATTTAAAACACTCATTTAATAATCCAACTTTAAAATGACCATTTTATTGGCAAAATGATTTTATCATCCGGTGCCTCTAGATGGCGGCACTTATTCAAAAAATGCCACGGTGACTTGTTTTTTTTGTTGCGTAATTTGATTTAGGACATATTTTCCTACAAAATGATACCAAATATACCCATTTCTTTAATTTTTTGTTTTTTGTATGCAACCTCTTTAACCACTGCCCCTATGTTAACAACAGATGTGTCCATCATCTCCCCATGGACCAGGTGTATCAACATAAATATACCTGCTGTGGGGCAATATTTACAGGGCCTATTCCTTTACAGTCCAAAACAGCAGTTACTTGGGTTTCACAGAAGCTGTATTTAGTGACTACTTGTCACAACCAGGAACAGGAAAATCAAGACAATTGCACTTGTGAACAAATACATAAAGTACTAGTCCATGTTTATCAGAGCTTATCCATTTTTTCTGGCTAAAGGGATTTAAATTGGACTTCAAAATAAGTGTCCTTGTTGTCAAAATGGAAAAAAAAAAATTCCTTTTTTTACAGTGGTATTTTAACATTGTGGTGTAACACTGCATTCAATACAACAGTGTAACATGTAGCCTCTTCCTTTTTGTTTGGTTCCGTTGTCAGTGGAATACAAGTCATGTTGACCAAGCCATCCCATTAGTTATAACTATAGTTACCGGTACATGAAACAGGAACTTTGTCATTCCCAATTGCGAATGTTTACTGACAATTGCTGCAGACATGGGGTCAAATATCGGTCTCTTAGCAGGTCTAGATAAATCCATGGATTAGAATACATTTCTGAAGCTGTCATATTAACTAATGCTGATAACATTCAGTAAGTAAACACCAATGTCACAAAATAGTTTGAAGGAAGATAGTATTGATGGGACAAGATGACAGGGTGTTTTAATGAAGGGTTTACACTGCTGTTTGTATATGTCTCGGCTTGTGTGGGTGATATCAACACAACTCACTGTGTAGGATGCAGGGCCAGTCCCCTCACACTCTTCTTGTGGTTGGTGAGAGTGACCTTGGTGCGCCCAGCCGCCAAGTCCCACAGTCTCACCGTACAGTCATGGCTGCCTGTCACCACCTGGGACAACACAGAGAAAATGTTAGGCTAAAAGAAATAATAGTCTTGGTCCTAAGGCACCGCCTGCTTCATCATAAAGTCCGCCACACGTTTCATTTTTAATTACATTTAAATCTTTAAATATTCTGCCTCTTGGACACATGACCCCGGCAGTGAAATGCTACAATACTAAGAACAACATGATTTCGCTGAAATTATTGTAAATGAAAATTGGGTTACATACAAGCTTAAACAAAAACAAAACAAAACACTGCCCTCCCTCACTATATTTTCAAAAGCCATTGCCTGAGAACCAGTTCTTTATTTTTTTAAGCCTTCAACTAGGACTTTCATCATTAATATTACTATATAATTATTTAAAGCATTTATACAGAGTCTCATTTCCAACTTGGATATGTGCTCAGAGTATTACTACCCCGGTCAATGGATCAGTTTGTACCCGATTTTCATTCTCAGCTTCCTGGGGATCATACAACCCAAATTGCCCATGAAATTTTAAATCAACAGTCACCCTACCATCTAATCCTACCAGGTACATATTCCATGCTGGGTGAACACAGGCATATGTTGAACAAAGGCACTTGCCTAGGAGAAACAACATTGCTACATGTGCTTCAGTGCGGGGCAGGACCACAGCCCTTGATGGTTGGTTGGTTTGTTGTTTAACGCCGCACTAAGCAATATTCCAGCTATATGACGGCGGTCTGTAAATAATCGAGTCTGGACCAGACAATCCAGTGATTAATATCATGAGCATCAATCCACGTAATTGGGATCGATGACATGCATCAACCAAGTCAGGTCATAGGGTGCATATTTTTACTGTACTGTCAGAGAGACAAACCAATTCCAATTGTATTTGAATATAAGAAGAGCTAGCCTCTATTCATAGTAAATATGGCACTCCATTGACTTAGAACGAACTTGTAGTTTTTCATATTTTATATTTGATTTTACATGGATCCCGTTAGTCGCCTTTTATGACAAGCATAGTCGCCTTTTACGGCAAGCATGGGTTGCTGAAGATCTATTCTACCATGGATCTTCACAGGTCTGTAGCCCTTGAAACTTGCAGGAGTCAAGCTTTATGCACACAATCACTTTCTATCTACTCTCTGTGATAAATGTTGCTTAACTTCACCTGATCCTGGACCATGTGCCACCACAACACTGACTGTATTGATTATGTTGTCATGGTTTTACGTTATTGTCATGTTTTGTCATGGATTGTAAACTATCATGATTACTATACACAATATGATGATGATGATGATGATGATGATGACATTTATATTGTGCTATATTCCACATCACAGAGGACATGCTCTAAGCGTATACATGAATAATCAGAAAGTCAGTAGCATTGAAAGAGGTAAGTTTTCAATCCAGATTTAAAAGCAGAAATAGGGGGCACTTTTCAGGGTATACAACCAGGCTGCTTGTGTGCCACTGCAGTAATACTTAAACATAGTATCTATAAAACTCTCAGCTATTCTAAAGAAGCCCTGACTCAACAGCTGCTTCACCTTCCAATAGCCCTATCAGTGTTGTGTGTGCTGACTGACCTGGGGCTCTGCTGCCTGGCACTTGACGACGGCGACGGTGTTCTGGTGGCCCACCAAGGTGTGCACACAGGCCTTGGTCCGCATGTCCCACACCTGACAACACACACACACACTCAGTGGTCATCTACAGGGGTAATCCAAATTAAGAATTGTCATCTGATATTGTTTCTGAAATATCGTTATCAAGTTTTGGCTAATTTCTTCAATGCATGTATCTACAATGTAACCATGGTATCTTTCCTGGACAGTGCCATCCCTAAACTCTCTAATATCTAAAATGTAACCATGGCAACCTAACCGGACAGTGCCATCCCCAGACTCTCTTGTATCTTCAATGTAACCATGGTAACCTACCTGTACATTGCCATGCCTAGGTTCTCAAATATCTACAATGTAACCATGATCATTCCTGTACAGTGCCATCCTTAAACTCTCTTATATCTAAAATGTAACCATGGTAACCTAACCGGACAGGGCCATCCCCAAACTGTCTTGTATCTACAATGTAACCATGGAAACCTACCCAGACAGTGCCATCCCTTGGTTCTCTAATAACTACGATGTAACCATGGTAACCTACCCAGACAGTGCCATCCCTTGGTTCACTAATATCTACAATGTAACCATGGTAACCTACCTAAACAGTGCCATACCCTGGTTCACTAACATCTACAATGTAACCATGGTAACCTACCCAGACAGCGCAAACCCTTGATTCACTAACATCTACAATGTAACCATGGTAACCTACCCAGACAGCGCCATCCCTTGATTCACTAATATCTACAATGTAACCATGGTAACCTACCCAGACAGCGCCATCCCTTGGTTCACTAATATCTTCAATGTAACCATGGTAACCTACCCGGACAGTGCCGTCCCTGCCGCAGGAACACAGGATGTCGATGGTGGGGTGAATGTCCAGTGAGTGGACCGCACTCAGATGACCGTGATAGTGGCGGATAGCCTGAGAAATAAACAAACAGTCCTCCACATACAGTTTCAGCTGCAGGAAATTACCTTCCGGGGCAAGTAAAGAGTCACCTGAAGCCACAGCAGCTTCAGCTTCCCGAGGCAAGTGAGTTAACTGACTATAAAAGTCCAGTTTCCACCTTGCCGAACAAGGTTGGAATTCCTGGGCTCAATCGTAGTGCCACCAGTGGCTATTACGAGCTATGTCCCTTCTATGCCTCTCCTATGGACCAATCAGATTCCACCTCTCGTATCACTTGCATTTGCTTCAAACAAAACGGCGGTGCCCAGTCAAGACGATCTGATCGATAATCAAGATCTATATATTGTGATAAAATGAGTCCTACATCGCGAATTGCATCAAATTGTGTAAGCACCTTGATTAAAAACATGAAAAGATTTAGAAAATATCTGTTGACAACAAGTTAGCGGTGCACGTGCTTTGCAAATCCTGCAATCGACCGAAATCTGCAAGACAATATACGAACCGGATTGCGATTTCAGAGCACGATTTTGATTGGACTATGCATAGACTCGTTAGTCCAGCCAAAATGTAACTCCATAATACCAGCCTAGTTCGGCAAGGGTGGAAACTGCTTGCTTCGGGAAGATGTAGTAGCTTGTAACAATCAATACTCAACAGAATCCCCATCTTGTTTGTTTGTTTGTTTTTTCATTGTTTAACGCCGCACTCAGCAATATTCCAGCAATATGAGGGCGGTCTGTAAATAATCTAGTCTGGACCAGACAATCCAGTGATAGACATCATGAACATCAATCCACACAATTGGAATACGATGACATGCATCTACCAAGTCAGTGAGCCTGACCACCCAATACCTTTCTGCATAAAAGTGAGTGAGTGACTTAGGTTCAATACCATTTGAACAGTATTTCAGTCATGTCACGGCGTGTCAGCTTGATGTGGGAGGAAAAACCTGAAGTGATGAAAGTCTCAGATGTTATCCACAAGCATGGATATGGTGCTGACAAACCTAGAAACATAATCAGGGCAAACCTGGATTTGTACCAAAGGTATTAGGTTTCAACTGCACCCAGAATGTGTGGGGTGCTGTAGACGACTGGGTCACCCATGCCCCTTCTGTATTAAGAAAAAAAAAGAACTATGGCTGCCTCACTATTCAAATGACGGTCTACTTGACATGGGTGAGTCTAAGGCTGCCTCACTTCACATAATGGCCTACTTGTCATGGGTGAGTCTAAGGCTGCCTCACTGTTCACATAATGGCCTACTTGCCATGGGTGAGTCTAAGGCTGCCTCCCAGTTCACATAATGGCCTACTTGACATGGGTGAGTCTAAGGCTGCCTCGCTGTTCACATAATGGCCTACTTGACATGGGTGAGTCTAAGGCTGCCTCGCTGTTCACATAATGGCCTACTTGCCATGGGTGAGTCTAAGGCTGCCTCCCAGTTCACATAATGGCCTACTTGACATGGGTGAGTCTAAGGCTGCCTCCCAGTTCACATAATGGCCTACTTGACATGGGTGAGTCTAAGGCTGCCTCCCAGTTCACATAATGGCCTACTTGACATGGGTGAATCTAAGGCTGCCTCGCTGTTCACATAATGGCCTACTTGCCATGGGTGAGTCTAAGTAAGGCTGCCCTGCTGTTCACATAATGGCCTACTTGTCATGGGTGAGTCTAAGGCTGCCTCGCTGTTCACATAATTGCCTTCTTGCCATGGGTGAGTCTAAGGCTGCCTCGCTGTTCACATAAATGTCTACTTGACATGGGTGAGTCTAAGGCTGCTTACCTTGTTGTACTCCAGGTCCCAGCACTTGACCTGTTTATCTTCACCACAGGAGAAGAGGTATGGTTGTCGCGGACTGACCGCCACACCACGGACAGAGCTGATGTGACCGGTCAGAGACAGCTTCAATGTCCCTGTTGCCAAATCCCAGATCTAAACACAACAATTGTTCATATGATATGTTTTAGTTCAAGTCCAGTGACTATTTAAAAGAAGGATGAGTGGGTGAATGGAAGGGTGAATACCAATATGTCATGGCAACTGTAGTCAGCGATATCAAAGGGACGCAACTCTAATTAGGGGATTGCTATACCTTAGATGCCTGTGCTCACATCATCTCCAAATCAAATATGAACTGTTAACTTTTTGTCAATAAACTTGTATTGACAAACAAGAATAGTTTATGAAATTCACCTTAATTGATCTTGCTGGATCAAAGGAATAATTGAGAATACAGAGTTATCTGCCCACCTTTATGACTCGGTCGCCAGCTCCGGTGACAAACCATTCATTCCCTGGCTCCACAGCAATACACCTGACCCACCCCAGGTGACCACTGATCACCTGAAACATCAACAATGATAAGTGACAACAACAACATTAATAAATCAAGTTGCTTCTTAAACTCCAAACTATGAAGCAAGGTAGTTACACAAATATCATTCAGTAGCTGAAAGACCACAGCAAAAAAAAAGGACACTGAGGACACTGTCAACTTTTAAAAAAAAAAAAAAAGTAAATTCATCTCACTATTAACACAAGCATGAAATACTCATATCCCCTACCAATATGACATGTTCGGTTGTGTGCAAGGCAAGAAATGTTGTACAGTTTACAAAATCTGCTCCGGAAATGAGCACTACAGCCATTTTTCAGTCTAAGTCAGCCGTTCCTATGGAAACTCAAAAAATTAATTTTTCAAAAATCCCAAACTGTTAAAAGGCACCAGTTCACCACAAGACCTATGTATGTGCCAAATTTGGTTAAGATAATCTCATGGTTTTTTAGTTTTACTCCAGAAAGGAAACGTAACGGACGGACAACATCCATTCCTGTACCCCCTTTCACTTCATGGCAGGGGATAATAATGCTAGATACAAAAAATTATGTGTCTAAAACCGCATATTTGATTGACTTAATTCAAAGCTATACGATAACCCTCCATACCCTGTAGAGTTTCCAAGGGGGATGCCATTGTGGTTTAGGCATTGTGGGAGCTTTCCTTGGCACCAGCATTTGTTGCTGTCCTACGCTGATGTTCTGAAACAAAGAATCACAAACATGTAGCTCTTGTAGAAAAAAGGAGCCTTTTCAAGGGTGGAAACAATTTTATTTCTTTAAGCAACACTCAGCCATCTTTGAGCCATAAGTAGCCTGTAAGGAAGCATGTCTGGACCAGACAATCTCGTGATTAATGCATTGAGCAACTATCCACACCAACAGGGCACTATGGCATGCTATCAACCAAGTCACCGAGTCTGATTCCTTATGGATGACTCTTACGACCAGCATTGCGTCATTGAACACTTGGAGGAAAGAGGAGGTGCCTCCACAAGAGGAGACAATAAACAGTCTTTGACATGTTTGCAATTGTGGAAAAACAGCTCTGTAGAAAAATGCTTGTGTATGAATATATGAGTGAGTGAATGAGGCTTTATGCTGACATAGCTGATAGATTGACCTGTTCCAACCAATCATATATTAATTAAATGGTAAGCATAAACCAATCAGAACTCATAACACATTGCTACTTTGTGTTTAATGTCAACGGAATTTGAAAACATTCCCTTTGCATCTCCCACAATTTCCATCTTCCCGAGGCAAGGGCGTTATCTGACATTAAAAGCCCAGTTTCCATCCTTGCCAAACTAGGCAGGCCATCGGTGGCTATTGTGAGTTATGTCCCTTCTACGTCCCTACTATTGACCAATCAGATTCCACCTCTCATATCGCTTGCATGTACTGTGTACAACACTCATTACTGATGCCTGAAGCACTGGGCCTGGTGCATGCAGCAAATGAAGATTGGTGTGTAAGTGTGATCAAGGTGTTACTGTTATTGTTGAGTGTGCGCGTTTTTGAGTGAGTTGGGTTTAAGGGAACTTTAAAATGTGTCCCAGCCACATTGTGTTGACAGCTTGACATGGAATGTTTACCACCTCAGTGCAAGTCACTAGCTTGAGGCATGGTGCCGGCTAAACAAGTATCAGAGTCAGGGAGAAACTGGGATTCAAACCCTGGATGATAGGAATCTGACATACATAAGGGACACAACTCTGTACAGCAAAATGTGCCTCCGTGACAGTTTAGAGAGTGTGATGTTTATGTAAGCATGGTGTTAGTGTTCTGTGTTGTGAGTTGTGATTATCCAGTAGATGTGAGCATGGTGGGTGAAAATCTTAACACAGGGAAATAAGACCTACTCTTGTAGTTGGATCCATTCTCTCTGAGAGACCAGCATTTTGCCGAATTTCATGAACACTTGCACCTGACGAAACACCTGTTTGTCTGAAAATATAAAGTTCATGAGTCAGATGGTAAACAAAAAACTACAAGTTCATGGTGACACAAGCTGAATCAAAGGCGATGCCGTGCATGGAATTGATACGCCAGGAGCTAACCAAGTTTTTGTTTGTTTGTTTTTTAACACCACACTCATCAATATTCCAGCTACATGACGACCGTCTGTAAATAATCAAGTCTGGACCCGACAAACCAGTGATTGATATCATGAGCTTCAATCCAAGAAATTGGGATACAATGACATGCATCAACCAAGTCAGCGCGCCTGACCACCCGATCCCGTTAGTCGCCTCTTACGTCTAACCAAGTACGTTGATGGCATCTGGTACCTTGACAATAGTTTTACCATCAATATTTTCTTCATTGACAAAGACTAGAAGATTAAAACAAGCGTAATGAAGAAAATATTCTCAAAAATCATGTCAAAATAATCATGATAATGACAATCCTGTATACTGAATTGTGTTTGGAGGAACCATGATAATCACTGGGGTAATTCTGACTATCACAATGTCACTTGTCATCAAAGCAGGGTGCAGAAGGCTTGAATTACAGATTGTTTAATAGCAGCATGCATGGCTAGATACGTTCTTCTTACCTTGACTGTTCGTATAGCATGACCTCCCTGCTGCCAGCACCACTGGGATCCATGTGTTGTGCCGTCCCGTCCGTCAACTGAACACCTACAACATCACCCAGCCTTAACAATTTGTTTTTTCATTACTGACTACTCCAGAGGACAAATGAAAACTTTATTTCACTCGTCCTAAGAGTTTGGGGAGTGAGTGAGTATGAATTTTTGTTTGTTAAAGGGACAATAAAACTCATATTTTCTGACAGACATTTTTTTTTATAATCATGTACAAACACTTTTAACATTTGAAAATGACTAAATATGTTTTGTTTAAGTTTCTAGTCATTCCCTTTGACATGTTTGATAATGTAATACAGCTCATCAACAATATTAACAGTGTTGAATTTTCATAAATCACCATGATCACAACCTTGCTATTGAGATGTATCAAATCATGACCCAGTGTATAGTTCAAGACCAATCAAAGACTAAACCTCAACAGCTGGGACCCACAACAGCTGCATCCCTCTGTGGAACTAAGCATCATTACTGACACACAAGTGTTGGGGTATCTCACAAAAACCAATTAGTGGATAAATCACAAACCTGGTCCATTTGGGTAAGGATGGGTTCCAAGTACTCCTGTCTCTGAATCTGAAATAACATAAGGAAATAGTATTATGTTTTAAAACAATTTTTGAAATTGGGTTCAAACTAAATCATGCTAAATTAAAGGTAGTTACTGATTATACATCTTCATCATGTCCATAATTATCTTGATCATATGGATGAGAAAGGTCAAATTCAAAGTTTGACAAACATCACTCACCATGGTAGTTACTTTCTCCATATGGTCGAATGACATCTCTGGAAATCATCGCCTTTCTTCCTCCTTCCTTTGGTAAATCTTTCACCTGACCATAATCTGCTCGCAGTTTACAAAGTTTCCAATTTTTCTCACTGAAAAACAAAATCCACAAATTAGTACATTATTATCCTGATAATATGATGATCATTGAACCATGTAAACAGTCAGAGGTACTATCATGGTCAATACTTGACCAAAAGACAGGCAAACAAAAATAAGCATATCAAATTGCAACTGATTATGGGTAAACCTGTTTTAATTTGTAACTTTAGAGAACTATACCTGTTTTCATCTTTACCAGGTGCTGTCCCTTGTTCTGACAGAAACATGTCATGTGTTCTCTTCAGTGATCTGAACACCAATGTGTGGACCGAGTGCTTCTGGACCTCCTACAACAAAAACAACAAAACATGAAGTCGGGAAGAAGGCATCTCATCAGAAGATTAAATTTAAAACCAAAGCATTTGTAAACAATGCATTGCTCCTGTTTTCTCAACTTGATTCAAGAAATACTGTATATACAAATAGATTTCCAAGTGTCATGATTTTTAAATCTTGATAGGTGACACGACAACATGCACATACCGTGTACACAATAACGAAATACTTACTATCTTATACCACGGAAGGTAGATTCTAAAATCGCATCTACGTCTTGAGGGAGTGTGAGCGAAAACTGGTGGTGTTCAACAAATCTATTCATACAGCCATATATCTCACTATCTGCTTGATAATTTGTATCAGTTTTGTGGAATTACTTATACAACACGTATACGTCGATTCTTACCTCGGTCATCTTGAAATGTATTGAAAATGCAGCGATTTAAAGAAGCCGGTCAAATCGTCGTTTTCCTCACGTTTTGTTTAGTCCACCATTCGTTTGACGACTTCCGGTTACGAAGTGCTATTAAAATGCGGAAAATACGTTTTTCTAAGAGACCTATTAATACTTTGGTAATTTGACTGCAAGCATTAAATGTGCACAATAAAACATTGTCATGCATAATTAGAACTTTCTTATTTATGAGGAAAGCATAAGTCACAGAAAAAAACAATAATAATGATATACAAAGGGAATGTTGAGAAACTATGAAGAAATACGGAGTGTTTCTCCATCATGCCGAATATTACAATATACGATTATAAATCGACAATTATGAAAAGTTATATGAAAATAATATTATGTTTGTATGGAATATTTTGGAAATGTAGTTAAGGTATGAAACTTTTATTAATAACTTTTTTATTGTTTGTAATGACATCTCATGGCTGCTACTTGCCCTTTGGGAAGTTAGTGTTTTGCTTTCCACGACATGACATTGGAAATGGATTTATTAAATCATTCATCAATTTTGTATACATTATTTCCTTCAATAAATCCTCGAAATGTTATGTGAGTCCGAGTTTACGAACCAACAATGCCCACAGCTGTACGTTAGTTTGATATTAATTGATATATGTTATGGGGATTAATTATTAATTGTGTTCGCTATATTGAACAGAGCTAAAGTTAAGCTTCAAATGATGCGTTTCCATGCATAAAGTTCATGATATCTCATTGCGATGCCGAGTCATATAGAGTAACGAAAACATACAACTCGTATAATTTCAAATTTGTCGTCACTGGAGGTTAACGGAGTCCCAATACTCATTTAAACTTTCTATATTCTTTATCTACAACGAGAGACCATATTCAACTCAACAGGTTGCCTCCTTCGTCTTGTGGTGAGATACGGGGGAGTGGAACAGAAAGTCATAAATGATTTTCTGTTTTGACAAAATGTTACTAAACGTCCGTTAAATTGGTACACTATAACGTCATTCACTTTGGTACACAGATAATGGAAATTAATCAAATACCGTATTCGACGTAATAAGCGCCCAGGGCGCTCTCAAAATTAGAAATAGGGGGCTCTTATTAGAATATTATTTTGGTGGAAAAAAAACAGAGTTGAAAGATAAATTTCGTGCCTGAAATGTTCATATACGAGAGATACATTTTTCCAGAATTTAATTGCCCATAATTAAGGGTGCATATAACACACGAGTACGTATTATACGCGAATAAATAAGTGTTGTGTACATTGATCAATCGGAAGGGGTGCTAACTGATATTGTTCACTAGCCAGTATATTAGTAAATATCGCCGTGGGCGCTTATTAGAGCGGGGCGCTTATTACGTCGAATACGGTTCATACCATATGGAAAAATTGTTGTTGCAAAGGGGTATTTCGGGGTACACGAAGTATATTTATAAATTTTCTGAGCTTCAATTTACATAGTTTGTGCCACAAAATCCATCGACTACATATATAAACACGATATCCGACATACGAAAGTACTTTCTAAACGAATCGACACAATCAAAAGAAGAATGCAAACGTATGTTTATGTTAAAAATGCTTTACACATTTTGATTAGCGGTTACTAAAATAAACAAAAATATGAGGCGTTTTCAGTGTCGTAATGGACATGTCATTTTCCAAACATTAAGTGTACATTTTTACATTTATCAGTAATTGGAATTAATTTGGCTTTGTCAAGAGCAGAATAATTATTGAATGAATTCAACTATGAAAGTGTATTCATATATCTATCAATTTCAATATTGAAACTTGTTATTTTACTGTTCTTTTCAAAATGTCTTAAAACATACACAACTCGCAGAAAACACAACGCAGAACCGTACTTCCTTGACGAATTGCAGACTGACAATATCAAAAGTCAACGACTGCAAAGACATCTTTCGCGATAGCGTCCGGGTAAAAGAAGTCCGGGTTGTACTTCCAAACTACAAGAAATATCCCCTGCTTTTCCAGATTGAACTTGATCGGCTGTTTATTACCCACATACTGATTTCATTCAAAACTCTTGAAGAATTCATTTTCTTGTCACTCAATATATTGTTACCAAATAAAGTGCAACCGAAATTATAACTTATTCTTTTGAGTACCATGCACCGCCAACTAAAAGTCAGTCTAGCGGTAAATACGAATGTTTACGCTAGCACGTGCTCGCGCCCGTCTGCTGTGTTTACGTTTGCCAGGCGTTTACGGGCGTGGACTAATCATTGTCATCATAAGTGACATGTCGTGTCTGTTTTATTTTAATTCTGTCAGCTGTATATATCGAACATTTTAACCAGAAATTCATAGTTTCAGGGGCATGGCTGTATTGACAATGCTTGTTTTTAGACTCAAGTGATATGACTAGATTCTATGCCCAGTTGTCTTATGTCAGAAGTGGTCATGAATCGACAGTTGACATATTTTCTGTTGAAACTGGATTTTCTATTTTTTTGTTATGAGTATTTACATGATTCCTAACTAAAATGCCTTTTTTTAAAATTATTCCCATCCCAGGTTTCAGATCGGTTATTTTCTTGGACATTGATTGATTGTATTCCCAAATGTCCTAAAAAAATCAAATGTTTGGTAATGGTATTGAAGAATGTCCTGTGAAAAGTTGATTAAATCATGAAAATGTCTAAATGCCCTTTTGTCGTCAGCAAAGTCACGCCACACCCTTTTCGGAAAAAGATAATGAATACAATTAGGCCCTACTGTCTTTTTAGACTGCTTTATATTATTGAGATAGTAAATTTAATTAGATTGATATTTCAGTTAACAACAGCATCATTTCAAAATTGCAGATTTCAAAATGAAGATTAATTTTTGTACCAATATATCTTTTATTATTTTCAAGGCTTCTGACATTGGAATGCAACAACACACTTGAGAAGCATGAGCACCCGATCCACATGGAGGAACTCTGTGATCGATTCAGCCTAGTACAGTCAGCATTAGCCTACCTTGACAATACCGATCACCTCTACTACGTGAAAACAACTTGCTGTAAATACAGCTCGGGAGAGGTTGTTGAACAAAATCTATTTGCATTGATGCAACTGTAAACTGAAAAATTAAATACAAAAAAATATTTTGTATAATGCTTCCAATTTTCTGACATTTTCTATGAATTATTATATGAAAAACAGCTGAATGTCCATTACAAAAATGTGCATGGGACAAAACAAATTTACTTACCAGCCATAATTGTGAAATTGAAGTATTCCAAAGCATGATGACACTTATTTTAAAGCCTTATGAACAGTCTAAACATAAACACAAACTTGTCAGAGAATGTCTAGAAACTTAAGGGTCATCAGTAAGAAGAAAAATGTTGCAAGAAACTGTTCTTGAACCTATCACAGTGGTCCCTCGACTTAACGCTCCTCGATGTACCGCTACTCCGGATGCACTGCGGGGTAAACCATGGCTCCCAAAAATGCATGAAGAATTTTCCCCTAAAAGCGCGTTAAAGCGTTGTCTATGTCTATGTAGGTTTTTCAAATGTCAGCCCTTGGTTTGTCAGTCCACGGATCAATGATTTACAGGCCTCCTTGATTGTTGAAATATAGCTGATTGCTTGGTTAACATACAATCAATAGGGATATGACAGTATTTATTGTTTGTTTCACTTCTAAATGCCTTTTAAAGACTTAATATTTATTGTTGTTGAATCTTGTAACATAGATGTATCAATGTTATGTCTGTATCAGTAGGAAACTGTTCTTGAACCTATTGTATGGGTCTGTGTATGTTTTTCAAATACTTTGCTGTTGCAGGACTTAAATTGTAGTGATATTTTTTTCAGGAGCTTTTGGTGTATCATTTTAAACTTGATGTGGACCCAGCTGAACTTACAGAATTAAATGGTACAATAATTGTTTAAAAAAGCCATAAGCATGGACCAGACTGGCATTGCAAAGACTGGCAGCATTGCAAAGTTACCGGACCAGATAAAATGCTAGTCCATAACTTTCTAGACTCACGAACAAAAGTAATAAAAGGGTAAACATAAGAATAGTACTGTTTAATGTTAGTTCTCAAAGAACAAAAACAAAATGGTGGATTGTCAACTTAGTAACTTTAACTTCTGACCATTGGGCTTTCAACTTTTCCAAACTGACCGCCTGACAGCAAAATAGACCGTCTCGGACTGTCGAGCTGGTGGGTAATTTCAACGCTGCTTCAAACATTGAATGCCAGTTTTGTGAACTGGTGTAGTACAGTATGTTTTTTATCTTATCCCACATCAACTTGTTCTAACTTCCACCATTAAAGACAATGTTAGAATAGTCTTTATAGGTGAAAAATCCAAAGAAGTGACAAAGGGACATTTCTGCATGTAGTGGAATGCTCAAAAATGTTTCAGGAAAAAGCTGGCCTACTGTGTATTTTGTAATAGTAACATCTAAACAAACTCGGAGGTTAACATTGGAAATTAACTGATAGTTCATTTCTAAAAGGTGCATTGTTTTGTATGTATGAGGTTAAATGATTTAACTACCTCATTTCATAAGATATCTTGTGAATTACTTTTCAGCTGCACTCGGAAATTTTGTGCTTTTGAAACCACTAAAAGCCACTGAGATCTTTCAAGAAGTAAGTGGGATCTAGAGATTAGAATGTTACTTCATATTTACTTTGTTTAACTTTGTACTTTGTGTTTCACTATAATTGTCATGAGAGTGATAGAAAATTCCAAGATGCCAATAATACAGCCTCTTATAAGCTTTACTGCTCACGTTTTATGAGAAACTACTTACGATGTTGCAAAATGATGAGGTAGAATGTATTTTATACGATAATTTTTGTTGTTCTTTCATATTTCTGTTCATTAGGGAGCTTAGCATTTGCTCTTGATTCTCAGTTTAAATTCCCACATGAGAACAGTATGTGTGAATCCCATGGTATCTTCTGCGATGACATTGGTAGACAATATTACTGTTAAAAACCTAAATAGAATTTGTCCTCACTCTAACAATAACTCTGCAGATAGTGTTCCAAACAGCTCAGGAGTTGGAGCTTCTACCAAGTGACACCACCCTGTCCCAGATCTCTGTTTTTCTGAAACTTGCCAGCTTGCCAAGTCCACTAGAAGGGTAAGATGCAGAAGGGGCAACTAATATGGACCAAGTGTTCAATCCTTGGGTGTTGGCATGTCATTGTACCCCAGTGGTGTGGATGCTGATCATAATGTCAACCCTTGGTTTGTCAGTCCGCGGATCGATGATGTACAGGCCACCTTTTTGGAATATAACTGATTGCTTGGTTAACATACAATCAATAGGGATATGAAAATATTTATTGTTTGTTTCACTTCTAAATGCCTTTCAAAGACGTAATATTTATTGTTGTTGAATCTTCTAACATAGACATACAAATGTTATGTCTGTATTAGTATGTCAAGTTTGTTCAGTCTTTAGAAACTGGACACAACTGTGTCATCTCACTGTAGAACCAACCAATTTTTTCTTTAATTTGGAACCAAGCACTTTGGCATGTAAGTCTTTTTCATTCAGTTGCAGAATCAAATGCATGAAAGATTTATCAAGGAATATTGGCAGCTGTAACTATGTCAAGTTTGATGGTGTTGTCACTGGAGTTACAGGAATTTCAAAATATACGTAAGCTGAACAAGACATCCATGTAAAATCAAATATAAAATATGAAAAACTACAAGTTCGTTCTAAGTCAATGGAGTGCCATATTTACTATGAATAGAGGCTAGCTCTTCTTATATTCAAATACAATTGGAATTGGTTTGTCTCTCTGACAGTACAGTAAAAATATGCACCCTATGACCTGACTTGGTTGAAGCATGTCATTGATCCCAATTGTGTGGATCAATGCTCATGATATCAATCACTGGATTGTCTGGTTCCAGACTCAATTATTTACAGACCGCCTTCATGTAGCTGGAATATTGCTGAGTGTGGAGTAAAACAACAAACCAACAACAACGAAACCAATCCCAAGTTTAACTGAGGGTACATATGGCTCATTTGTTAAGGCCCTGGGCCTCGTTCCTCAATTCACAGTTAATTAGGTTGTCAAGATGATGATGATGATGATGATGATGATGATGATGATGATGATGAATGTATTTGGTAGCATGTGTGCAATAAGCGATCATTGTCCATCATTTCTTGTTCAGGCGGAGCACACGTTACGTGTGTCCCCACCCTGCATGTGAGGGGAATGAGGGACACAAGTTCATCCGAGTCCACATTGCTGGAGCCTCAGAGACACAGACAATAAGGTGAGACCATATTATGTTACCTGTAAATGCAAATGTCTTTTCATGGTTTGGATGTTTACAAAATATTCATCTTGTTAGTGCATCAAATATAAATACTCATGATTCAAGCTTCAACATCATTAAGTGTGACAGTTATAGTGAATATAAATATGTGACATGTCATGGACCAAGAGAAACAGCTATTTATGTACAGGACTCAATTAAGCTATATAAAACATGTTACATGTTTTTTATTTATAGTCAACATGTCATAGCCAAAATCCTCAAGAATCTGAGAAGTTCACAACCTCTTTATTTCAAACACTGATAGTGGACGTCATATTCATAATAGTTCTTGCAGCAAAATTAAAGGTAGTGACTGATATATGAGTTTATAACGTTATCTCTAGTTTGTGTTTTAGTGAGCCCATGATAGCCCACTGGTAAGGTATTAATGCATCACCCTAGCTCTTGTATAAGCATCAATATGAAAAGTTTTTTGACTGCTGGTACTTGAACTTAATCATTCCTTGTTTTTGACAGAAAGGACTTCAGATGTAGTGCATGTGGTTCAGTCTTAGAAGAGGACAAGAGCTCCAGAATTATATCAGGTTAGGGCCTGTTAGGCTACCATTCGGTGCAAAACAGTTTGTGTCTACTAACTTGGTCTTGCAGCCTAGCTGGTCTTGATATCGTTGTCAGTAGATTTTAGTGTTAGTATGTGCTATTGTTTGCTAAGCTTCACTAGTTCGAATTTGTTTTACAAGTCCCACACTTTGAACATATAGCTAAAGGTGCATTTATTAATGTCATTCAATGAAAAAGATCCAAACATAGTATTATATACATACAAAATATTTTGAGGGACTAATACAGCATCAGATCAATATTTATTATTAATATCAATATTCAGGACATTTCAATCATCAGATTAAAAGTAATGATATTTTAAACATCTCTCAGAATGATGAAAAGCAGCATTTTCTTATCCGAGCTGATCCATTAATCACCTGAAATGATTATTTTTACATTTCACAATTTGGTCGACCACCATGTTGACATTTCCAAAGGTTCTGAAACATTTATGTATTCAATTTGGTGGTGGAATACTAATAATAATTTCAATTGCAGATAAATTATTAGCAGAGGTTGTTCATGAAGATTGCTTCCATGATGTCATCAATGCCAAGACCAGACAGCGAGTCCAGGCAGTTCCAGTTTATGTCAGAGGTCACTTGTCCTACTACATGTTTCAGTATGATAGGAACCAGTATAATAGATTCAACCAAAATTCTCAGTTAAGGTATTCATTTTGGTCCTATACACATGAAAGATCCGGGGTAGAATAGGTCTTCAGCAACCCATGCTTGCCGTAAAAGGCAACTATGCTTGTAGTAAGAGGCGACTAACTGGATCGGGTGGTCAGGCGTGCTGACTTGGTTGAAGCATGTCATCGATCCCAATTGCGTGGATCGATTCTCATGATGTTAATCACTGGATTGTCTGGTCCAGACTCGATTATTTACAGACCGCCGTCATATAGCTGAAATATTGCTGAGTGTGGCGTAAAACAACAAACCAACCAACCCATACACATAATAGTAAGGATCAGTGACTTAATGTTTCTCAAGCTTTATGTTTACAACTTTATTTATTATTATGTAATATGCATATTTATGAATCAATCCATTCTGCCTTAGTATGGATGTGTAATAAAGTACACACATAGAATATCCTCTTACTCATAATACAAGCCAAATTGAACATTGAAGCTACTGCCTTGACTTACACTACAACTGGCCATTTGTTTTCAACTAGATGAACTGTGTGAGAAGATTCAGATAGGACAGAAGTACCAGATAATCGGCATGGTGAGGAAAGACATCACTGGTGAGGTGGTCAACCTTGCCCTGGAGGTTAGTGTTTGAACATTCCAAGACACGTGACAATGATGTCTGTATCCTCCCCATCATCACCTCCACCACCCTATGGGGTACCCACTTTATGTTGGTTTTAAGTAGATATGCTATATACTTACAATTTGTGTCCTATATGGGGAGCGAGGTATATGATGTGAAAGAACAAAAGCTAAAGCTCTTGGTTCCAAATTAAATTAAGAGGTATCTAATTTGCAGTCAAACTACCTCTGATTTGAAACCACAGTATGTTTATCTCCCAAGTTTTATATTATTATAATCAGTAGAGTTGTGCGGCACTCTATGTACTCATGTGTCATGTTGATGAATGTCTAAGTCTATTCCTATATATGTTTGTCATTTTACAGGCCAATAACATTATAGAGGTAAGAATAAAGTTCTACTTCCAGCTTTCCACAACAAAACACATCAACTTCCTAAAGAATTTTGAAAACATTTCAAATGCTTTTCATCATTAATTTTGTTTTTCTCTATTCCGAAACATTTAATCCTTGAATACTACCCTGATGTTATATGTTAACAGTATTTCAGTAAATAGAGGATTTGGGACGTTCTTGACAAACGGCATATATATCTCAACTTGTGAACTAAAAAGGTTTCCATTTTCATTCATGGCTATGCCTTTTATAATAATGTCAACTTTACTTTGGGATTAGCATGTCAATTGACAAGAAATGAACATGCTTCTATGTACCTCACTGATGTGTGTGAGGTATGTAGTTTCTCATTGTCCGAAGTCTTAAAAACCATAGTGTCATTGCAGCAGATTAAAAGTATTTCTGGAAACAAGTGTTAGTTTTTCAGTAAAATTATTATTTAACTTTTTCAATAAATGTTATTATTTCTCACACGAGACTGTTGTTTATTCAGATATCACATATTGTGCATCCCCTAACACCATCATTTCTGCCTGAGAGCCTGGTCTGCCTGTACAGTGACAGGAGAGACTCACCATGGAGCTTCAGCCTCAGCCTTGCCTATGTGTTTGGGGGTACTATTGTCAAAGATTATCTGTTCCTGTAGTGAAATTGTTCTTTTCTACTATTTTACTCTAGGGGAATTATTCCTATGTAATAGTTTTGACTAGGAAATTGTTTCCTTGATACATTTACACCTGATGGAACTTATTCCATGTGGAACTGATCATTATTGACAGTTTTATTGACTTCATAATTGTCATGCAGAATACAGAATACAGAATAAAACAACTTCTATCACTGACACACTTCTGACAGTGTATGTCATGTCCCCCTGGAAGATCTGGGTTAGAATTGGTCTTCAACAACCCATGCTTGTGAGAGGCAACTAATGGGATCAGGTCATCAGGATCTCTGATTTGGTTGATGCGTGTCATCGTATCACAATTATGTAGATCAATGCTCATGATGTAAATCATTGGAATGTCTGTCCCAGACTCTCGTTTATTTACAGGCCGCCATCACACAGCTTGAATATTGCTGAGTGCTACGTTAAAAAACAAACAAACAAAAAAGCATTGTGAATTAATCACTTACTGATAGCTAACATTGCATCAGTTTGAGGAAATGCTGAGACACAAGCTAAGATTTACATTGCCTTTTTTTCAGGAGAAATTGCCCCACCAGGATCATACCTACAACTAAAGCTTGGACTAATGCTGAGTTTAGCGACTGTGTCAGAGGTCTTCATTTTATACATATTTTCTAGTTAGAATGTAATATGATTTTAAGTAACCTTTAGATCTAAAAGAGTTTCTGAAGAATATGCCAGAGAAATATTCTCATCACTGTATTCTCAAATAAATTCCTTTGTTACTTTATTATTAAGGTAACTGGAAATAATGACTAGAGGATGGTTTTCAGCCTCAAGTAAGGCTGGAGGCATTTGTGTTAAAAAATGCATCATGGTCAGACAGTGAAGTCATGTAATATTAGCTTGAATGATAGTTTCATAATTGTTTTATATGATCAAAGTGTTGTCTATGGATGATGTTCTAGGAGAAACCACTTCACATACTTGGCATCGGCAGTGAAGTGGAGACGATACAGAGACTCATGGACTATGGCCGCCAGTTCTGTGACAGGAGTGTGTGTCACATGGCAGGCTGTCATCTCACTGGTAAAGTCATCAGTGACAGGCATGAGACTGCCCCATACTTCATAGAAGGTGAGTGATTGCTACCCATGGAGAACATGTGTCACTTATACACTTATAGGTGAGGTGAAATGGGGTTTAACGTTGCGTCCAAGATTATTGCACTTATATAGCGATGTGCATGCAAATGTGTGTTTGTGTGGCTGCTTGTACTAGTCCGGACTGATGCCGATTTATAGTGCTAGCTCACTGAGATACCATGCCACAGTTTAACATGAATACCCCACTCAGACACAGTATACTGACTCCGAGCCGACCAGTGCTTGTTTTATCCCCTTAATGCCGAGCGCCAGACAGGGTAACAACAGGTACCATCTTTTAATGTCTTTTGGTATGACGCGGCCGGGGATCGAACCCCGGACCTTCCGCTCTCCAGGCGGACGCTCTACTTATTTCCCTCTACAAGTAAAGTCTGAAGACACTTGTGAAACAAAACAGCTACCGGTACTATAGCAAAGGTGGATCTATTCCCTGATCAATCTGGATTCAGTGGCAGAATAGGTTCTATGTACCTCATGCTTGTTGTAAAACAAGCAAAATTATTGGTTATTTGATGTTTGACCTGGTTGCATTGGTGGCGTGTTCTTGTACCCTGAACAGGGGTATACACCATTTGTCATATAACTCAGGTCAGCAGGTCATTTTGTACCAGTAGCTAATGTAACTTTAATAGTTTTGGGGAGAAAACAACTTGTCCTCTCGAAACTCACAAACTAGTGGCCATGTCTATCCCTGCTGAAAGAAAAGATTGCTCTTTCAGATGTGATTATATTGACAGGCGATCAAGATGTACATGAAACTAATATTGCTGACTGGGGAAAATATATCACAGTAACTATCATGTACTAATATGGCAAAAGCTCAATAGAGTTCAATTTTTTTAATCATAATTAACAGGTAAATGTACCAAAAACAGAACTAAATCATTTGGTGATATGTTTTCAATGATACAACTACCAAATGCAAATTGTTTCATCTAGCATATTTTATGTCATGTGCAACCCTGTTTTTCCACATAAGCTGCTTCCATGTTGTTGATATTTTGTAAATAATCTAGCCTGGACCAGACAATCCACTGATTGATAACATTAGCATTGATCAACGCAATTGGTATTGCATGCCTGACCACCCAATCCAGTTAGTCGTCTCTTATGACTTAGCATGGGTTGCTGAAGACCTGTTCGAGGGTGGGGGGGTTGTAGTGCTGGTGATGTGTGGATGTGGTGGCGTATCTGATGTTGCTACAGGACATATTGTGTGTTACAGGTGGCTCCTTGTTGCTGGCAGCAGGAGGAGTGTGTTTCCTGGGGGAGCTGGGCAGACTTAAGAAGAAGGTCCAGGAACATCTGCAAGCAGGTACACAGCCTATCTATAATAAATAATTAATATTTAGAAATTTATGAAGCACATCCTATCCAGTTGTACTCCTTGTTCAAGATCACTCAGTCATACGGGCTTTTGAAGAGTTTAATTAGCATTTCTTTCAGTAGGAATAGTTAAAACACCTACATGTAGATGTAGAACGACCTTTCAATTGACCAATCTGGCTTACCAGATCAGAAATGTGACGGTTGGAATACAATCTCAAACAGATTAACACAGGGTATTCTAAACCACAGTTAGAGGCTGTACCACTGATTCCATCAACATCATCTTCTATCTCTCGCTTCAATTGGATAAGTGTTTGAAACGGAGGGATGTTCCACATACAGCCCGTCAGAAGTATAAATACAATCTCGACCATTTATTAGACATTCCACAATTTTCTCTAGTCCAGTTTTCAAATTTTGAATTGATATTTTTCAAAGCGTAGTCTTGAATGGAAGATGCCAGTTTGGAACTTGAAAGCTGCTTTCTGGTTGGCTAATGTCGACTTCTTGTTAGTCACTTCATTGGTCTGTGAAAGTTCGCAAAATGTCCTTCCTAACGTGACCTATATAGAGATGTCCTCAGATCTATGAGTAACAGTAGCGAGCTTTAAGATCCAATTTTTATTACATTGGTCAATTATCAAATTTCTCCCAAAAATGATAGATATGTAGTCAGAAAAAGTGTAGAAATGCTGTGTTGATTGTTGGCAGTCCCAAGGTGTGTTGATTGTTGGCAAAGCTTGGCAGTACCAAGGTGTGTAGATTGTTGGCGATACCAAGGTGTGTTGACTGTTGGCGATACCAAGGTGTGTTGATTGTTGGCAGTACTTGGCAGTACCAAGGTGTGTTGATTGTTGGCAGTACTTGGCAGTACCAAGGTGTGTAGATTGTTGGTGATACCAAGGTGTGTTGATTGTTGGTGATACCAAGGTGTGTTGACTGTTGGCGATACCAAGGTGTGTTGACTGTTGGCAGTACTTGGCAGTACCAAGGTGTGTTGATTGTTGGCAAAAATTGGCAGTACCAAAGTGTGTTGATTGTTGGCAGTCCCAAGGTGTGTTGATTATTGGCAGTACTTGGCAATACCAAGGTGTGTTGATTGTTGTCAGTACTTGGCAGTACCAAGGTGTGTAGATTGTTGGTGATACCAAGGTGTGTTGACTGTTGGCGATACCAAGGTGTGTTGATTGTTGGCAGTACTTGGCAGTACCAAGGTGTGTAGATTGTTGGTGATACCAAGGTGTGTTGACTGTTGGCGATACCAAGGTGTGTTGATTGTTGGCAGTACTTGGCAGTACCAAGGTGTGTAGATTGTTGGCGATACCAAGGTGTGTTGACTGTTGGCGATACCAAGGTGTGTTGATTGTTGGCAGTACTTGGCAGTACCAAGGTGTGTAGATTGTTGGTGATACCAAGGTGTGTTGACTGTTGGCAGTACTTGGCAGTACCAAGGTGTATCTGGAGCTGGGTTCTAAACACACTGGTGGCCTCCCTCAGCGCACGGTTCAACCCCTCCCATGCCAAATATGGGGGTACTCGGACAGCAAACCAAACAAAGGAAAAACGTCTGATGACCTGTTCAGTCATCAAGACTCAGGAATCATCCCTAAGCCAATGCTGGAGTAAATTCACATTTTTGTTATCTATATGTTTAATTAAGGCATACAGCACAAATTCCACCTTGAAATAGAAACCCTTGTAAATAAATCATCATTTCATCAACAGCTGACAAATACCATATGGCATTGAGTCACGCTGTCCTTTGTTTAGCTGTCAGTAAGTAACACTAATGAGACCAATTACACTTATCATCTTACTGATATCTGTGGACAATTTAATATGCCCACATGTTAGTAAAACTTTGTATGTAGTATTAACTTGAACTGATGAAACCTTGTGTCATCTGTGCAGTGGGTTTGGGTGTGTCTGTTACACTGACATTGATGACACAGTGAGTAGAGAGGAGATTGACACCCTCGCAGCCTGCCAGATTCTGGTTCAGTCCATGGAATCCCAGCAGAGGGATAACAGACTACCCGTATCTTCTCACGACTTCAGACAGGTGGGTTATGGCTAGCACTTTATTTTTCAGATTAAGATTATCAAGATCAATAAGAATGTACATAATAAATAGAATGTTTCAGAACCTTAAAGGCTGACATTGTGCTATTCATGAAAATATCAACTTTGTCAGGTTATTGATGAGGTGAACATGTTATTCAACAAAATCCTCTATTTGTTTACCACTTAACACTTTTGAAATGCAGTTCTTCCAGTACCTGAGCAGCTACAGGACCAAGATGACCAGTGAAGCCCTGCACCTGTTACAGATGTATTACCAGGCCAGCAGAAAAGCACGAGCTTGTTCAGACGCTAGCACAGGTGTTCCTGTCACTGCCATGCAAACACTGTAAGTGCCAGGATCTAGTCCTTTTATGAACACTTCAAGATATTGCTTATTTTGCACATTACATTCTTATCAAATAGTTAATCCACTAAAGCGGTGATCAAAATAAGTGGTACAAATCCATACCATTTCTTGTCATGCATGCACTTCCACTTCAGGTATTGCAGAATTCAAAGGTGGTGTCATGTTAACACCTAAAAAGTTTTCAAACAAAATTTGTGTAATTGTAACAATCACCTGTTCTTACAATAATTGAAAGAAACAGAATATATTACTTTTATCATTGGGTAACATTCTTTTTTCACACATAAAACATATAGAAAGATTACAAAGTAGACACAATTTATGGATAACAACTTCTTTAATACTGTAAAGGCAATGTTTCCGTATAGATCCTTATACTGTTGTCAAGCAAGACTGAAGAAGAAACATTGTGCAGAATATACATTACTTACTTACTTACTTTGGAGATTTAACGTGCGTAGTTCGCACACGGGCCCGGCCAGGCCATTTAATGTGTTTCCGAAAGGGGCGAAAGTGGTCTGTGCAACCCAAGAGGGGGGTTTAGGGGTTGCTTATATAGAATTTGGGAATTTTGAGATTTGGAATAGATGCCGATGGGGTTGGGGAGGAGAACAGAATTCCACCTACTATATATATTCTGTACAATATTCCTCATTCAGTCTTGCTTGACAACAGTATAAGGATTAATACCGAAACATTGCCTTTACAGTATTAAAGAAGTTGTTATCCATAAATTGTGTCTACTGTGTCATCCGTTAACTTCTAAGTAATACCTATCAAACAATTCAAATAGATTGATTGCCTGCTCAAACCTGTGTTTCACTTATATTAGCCTGATAATTTTTTACGTTTGTTTATGCATTTGTACCTATGCAAAAATGTGGTTATAGAATATTTAAAATGTTATGACAAATATTTTTTTCCGCATCTTTTAGAACTACAGCCAATTACCAATTTAAGAAATAAAGGACCTTAATGAAGTCATTGTCTCCAATTTACAACAACAGCTTGGACTGCTTCTCTTCACGCTGTAGGTGTTACACTGTGAAGTAATTACCCCATTGTTCGTACCTGTTAATTGGATAGCAGCTTAGTTGTAAAAACATTCTCTCTGTTATCATTCAGTGCTTTATTCCATTCTTCTTACTGGAACCAATTTGTTGGTTTGGGATAAGGATTAGTGATAATTAATCTTTGATCTCAGTACTAATCCATGATTGTTTGTGTAGGCAAGACTTGGTGTGTCTTTGATCTTACCCATATGGTAAAACCCAGACTAACATCAAAGTACCTGGGTGATAGCCTATCTATTAATGTCTTGAGAATACAATGTCATTAAAATGTGTTTTTAACACCAAATCTCTGGTATATATTTGGTGAAATGGGTTGCGATAGCATTTGTAACTCGAGAGGGGAGCAACCAATTCTGAGTATATTTACACCACTGACTTAGAAGTGCTCCCAAAGACTCACCCCTGTAGGATGGATGCTGTTGCTGCTGCAGATGAACTAAGATGTCTTCTCATTTCTCACAACACAGCCACCCGACAGCTACAATCCCTAGGTAGGTATCAGTCTGCAACTGCAACGTGATTCCAAAACCCAAGTCTAGTAATGCTGTTCAGTCTAGTAATCTCAGCTAATAATAGTTCATATATTAACATAATATCGACTGAAAATGGTAATGAAATGAGACCCGTTCAGGCTTGTATACTCAAAAGATGTGATTCAGATTTAGCTCACAACAGTCCACATATTAACACTAAATTCTATGGCAAATGATGGTAAGAACCAAGTTCTGGCTAGTAACTATGGAAAGTTTTAAGCATGAATTGCAATAATAGTCCTGAAGTAACATAGGATCTACTAAAGAAGATAATGACAACAGCCAAGATTGGGCTGGTAGACTTTTGGCACAGGGTTATTGACGTGCAATCTTTACTAAACAATCATCTTGCTATGCCCCACCCTTTTGCTCAAGGAGGGAATTGATGCTAGTTGAGCTTCATGGTTGTCAGAGAAGTACAAAGGGGGTTACAATGGTTGACAGTTCCTGAATAGATTTTTAAGACCGTGTCTCATGTGACTGGACAATGTGAAGTGTATGTTATTATTTGTACATTTTTTATTAAAATAATAGGTACTTCTGTCACCTTTTTTCTGTGGTCTAAAATCATAAGGAAAGATCTTACTGACATTGCTAACAGTACATAAAAAGTGTGATTTTCACTAATATCTTTTACTTGTAATACTTATTATGTCTGCCTGCAAGAAATTAAAACAAACACAGCAATATTAATTCATTAACCTTTTTAGCATAAATGCATGTCCAACTTGATATTTGAAATTATTTATAAAGATCAAGATAAAATACTGTAATTTCTACAATATCTATTATCATGATTATATAGTTGCTATCTCTCTTCACAGATAATGAGATCAGTCGACTGACCAGTAAGCTTGAGACACTGCCGACAGCATGTCATCTCCCACTAACCCAGCGCGTGTCAGCCCTTGAAGGAGTCCGCAGGATGTTCTCTGTCTTCTGCTCACTCAAGTGGCAGGAAGTACAGGCCTATGTCGGGGAGATCTCTTCATCACTGGATGAGCAACACATGGACCTAGACGCTGATGTTAGTTTTGAGGAAGATGTGAGAGATGGACATCAAGTCACATGGACATCTTGTGTTTCTCACAGGGGACAGTAGCTGTTCTAACATCGTGCTGTGAATTAGGGTTTATTTAGCAAAAGTACAGTGCGTGATATCAACCTGCAGTGTGTGTCCAGGTCTGGAGTAGGCAAACCAGTGATACATGGAACAGACAGACAATAAACTTGCAAGGTTTTCAACTACCAGATGATCCCAGTCTGTTACCTTACACTTGTTATGGTGTCTGATTCCAAAAGAATCGGAAGGTTGATTTTATGAACAGCAGTTGTGTCACTAGTTCTACATGGCATGTATTTGTTTTGGAAGTGTGACAGGAGGCATTGCTAAATATTATGGTGTATCTGATATACAGTACCAAAAGCCAGATTGGATTTAGGACAACATGGGGATATGTTGGCAGTGTTTGTGTGTATGGCAGCACTATCTCCAGTGGTAATATTGGGCTTTGTTACTGCTTGTCATAAAACTAAATATATGGTCACATAAGTACTGGCCTTAGAAGACACACAACCAGATATGTGACATTGAAGGACTCTGGCTATGAGACTGAGTTCAGAGACTTACTGAAGCTGTTACCGCTGAAATTGTAAATACTCTTTGATAGTGCTTTGAAACAAGGTGCAATCGTGATTAATGCTTTTGATTACTTTAGTGCTTGAATGGAATAAACTATGACATACTTACATATGATTGTTTTTTAGTCTGTCAGGATATAACAGTTTCTGAATAAATGTGCTGTGGTATTAAATACTAAAATGTGGCAAACATAGTTTCTATATACCTTAAGAACCTAAAATTGAATTCATCTCAATTATTGTACTTAAAAAACAATGTTAACACTTCTTTGAACTTATTTTAAACATTTTAAATAGTATGTGTGCACCAGTTGCCTTCTTTGTATTAAACTTTGAGACATGTAATACTCTATTAATTAAGTATGCAAGACTCTGTCTCCATGATCATTCTACTATTCTGTCCAATTTCAAACTGAAATAGTACACTGTCATTCATGCACCAATACTTGCTAAAAACAAAGTGAAAAGAGACAGTGATATGCAACCATCACTTCCAAACAATTCCCATTACCTAGTTTTTTTAGTGTGGCATAGTGTTTTTCTCTCTTGCCAGATAGAAAAACATTACAGGGCCAATGTTGATTGACAATACACTGAGTCGCCGTGATTAGTCATTCTACAATGAATTTGGAATTTACTTGATTCTGATTGGTCAATCAGAGGCTATTAAATCACAATATACCCCTCTGATTGAAACTGCTGGTTTGATGACCGAATCACCGCGGAAGCTAATTCATAGAATAGTACTATTTTCAGTCATTGTCGGTGGGCATATTTAAATAATTATATCTACAATTACAGGTTATAAAATGCACTGATGGGGTTACTACAATATTCAAAGGATGTGTGACAATACATTTCATGCAGAAAACAGGACAGAAATCCACAAAGAGATGTATTTACGTTTTGGAGAGCTTGGAATTTTGGCGCTTTTCTATATACGACTGGAACGTCATATCTTTTGCGTCACGATGAGCGATATGACGCCATAATGGTGACGTGCGATGTAGAGCGAAAGCCTTGCAAAGCTTGCTTTGTTTTCTTTAGGGATGCCCACCCCATGTTAGCTTACCAAGTTGCTGTGCTTATATGCTTTCAATGCCTGTCATATGTTCGAATGAAGTATTAGGGTGTAAACAAACTGTTACTGAGTATATACAGCGCCATATTTTGTTCGGTGATTCCGTAATTCAGATCAATAACCCACTCAAAACACTGGACTCATCGCATGTCGCTTCACTCAGTATATTTGCTAACACCAAAGAGTTTGCATTTTATTTAGTCATGGTAGGTAACCTTGCTCTACATTGAAAACATAGTATGTTTATCTCCTAATTAACCAGCTGTTGATGGTAAGCCTGAGCCTTATTAATACAAAATTCACCATGATTATAATATCAGTCCTAAGACAGTCAGCACCATGCCCATACGTGTTGGTTTCATGAAACTGGGGAATGTCTGGTCCTGCTTTCTTTCTACACATAGTGACAAACTAAGATCAGTTTCCAATACAGGCATTAAATCCTATTTACTCAAATATAAATAGAAGTTTTTGGGGATCTGGCCAAAATTTTCTTATTACTGTCTCATGGTCAGGACAGACACTCTGAACTCTGTGTTGCAGGGTGTCCCTGTCTCACGGCCAGGCCAAGCTCAGTCTGCGTCACCAGGTCCTAGAGGAAGATGCTGTCATGGCCATTAGGATCTATGAGGAAATTCTTACTGCAAGATTTGGTACGTTTAACAAACATCTATATTAAATGTCTGAAATTCTAAGCATAGTGTACTGCAATAATAGTCCTGCAATAAGAGGACCATTAAACTATATTCATTGAAAGCAAGAGTTGATATTCGTGCAAGAAAACATTTTGCCTCAGCCAGGGGATTCAAATTGTGTTTGCTATATTCTCATACTTAAGGCACCTGGAGTTGACATCAGATGTAAAGTTGACCCCACTGTTCGTATTTGTAATTTTAAATATCTGATGCAAACATGTTTTTCAACCTAGATTCTTATGCCTTTTGTACAGGAATGTCCATATTGAATGTTCAGCCAAGATCTCATGTGACAAGCAAGTGTTTTGAAGAATTTATTGGACCAGAGGTATATATGAATGGTATCCTCCAAAATTTAACTACGTTTAAAAGCTCTACAATTTGGGAAGAAAGGAAAACCCACTATCAATTGGAACTATTATTATTGCATCTAATTTAAATTCTTCAATGATTCAGTGGTTTCTGTGGATTTTATTGTCTGAAAACACAACAGAAAACACATCAAGGCCTTTGCTGATGCAGGTTCCTAGTAGACTTGTTTGTGCCATCATATTGGAGTTTTGCTACTTGTGTTTCCCCCTTGGGGATTCCAGGTAAGAATATTGGTCCCCAGCAACCTGTATTGTCGTAAGTGGCAACGAATCAGTTTGTCAGCTTCAGTGGTTTGGTTGATTGCCTGCATTGTTTCCCAATTGCATGGATTTATGGTCATGATGTCAATCACTGGAATATCTGGTCCAGACTCGATTATTTACAATCCACTATCATATACCTGGAACATTGCTGAGTGTGGAATTAAACAACAAACAATACTTTTGATACATAGAAAGAATGCCCAAAGACTTTTCTGTTTTCATTCATGATCAATCATCAATTGCTTTTTCAAACCGATGACCTATCTTGAAGTTTTAGAAATTCCCAACACTACTATTAAGAGTATCTGTTTTGATCTAACTTGTAGGGATTAGGGACTAGTGTATATATTACTCAAAAGAAGTACTACAGTTAATCTGTCATTGAGTAGGAATTTGTCCATTGGTAAGTAACTTGAAATTGAATGTCTCCAGTAGTTTCCAGGCTAATATTGCTGCCTATCCATTATTTAATGGCATCATGTTTATGCCTTTCTACCCTTGAACAAGGATGGGTGGTATTGTAAACTGCAATTAACATATTTAATTTAACAAGACTATTATCATCCAATGATATTCAGGCATTTGTGATCAACAATTCCATTATAATCTATAATTCTTAATGCAGTAAGAATGTTGCTGTTTTTTTTACAGAATGACCGGGCCATGCATCAGTTCCATGTTCAACTGATCCGATTCTGTGGCCACACTGGCAACATGGAGGAATGAAATGTACACATTACCATAGACATTACTGTTAATGTGTTATACCAAAAGACATCAGACAGTGGGACCATTTGATTCTTATACAATAAGACTTCGTTTGTTGACCGAGTCAGTGGAAATGCAGGAAACTACACTCTGAATTTCTGTTTTGGTGGCATCATAGAAGCATTTGTTGACTTGATCACAGTGTTAAATGTAGGGAAGCTACACTCTGAACTGCTGTCTTGGTAGCATCAGGGTTCTGTATTAGAAGCATTTGTTGACTGGACCAGTGTTAAATGTAGGGAGGCTACACTCTGAACTGCTATTTTGGTGGCATCTGGTTCTGTATCAGAAGCATTTGTTGACTGGATCAGTGTTAAATGTAGGGAAGCTACACTCTGAACTGCTGTCTTGGTAGCATCAGGGTTCTGTATTAGAAGCATTTGTTGACTGGACCAGTGTTAAATGTAGGGAAGCTACACTCTGAACTGCTATCTTGGTGGCATCAGTTTCTGTATAGAAGCATTTGTTGACTGGACCAGTGTTAAATGTAGGGAAGCTACACTCTGAACTGCTATCTTGGTGGCATCAGTTTCTGTATAGAAGCATTTGTTGACTGGACCAGTGTTAAATGTAGGGAAGCTACACTCTGAACTGCTATCTTGGTGGCATCAGTTTCTGTATTAGAAGCATTTGTTGACTGGACCAGTGTTAAATGTAGGGAAGCTACACTCAGAACTGCTATCTTGGTGGCATCAGTTTCTGTATAAAAAGCATTTGTTGACTGGATCAGTGTTAAATGTAGGGAAGCTACACTCTGAACTGCTATCTTGGTGGCATCAGTTTCTGTATTAGAAGCATTTGTTGACTGGACCAGTGTTAAATGTAGGGAAGCTACACTCTGAACTGCTATCTTGGTGGCATTGGGTTGTGTATCAGAAGCATTTGTTTACTGGACCAGTGTTAAATGTAGGGAAGCTACACTCAGAACTGCTATCTTGGTGGCATCGGGTTCTGTATTAGAAGCATTTGTTGACTTGATCAGTGTTAAATGCAGCAAATATTTAAGTTTTAAATATAAATTTGTTGACATAAGCATGGGTTTCTAATTTATTATCTGATGCAGAAATCATTCTAATTCTGTGTAAAATATATTTTAACATGTAGACTCAATGTTGATTGAATAGTTCTAATGAAATTGAGAGAATCTCTTGATGAAATAGGTGCCGGATCGTCTGTCACCAAGTGTGTCTATATGTTAAAATTGTCCAACTTGTATTCTGTTCAATGTTATCATTGTCACCCTACTACATCTGTGATAATACATTTATGAATCAAATATTTCCACATATGTTTGGTAATATTGGCAAGTAATATTTAATATATTAACTATGTCAGCTATCACTGACTTATCAGACAGATTACATTGGTCAAACGGCTATGTAGTGGAGCCAGGAGTAAATGGGGTTGTATCTTGCTGTCAACAAGATTACAGCACTGACACTAATGAGTGAGGTACCAATATTCACATCTCAAACAAAAGTTTAGAATAAATCTTTTTCTGTATTTGATTCCTGGTACAAGTACAGAATTCTGTAAATGGTGATTTACTATTTTAAGTCTTTTTAGTACAAATGTGCATTTCTCAACATGAAATACCCAGAAAAGTTCACTTCAATATCTCCAATAGATTTCTGACTTACGACCTGATGACACTATGATGTAAGTAACATTCGAGAGGATGGAAAGAAGAGGCAACAGCACCCAGTCCCATATATCCTCCTACTCTGTTGTCTTACTAGACAAACCGGTGGTAGTCAGGCCATGGCATGAAAACAGGTTGACACCTTCAGCCATGTCACAACTGGTGCTCCCTGGCAGCCTCCTATCAAGTGCCATTTACCTCAAGGAGCTGTGACCAGTCAGATCAGGTTACAAATAAAGCATGTGGGGCCTTTATTGTCCTGAGATGACTGACAGACTAAAGAATGCGATGTCATTAACAGTTAACTATAAACAACACTCAAGAGCAAATGTTTTATTTTGTTTTGCCACATATTAATATCTCAGACAGCAATACATAACAATAATACACCAGATTCATTCACACTGTCCTTATACCCCAATATAGTTCTAGTGTTCAAAGCACAGGAGATAGATCTGTGTTCCAGTGTGGAGATTTGTTTCCATAGTCACAACACTATAATAAAGAGATAATGTGGTATGCATAACATACCTGACTAAAAAATAGCTCATAGAATTTACAAAAAATATTTATCTAAGGAATTATCATTTCATGTTGATTATTCATACATGTTATCATTTAATCACATATAAAGATATATTCTACAGAATATCTATTTCATCACAAAGTACTACAAATAATATGAGTCTAGTAACAAAAATATAAACAACACCTAGCACTGCATATTACATCATTTTCGAAGTAGATGGTGGCTCGATATTTATCAAATGTCTCCCTCACTTCCACTTATATATTGCACCCTTTTTTTCAAATGTAAGATAAACTTTGTTCATAATGAACACACTTATAACGAACTGACCGATATAACAAACGTTTTTGGTCCCGTCTATTTGCTAAAACTTATAACGAACTAAGGTATAACAAATCAAAATTAGTGGTTCGTTATAGCCGTACTTTACTGTATCTTGAACCACCTTGATAAGTTTGTACCCACTTGTCAGTTTATGTCAACATACTCACCAGTTATAACTGTGTACCTGACATATTTCCAATACAGATGACATGTCAAAATTGTGTAAAACCTCACATTTGAAGAAAAACAACTTTTATATTCCCAGTTCTCAAATACTTTCTACATTCTGACACTGATGCACAAAAACATGAAAGTCCCAAATGATATTTCCAATATGACTGACAAGACTAATATCTTATCACTATCTAAATGTATGTTCATCACTCTTCTTGATAACATGCTAATCTAAATAGGATTTTGAGGATTGAGCTGTCTATGTCCATTTACAAATATTCCAAGTTATACTCTCACGTAGACCTTCAGATAAAACCTTAAATACATCTAATAGAAATAAATGTCTGTAAAATATATGCGTATAAATATATGGGTAACATTACTGAAATTTAATATTATGCTTACTTATAAATAACAAAAAGGAAACAACTGTTATATAAGCATGGCAAGAAATAAGCGTGTAAGCTGCATGGTGCTTGCTGCATGTAAGCATTGTATCGGTAATCACCAGGCAAGAAATTCAGTTAAACAACAGGAAATAACAGAAAATGAATGTTCATGACTTTTGATGCCAACTGCTCAAGAAAAAACAAAAACGGTTAAACTAATTAAATTTACCAGTAAGTAACATTTAACAACACCTTGTAACATTCTTTACGTTTTTCCGTCAAGAAAATTTTTGCTTCGTATACACAGCCATTCCAAAAATGTAAGTCCAAACTGATTTGTCTGAATTAACAAGGTGAAACAAATTTCATCATGTGTTTCATCTAATCAGCATTGATCAGTGACATGTGAAATGCCAAAGGATATATACAGAAACACATTGAAAATGCATAATCACTTTTTGACTCTAAATGAATGACAAGATAATGATTTTGGCAGTACATCTCGAAACACCGAATGAGATTCAAACCAAAAAATGAACATTGGTGTGTTTGATGATCTCATGCTTGAATAGCAAGAACTACTTAATTTCATTTTTGTGGACATTATACTAAATACTACAAAAATCTGAATATGTGTTTTCAAAGTGTGCCAGCATAGTAATGTTGACTTCTGTCTGTCACTAACCTTGGCAAGGCATAGTGTTAATGGTATGCATGAGAATGGTGAGTGCAAACCCATAAGAAGTGAACAGTTGATACATCTTCATGTAATTTAAAGAAATGTGACCCACCAGGAGAAAAGGGACCTTATGGGTGCTAGGATACAATTGTGCTATGACGTCAAAATGATGTTTGACGTCGACTAACTTCAGTGAAGATCGCCTTGTGTGATGTCATGTATCTCTGTAATAAATATGAATACAAGCTTGTGAATGTTATTTTTGTGTCCCGAAGATGCTGTAGTGTTAAAATATAATGGAAAGTCAGAATGTGATTTTCACCCACATGGCCCCTAATCTCATGGTTAGTCACAAATAATGAGAGACAAATGTAGGAACAAATTACAAAGTTATCACAAACTGACAACATATCTTGTTTTGATTTCACATTCTGAGTTGTAATCATGTCCAGTAAACATTCAAAATTCTTTGTAAGGAACCTGTCATTTATTGTGGGTGTGGTGTGGTGTTAGAAGTTGTTGAGATGAGGTAATGTACTGAAAATAAAGACTCCCCTCCCCCCTAATGCTTTTCATCGTCATATCCATGTCCCCCCTCCAAAATAAACATGCGGTCCCTAATATTGCCTAATATGTCAACTTAGGTCAACTTCAAAGAGACTTAATTCAACTTAAGAACATTGAACAGATGATGGTCCATTCCACACAAAAAACCTACCACCGACATTAATGGTTTTACGCTGCTGCAAGTGAGGAATGTATTTTTCTCCAAGGTACTAGTAAGGGCAGATACTCACAGGGTCATTAATTTGAGTGAGTAGGTTTTATTCTACTTTTATAACTATTCCAGCCATACTACAGAGTAATACCAGTAATGGGCTTTACACAATGTACCCATGTGGGGGATCAAACCAGAGTCGATGGCGTGACCAGCCAATTTTTTAACCACCGGGCTACCACCCCACTGCTCCAATTGCATTGACAGAAACAAGTCCAAGACGTTCCAGTGAACACTGTTCTGTGAAAGTTTACTGTGAACTAGTTAATTTGAAGCTATTCATCAGCCCAAAGCTTCAAACATAAATATGTCAACTCTTGCTAGTGAAAAATAATTCCACTGATCCGCATATCAACACACATCACAATACCCTGATTTAACACTAAAGGTGAGGTGACTATGACATATTTATGTTTGGCACAACATTAAATTCTACATTGGAGTGCAATACAAAAACAGAGACAATATCAGAGCAGATACATATTGTATCCAGTCCGCAGTCTGCAGTCTGCATTAAACAATGGGCACCTGTCACTCTTGGTAATATAATAAAACACACAGTTAAACCGGTTTACACAAATTGAGCATATATTGTTAAATCAGAACTTTATACAATTCCATCAAAACAGCACCTTCTACTGGCCTAAAACAATTCTGATCTTCCTAATTCCAGCATAAGGTGACTTCACATGAAGCAATTACCACATTTGCTAATTTCAGGGGAGCAAAACAATTTTTTCATTTGATCCATGGATGACAAATGCCTGACTAGCTCAGAATAGGTCTTTATGTACAGAACACTATTTAGCATTTGTTGCTACCAATGTACAGTGACAAGTGCAAAGCAGGCATGTCCTCGTGAACCATTCATACTGTGAACTTGTGGGTTGGTGTAGTGCTGGAAGATGACCCTTAACCTTGATGTGTAGAGGAATCTGATGTGAGATTACAGGAACTGTCAGACCAATAACTGATAGAAATAAACAAAACAAGATAATAGTTGTATGGAACTTAAACAGTAACAACTGAGATTAAAATGCAGTCACTTCATTGTTCACACTTAAGCACTCAGATATGCAAAAGGGTACTTAGGAAATACTGATTGTACATTATAATACTTACCATATTTCCTCAATTAAACACCCAGGTGTATGTTTTTCTTTACCCCTAGCATTTAATTGCAAAGATGATATAATGTGGAGACCTCTGTGCCAAAAAATCTACTGGCTTTTAATTGAGGCCCAGTGTTATTTGAGTCCTAGTAAAGACTTTTGAACAAACATTTATGTTAAATGTTACAATTCTTTTTCAAAGCAATTTCTTTGATTTGACTTGTACATGTCACTGAAATTTCAAAAATTAACGACTGTCATGTTTTTAGTAATATATTCAGTTGAAATAAAAAGAAGTTAAGTATCGTAAACACATAGTTTCATATTTCAATCACTTCAGACTGCTATTTTCTGCAATATAGTGCTGACATTTGGCGGGAATATATTACAAATTCATTCAACATGTTCAAAATATGAAAATCAATGCCAAACATATATTCTTTTGACTTAGAGAACCAATCTTGTAGCTCTGATTGATCTTCACTTCTTTTATTGGGGGTCCGCAACAAGCTTGTCATGAACATGCATAAGACCATTGAAGTATTTGACAGTCTTCATGCGGAGCTCCAATGTGGCAGGTTCATCACAGATGAAGATGGTCTTTGGATGTTGCTGGAATGCTGATACTGTCCACATGTGGTTCACCCCCTCCTCAATGGCCTTGCTCAGGGCCAGTGCTTTGTGGGCTCCTGTGATGAGGATCATTACCTGGCAACACAAACACACACCCATATAGAACTGCTTTATAAAGACGGACAATTCCATCATGGTCATTCTATACCATAACTGCTAAAAATTGTTTCAAATTATTTGATTGCCATGACTCACCCTGGAACATCAAACATGGAGCCTTGAGAGTGCAAATCTGACCAACATATTCCTATTGAGAATATCCTAAATCACCTGAAATTAATACTGTTGGAGAAGTGGTTAAAAGGTGATTGTGGCAGTTATATAGTTAAAAGGTATTTTGTGGGCATATTACAGTTATTTTCATTCAATTCTATTGTACAGTTTCAATAAACATTTGAATACATCTTTAATATGAAGATAATTAATGTCTACTGATATAATTAACAAACTTACCTCTTTTGCATCCATCACAGTCCCCACGCCTACTGTGAGAGCCTCTGTAGGAACCTTGGACATGTCGCCATCAAAGAAGCGAGCATTGGCCAATATGGTGTCCTGGTTGAGGGTCTTCACCCTGGTGCGAGACACCAGACTCGACCCTGGCTCATTGAAGGCGATGTGACCATCAGGGCCAATACCTGCAGCACAATGTTGGATAATGTTTAAATATTACCAATAAAGGTAGAACCATCAAGTGTAATAACATTCCCATATTTCAACATACATTTCAGCAATTCTCAATGCTGAATGTTCAGTTAGAGTGATGAAGTATCATTATAGTGAATAATATGACCTCATTGTTCATGACAACCTGATAACACATTGTCATCTGAACAATAAATCGAACTAAGTAAAGTTGAAATGTCATACCAGTTTGTTTAGCTCTTTCTCATAATGGGCACAGGTAAATAATGTTGCAGTTTTCGGGGGATTACAATTCATTATCACACAGTTGTTAGTGCAGCATGTTCCAAATCAGGAATCTATCAGGAAAACACTATGAAACAGTCCTTAGTGCGGTGTAGTGACAAGTCAGTATCAAAATTGTTTATTAGGAGCAGCACGGAGATATGGTTACTGCAGCTACCTCAAACCATAGTTGGGGGGCACAGGTGGCCCAGTCATCTCAGGCGCTGTGATTCGCTGTGCAGAGTTGCGCCCCTTAGGCATGCCAGAAACCTATGATTGTGGGTTCGGATCATGGTTCACCGCGATTATGTTTCTAGGTTTGTCAGCACCATACCTGTGCTCGTGGGTTTCACTGAAGTGGTAAACGTCTGAGACCTGCATCACTTTGGCTTTCCTCCTACATTAAGCTGCGCGCCGTGATATAACTGGAATACTGTTAAAATCAGCAATAAACCCAACTCACTCACACTCAAACCATTGTTCATAAAATCATCTACATTTCGCTGTGGAAGAAATAACCACAAAGGATGACAAATTTATCATTACAAGTTATTTTTGGTGAAATCACCAACTTATTCTCACTATGTACCTCAAAACACATAGTCAGTTCTTTCTTGACAAGCAAGTCACATAACATCAAACATTTTCACAACATGCTGGCTGTCAATTAGCTAAAATGTAAGGCTTTTTTTCACAAGATGGTGGCAGGCCAATCAGAATGCTAGATTTAATGACCACGGGATAACAAGTTTTATTCCCTATGAAACATACACTGTTGACACAAAACCATGACGATGGTGTGATAAATTCCTCCTACCTCCAATGAAGAGTTCAATTCCTCCTGCCTTTGTGATCTCAGACTCAAATCTGTTACATTCAACTTCTAGGTCTGCAGCATTTCCATCCAAGATGTGTGCATTCTCTGGCACAATGTCAATATGCTTGAAGAAGTTATTCCACATGAAGGAATGGTAGCTCTCAGCGTGATCCCTCCGAAGACCTGTGTGTTAATACATGTTGGTCAATCAGGGAATTAGCACCTATAGATACCATATTTGCCCTAATAAGTGCCCTGGGTGCTTACAGAATTGACAAAGGGGGTGCCTCTGTAGTCAGAAATCAGGCGTTAAAGAACAAACTTAGTTCAAATTACGATGAAACCAAAATATTTTCAATAATATTTATTCTTCAATTATTTATCCCTTCTTCACTGTGTTTCCTGTAAAAATCAGTAACATATATAATCTATGGTTAAATCGAATATATATCATATAAGAAAAAACAAACTGTTATGTACATTTTTGGTGTTAAGTACGGGGCGCTTATAAAGAGCATTAGGATCAACCATTTGGGGTATAATGAAACATATGCCATATTTTTTTGGGATTTTATGCACATAAGTGAAAAGGACTTTGTCTTCTTGTTGAACTAAGCATTCAACACATATGCACAAACAGTTTTCATATGCGAGAAACAGCTCCCATCTTTGGGGAATAGGAGTATTCAATGAGCAGCATATTTATTGTGTTTAGAATGTAGTTCCTTGTACCCACCAAGGTCATGTTGTTTGTGAGGCGAGGTGAAATGGGGTTTTACGTCATGTCCAAGATTATTGCACTTATATAGCGACGTGCATGAACATGTGTGTGTGTGTGTGTGTGTGTTTGTGGTTGCTTGTACTAGTCCCGACGGATACCAATTTATAGTGCTAGCTCACTGAGATGCCATGCCGCAGTTTAACATGAAAAATCCACTCAGACACAGTATACTGTCTCCGAGCCGACCAGTCCTTGTTTCAGCCCCTTAATGCTGTGTGCCAGACAGGGTAACAACAAGTACCATCTTTTAACGTCTTTTGGCATGAGGTGGCCGGGGCTCGAAACCCCGGACCTTCCGCTCTTCGGAAGGACGCTCTACCACTATACCACGAAGGCGGTCCCTATGTTGTTTGTGAACTTACCTACATACTCATCCATGTTAAATGTCTTGACATATTTGAAGGAGAGTTTCTCAGCCTTATGAAACTCTATCAGGGCCTTGTACATACCAAGTGGTGTACTTCCTGAAACACCAATCAGTTCTATATTCAATTGGAAAACCTTTATACAAGACATGGGCGGAAACAGCTTTTTTGAAAAGGGGGGGTGCACAATTAAGATCTATTTATTGTCTTTGGTGGTAATTAATACAGAAATAAAGATATTTTTTTTAAATAAAAAGGGGGGGTGCGCACCCCCGCACCTCTGTATCCGGGAAGATTCGGAGAAAACATAACTCATTCATGACAAAATTATACAACAAACATAACATATTCAAATCTAATGTCAATCTGACCAATCATTACTATCCCATGTATACTTTTAACAAATCTGCCTCATCATCAGATCATGAAAGTGATACTGTTAAAGGGATTATTAAAAGTATTTGTAATCATGCACAAGAACAATGCCTTCAGCCACAGTCTGCCCGACAAAGGACAGTAAGCAGTGTGGACAGGTCACTCTAACCTACAGCACCCAGGCTATAAACACTGATGTTACATCATTAAAAGTAACATAGCTGTCAAAACTCTACCATAAAAAAGTTTATGTATATTTTATCTAACTCCAGAAAAAGCCTGTCAAAACTTGCTCTTTATCATTTCTTATCTTGCCTATGGTCACGATGGTGTAGAATGTTTATGAGTGATCGAGGAATGAATAAGGCAACCAGTGGCTCTTATGCTACACCATGCTACAAGCAGGACGCACATAGGATCTGTTCTGCCGAGGTATTGAAACAGGGGCACCGGAAGCTTTTAGAACTATCATCAGTAATTAGAATTTATATAAATTCCAGCCAGACAGCTGGATGGGCAAGCCTTATACATTGCCAGTATGGTAGACACAATTTTATGGATAACCACCTCTTTAATACTGTGAAAAGCGATGTTTCGGTATTGATCCTTATATATTGACTTATTGAAAAGTCGCTTTTCACAGTATTAAAGAAGTTGTTATCCATAAAATTGTGTCTACCTTGTCATCCGTCAACTTCTAAGTAATGCATATCAAACAAAATTGCTAGTATGGTTAAAAAGTTGCCAGTTTAGAGGTATCTTTTACACTGGTCGGAACAATAATGACAAATAACTAAAAAAGAAAATAATTTATATCGTTTCATTAAGGACATGCTCACACGAATGTAGTTAAATGCAGAATGTCAGCCAGACCCTCAGACGTGCATTTTTTAAGTTTGACTGTCTGAGACAAAAACAGTCTGTGTTGGATGGTCAGCAGGCAGGTACTTGAAACACTGGCTTCATGTACATAATTACTGCATATCAACAGAAATTCCTTTTTGAACATAATATCTTCTGACTGCTTAGTGGTGAGTGTTGTTTTAATGCTGTGGTCAGCAATATGACATCTTCATCACAGTGTCATGTAAATTATCTTAAATAAACAAGTGTGGACCAAGCAAACCAGTGACTGAAAGCATGAACAACAACACAAGGACACACAATCACCCTAGTCTAACCACCTGATCCATGTGTACCCGTGAACATCCGGGGTAGAATAGATCTTCAACAACCCATGCTTGCCGTAACAGGTGACTATGCTTGTCTAAAGAGGAGACTGATGGGATTGGGTGGTCAGGCTAGCTGACTTGGTTGATGCATGTCATCATATCCCAATTGCCACGATAGATGCTCATAATGTCAATCACTGGATTGTCTCGTCCAGACTCAATTATTTACAGACCGCCATCACATAGCTGGAATATCGCTGAGTGCGGTATTAAACAATAAAGTAACAAACAAAACCTGATTCATGTTATCTACTCGAACAACAAACAATAGAGTTCTGGGAACCTTCTCTAATCAAGCTCCCTGTTGAATGTAATGATATATTACGAATGTATATAGAGGTAACTATCCATTCAAACTAGAGTGAGTGAGTTTGGTTTAAAGTCGCTTTGAACATTATTTCAATGATATCATGGTGTCTCCACTTGATGTGAGTGAGTGAGTGAGTTTGATTTTACACCGCTTTTAGCAATATTCCAGCAATATTACGGTTCGGGACCCTAGAAATGGGCTTCACACATTGTACCTATGTCTGGAATCAAACCCGGATCTTCGGCGTGATGAGCCAACGCTTTAACGACTAGGCTACCCGACCGCCCCCACTTGATGTGGGAGGAAAGCCTGGGTGATGTGGGTCTGAGTGAGTGAGTGACTGAGTATGGTTTTACGCCGCTTATAGCAATATTCCAGCAATATCTCGGCAGGGTACACCAGAAATTGGCTCCACACATTGTACCAATGTCGGGAATCGAACCCGGGTATTCTGCATGATGAGCAAACGCTTTAACCACTAGGCTACCCGACCGCCCCGATGTGGGTCTGAGATCATCAACAATGATAAAGAAGAATAGCGTAACCATGGTTACCTGTTGGCAGTCCAAGGGTGTAGTATTTATCGGGTCCAGGTTGGAAGTCCAGTATTCTCCTCCGGACATACTTGGCTGCCCACTGGGACACAGAGTCATAATTCTCTAAAATCACAAGCCTCATCTGAAAATAAATATAATGTCAAATAGAATGGCCATCATGGCTATTACTTCTGTATTATGTGAATCACTGATCCACCAAACCTACCTATTTCATTAAAAATGACCAAAAACAAACAAGCAGATTATGGCAGATACATAGGGCTGGATATACATGACGCCACAATGAGTGGTTTAGCACAGTTGAAATTACTTGCAGGCAATCCTTCATGTAGCATTTATATTTCTGAGATATTATAGGGGAGGGCTGGTAAGATTAAAGGGGTCTGGGGTCAGGAAAACAGTGGAAGAGAGGGGGTTGCCAAAATTTATCACAGCTATATGGGAGGGGTTAAGGAAAAATGACAGTTCTATTTTTTCAAACAAGAAATAATATCTTTGAACATTATTGGTCATTTTTTATAGGAAGTGTGTGTGTCTGCCTGTGTGCATGTAGAGGGGGAATGTATTGAAAAGTTACATAAAATGAGGGGGTGGGGGGTGGGGGTTGGCAAAATATGATACAGTCTGACACCAATCCCCACACCCTCCCCATAATAAATGACCATTCCCTGACAGTCAACCTTCTTCTTGGATTTCCTCTTAATGTGTTTTTTAGGCGTCACTCCTTCAAACATTACACCTCTACTTATAAATACAGAACACTGAACATATTACAAATAGTTTTGCAAGGAAATTGTTGATCATTTGAGTGCTTTTCCTTGAACAATTTCATTGTACTTCCTTTTGAGGGTTCATTGCCATGGTAACTACACATTTTACAGGCATCGTAATTAGGAATTCACCTCATACACAACACATTCAGTCAAGACTTGCTATGAATATCATAGATATTTGTTTTGCTCTCATTGTTTGTTTTGTACCGCTTCTACTACAGCGTCAATACCCACAATTCTCTTTAAATATTGTATCACATTGCAAGCTGAAAATACCTGGCCATGCAAAAGAAACATTAATGTTTTTATAACTCTTTTTTTATGTCAAGGGTGTTGTTCCTCACCTGGTGTTAAATATACCTCATGTTCAAGGTCAGAAGAAAAATATTAATTGGTGCATAAGAAATAGATTTGCTCAGCACCTAATCAAATAATGATCACCAGAATATACAGTATTGCTCACTTTTTCCATATTCTAATCAAAAAGAACCATCTCAAGAAAACTCCTTTGATCCAGGTGGGCTTAAATAACAAAGTCTTAGTGTGGTGTGTTTAAATACACAGTGCTTCAAGAGTCCCTCGCGGAGTCAGGTCCCCTCCGCACCTCTGAGACACAAGCATGGCCAAGCCTAATGCAGACAACACACACTCGTTTGTTCTGTTAACAAACACATTTACATTTGTCTTTCAACAGATTTGACAAGAATGAATGTAAATCGTGTTGTGGTTCAACCTGCTGTTGCTTGATACATCTTACACCTGTAACATGTGTGCTGACAAATAAAATTCCTGAGTGGTGGCCATGATCCTTCTCTTGTATGATATTGATTAATCAGCCACATGTCCCATACAAATCTACCACCTAGAATCTGGCTTCCAAACAGAACCAGCCCCCTCGAGTGCAAGACTCACCAAAAACACTGCTCATAAGACTTTATATTATATATGTGACCAACGTAACTACATGTACATGAAATGACTTCTGACCACCTTAATTCTGAAAAAATACATGTACAAATACAAAATATAAATTTGATCTATTTTTTCATATGGCTACAACATATATATGGTATGTTTAAGGACTCTTTAAACTTATTAATGTTGTAAGCTGAAACGACTGACAGACAATCCAGTGATTAATATTGTGAGCAACAATCCATGTTATTGGGTATGACAACACGCAATCAACAAAGTCCCAGTCTGACCACCTGATCCATTTGGAGCCTGACCTCTCAATCCATTTGGAGCCTGATCTCTCAATCCATTTGGAGCCTGACCTCTCAATCCATTTGGAGCCTGACCTATCAATCCATTTGGAGCCTGACCTCTCAATCCATTTGGAGCCTGACCTATCAATCCATTTGGAGCCTGACCTCTCAATCCATTTGGAGCCTGATCTCTCAATCCATTTGGTTGCCTTTTATGACCAGTGTAGGTTGACCTATTCCAACCCAGAATCCCCACTGGGTGATCGACGCTAAGTATTTACTTAAGCTGCATGTTTGTTAAATACCCGAGGCATTTTCTCTTGTGTTGAATCATGCAACAACACCCACATCGAATCGTCTCCAGATGATCTGTGCAGGGTGATGTTAGCTTACAACAACATCCCACTTGACACAGGCCATTGATTAGACAATGTAAACCTAGACATCGTATCACTGTCTACAATGTAACCTCAAAGACAAATTGACATGTGGGTGCTAAAAAGGTCATTTGACATTTAAACAACTTCATTCATTAACAAGTATTATTATCTTTAAGTTCCATTTTTTTTAAGTTGTAGAATCATCGAACACAGATGGAGATGACTATGATATTTCAAATTTTTTCATTGACATAATGAAAGAAATTGAAATCCAAATGCATATGTAGTTCATATGGGGTATCTGCCCTTGCTATTGTTAACAATGCAATGGGCCTATTGAGTCATTAATCTTAAACTTAATTGTTTTTACATTATACGTTTTTCTTAAACTAACCTGTTTTCTGAAACTTTTCTCATATTTAAATGTTCAGATTACAGTAAAACTTAACAATGTATTAATATAAATATGATATGCAGGCCATTGATTAAATCCTACAGTGTATATATGTGACGTGAATTGATTTCTCTAATAATATATACCACTGTTGCTGTGCATTGTGCAGTACTCGGGCAATACAAAAGAAATGTTAAATGTACATGCTGACAAGGCACGAGACCGAGACATGTCACTGAATAAATGTATCTGCATTGATAACCTACAATTTATGTTCTAGAAGTCACTGTTTTAGATCATCTTTACTTCAGAAAAACAAAGCCTCTGATTCACTTTGTCAAGAACTCTACTCTGCGAACGTGCCAGAATATTCATAAAATAAAAATACTGATAACGATGGCTTACTCAGTTCATTTCTCCATGCTCACATCTTACCTTGGGAGTGAAAGGGACAAGAGGACGTAGTGAAACACGAACGTTCTGAGGTCAGCGACTTTCTGATAACCTTCTTTAACAAACTCGCTTAGTAGGAGAGGCCCTTCTCACTGGAAGCGATCAGCTGACAGACGCTTGTGGAAACAGTCGGAAATTGTCGGCTAAGTCCGTCTAACGAAAGAAATATACGATAGTCACGCTTTCTCCGATATATGCAAAATCGCAAAAGGAGGTTCCAATTGACGTCAATAGCTTCTATCACGTGCGCTTTGTTTACATCCTGTTGAGATTGTTAAGGTTATTTTTTGTTATATTTTTCTATAAATAAAACATTAAAAGCATGTCATTTAATGTATTCGTTGTTTATGTCCGCAATGTGTTAGGCTAATCGGACGACCATAGTAAATTTAGGCTCAATGTCAGGGTGATTGTTTGGTGGTGGTGGTGTTCGGAGTTTTAATTCAATACTATATTCTTTCGAACTTTCAACATAAGATGTCATATGTAAACGTATTTTGTTACATGATTGTTCCATGTATGTGTTTGGTGGCATGGTGTAAATAAACCATCTACGATGTATTATATCTTATATCTTGTTTTCAGAAAGGGACAACAAGAATGTTATTGGAATGAAGAATATGAGTTAATGCTATAATATGTTTTTAGGCGAACGTTACGAAGTAAAACGTTTTCGTCAAGCATGGCGTTGACGAGCAGACAGCTCTTTTTGTTTTGCAGACGAGGAATATCGTACTTGTCGAGAAGTGCGAGGAACAGATCACACATTGATAACGTAACAGTTAAGCCGCGTTTAAGGAGTTTAAATTACAAACAACATGCATCTGTCAACCCTGTCATTGCCGTTTTTAGAAATGGTCAGCCATCAAAACTGACAACATTTGGCTCTGTGGGCTTTGGGTGTGTTCTTTATGGGACAGTAGCGTTTTGTCTCGCCAATAATAAACGTAAGTGCAATTTTGAATTGATGTGTCTCATACTCGTTTTTGTTTTTGAAAAAAGAGTTTTCCGAAAGGTAAAAATAAATGGTTTATAATCATAATCTTTCTGATGCAATCACGTTTGAAGGGATAGTTCTACATGGTGAATCTGACTGGAGTATGTTCCGTAATGAGAATGTAGAGGTTATCATGGGATGTTTTGTTTGTTTCTTTGTTTGTTTGTTTGCCGCACTCAGAATATTCCAGCTGTATGACGGCGGTCTGTAAATAATCAAGTCTGGACCAGACAATCCAGTGATTGACATCATGATTTATGGGATGTCGTCAAATAAAACAAATGTTGCTTTGTGGCTCCCTGTTGATGTGGGTCTAGTTAACAGTGCTGCCTTCTTCCTACATGTAACATAGTCCAGGATTTTGTAAAGAAGTTGATTTGAGGGATCAATGTTATTAAAGAATCTTAAATTTGTTATTTCCCCTGTTTTCAGATGAAAAGTTTCTCAATGCAGCTCGCCTCAACAATGTACGAGAGATGGAAAGGTAAATAAGATTTTTTTTTGAAGTTGTTTTGTTCCACAGTCGAACAAGGAGGGGGAGAGGGAACACAATCACTGATAATAGGTAATTCAGGGTATTTTTCTCAGATCACAGGTAAATTAATTCAAATTATGTTTTCACTGGCCACAGGCAATTCAGAGTATGTTTTCACTGATCACAGGTAATTCAGGGTATTTTTCTCAGATCACAGGTAATTCAAATTATGTTTTCACTGGCCACAGGCAATTCAGAGTATGTTTTCACTGATCATAGGTAATTCAGGGTATTTTTCTCAGATCACAGGTAAATTAATTCAAATTATGTTTTGCACTGGCCACAGGCAATTCAGAGTATGTTTTCACTGATCACAGGTAATTCAGGGTATTTTTCTCAGATCACAGGTAATTCAAATTATGTTTTCACTGGCCACAGGCAATTCAGAGTATGTTTTCACTGATCATAGGTAATTCAGGGAATTTTTCTCAGATCACAGGTAAATTAATTCAAATTATGTTTTCACTGGCCACAGGCAATTCAGAGTATGTTTTCACTGATCACAGGTAATTCAGGGTATTTTTCTCAGATCACAGGTAATTCAAATTATGTTTTCACTGATCACAGATAATTCAGAATATGTTTTACAGATCCTGTATTTAACAATCTGTCAATCAGACATAAATATGTGTATTATGAGCAGGCATGTTGAGCTGATATTTGAATTTGAATGTTCTTGTGAGACAATATCGCAGATGAGCAACTCCTAAGGAAGCATGGAGATACTAAACATAGCCTGGCATTTAGCATATCTGTCATCATGGTCAATGGTCAGTTCCGCCTTGTGCCTCTTGGTTAAACTTACTTTAAAGCTCCTCTTCTCACTATTTTGTAATGCTGTGATAAAACAGATCATGTTTTTCACAATATTGTTAAGAAAATTATAACAATTTGTTTGCAGTAATCATGTAATTTTTATCAAGTTTAATGATGTCAAAAAGTATAAAAAAGGAAGGCAAAATATAACATCAAATTCTACAAATGAAATACCGAATGACAAAAAATAATCATATCAGCCTGTGACAAATTAAGTCTGGACCAGACAAACCAATGTTGATATCTTGAGCAAAGATCCATGCCATCACAGTGAGATGAGACACTTGTTTTCAGGGATGTGAAATCTCCTAGGAAACGCGGAAAATCACGTTTTTTAAAACAGTAGTCCTCGGGGGAAAAAATCATTTTCCACGTAAAAATATAATCAAAGATTGAAAAAAACCACTCAAATAATATGATCGAAAACGGGACAACCATCTCAGATTGTCCTGTTTTCGACCAGAGCTTTCAGCAGCATAGGATTTCACACATCATACGTTTTCTATCACGAATACTTGCACTTTAACGTGGGGTGTGGCGTCACACAGAAATTGTAAATATTCAGAGTCAGATGATGGCTTGTTTTTAAGATAAAGTTGTCTTTTAGCCTGTAAGTGAATGAGATGTTTTACAGTTGTTCATGTGATAAGGTAGAAAACTATGAATGTTTCTTCAGCGTCCGAAAACCCATAACACAGGGATATATGTTGTAATGTCTTATGGTTGCAATGGAGTTTTGGGTTTTTTTTCAACAAAAGGTAAGTAAGTACAAGGTAATTTTTTTTCAATATGCTTCAACATGGGGAAAGGGTCAGACATTGCACGCTTGTGACAGTTGTCCCCAGACACCACTAGACTTTTCCTCTTTCTTTTTCGGGAAAACCTGCTCACATCCCTGTGTTTTAGTCAAATTAGTCTTATCTTTTATGCCCTAGAATATCCACAAGGAGTCTGGAGATAAAGCCAGAAATAAAGTATGGTACTTCATCATTAATCGTTGTAAGCATTACATCCTTCCCAATAACATGTTAACAAAAATTCAAATGAAACTTTTATTGCCAATTTCTGTTCATGTGTTATCGTGCAGACTGATAAAATCAGGAGTGGACGTAAATGCTCGTCACCAGCTGGGATGGACAGCTCTCCATGTCGCTGCAATGAACAAACATAAAGAGTAAGTTAACTGTACTTTGTTCAGTTTCCCCAAATATTGATTATATTTGAACTTATATTTGTGAGTACCCAGGGACTTATCTAGAGCTGTTCAGAAGCCAATATTCTGCCCCAAGTTTGCAGCAAATGTCAGTAAAAATTCCCAAATTGGAATTACAAATTTCCGAATTCATATTTGTGTGGTAATAACTAATTTTTTTGCTTTATAGGAGTGACTTTTATTTCATTTGCCATTTTGAGCAAAATAACATTTTTTCCCAATTTGCCTGCCAAGGACACTTAGTTTGGAATCCTGATAAATCACTGGTACCTAATACTACCTATACAGTAAACCAATGCAGTACCGGTAACTATATCAACATAATATAAACTGTAGCAGATACCTGAAAACATAGCAAAATGTGATGCTGCACTTTTGCTTTTTGTCAATAAAAGTTAAAACAAGAGCACAATGTGTGATTTTGAGGATCTGAAATAACATGAGGATATGATCTTGTTTTCTCCAGAGCAGTGAGAGTTCTCCTGGAGGCAGGAGCTGATCCCAAATTGGGGGATGACTTCAGCAGTGTGGGTCAGATAGCTCGGGAGAAGGGGCTGAACAACCTGCAGGGTAGGAGAATTAGTCAGTACATGTATCTGCACGTACAGAAGAAAACTAAGAAAGATAAAACAATAAAACACCTCTCGCCTCACTTGGCAGTGGGTAGCCTAGTGGTTTAAGTGTTTGCAGTCACGCAGCAGGCAGGGGTTTGGTTCTCCATACAGGGTGTGTCCATAACCATGATGTTGCTGAAAAATTGCAGTAAGGAGAGTAAAACCATTCCACTCACACTCACTCACTCACTCACTCACTCACTCACTCACTCACTCACTCACTCACTCACTCACTCACTCACTCACTCACTCACTCACTCACTCACTCACTCACTCACTCACTCACTCTCCATCCATCCATCTATATATCTAATCATGATGCCCAACTTTTAACTATATTTAACTGTACATCAATGTTCCTGTGACATGTGTGTTTATATGTTCTACACCCAAATCTAATGAGCATTTCCCCAAATGATATTTGGGAGCCACTAACTATTAGAAGTAAACCATGTGGTACGTTGTTGAATGTGAAGCACATAGCAGACTCTTGCATCAGTAGGTTTCTGTATGTGCATTTATTGTTTCAGTGCATATTGAAAGAGAGGAAGAGTTTTCTGACCGCCTCAACCTCCGAGCTAACTTCAAGGGCTCCACTGCTCTACACTATGCTGTACTGACTGATGACATTGAAGTAGTTAAATTGCTTCTTGAGGCAGGTAGGTAGATGATGACAGTAGAGTAGTTAAATTCCTTCTTGAGGCAGGCAGGTAGACAATGACAGTAAAGTGGTTAAATAGCTTCTTGAGGCTGGTTGGTAGACAATGACAGTAAGGTGGTTAAATAGCTTCTTTAGGCAAGTAGGAAGACAATGACATTGAAGTGGTTAAATTGCTTCTTGAGGCAGGCAGGTAGATGATGACAGTAGAGTTTTTAAATTCCTTCTTGAGGCAGGCAGGTAGACAATGACAGTAAGGTGGTTAAATAGCTTCTTGAGGCAGGCAGGTAGACAATGACAGTAAGGTGGTTAAATTGCTTCTTGAGGCAGGCAGGTAGATGATGACAGTAGAGTTTTTAAATTCCTTCTTGAGGCAGGCAGACAATGACAGTAAGGTGGTTAAACAGCTTCTTGAGGCAGGCAGGTAGACAATGACAGTAAAGTGGTTAAATTGCTTCTTGAGGCAGGTAAGTAGACAGTGACAGTTAAGTGGTTAAATTCCTTCTTGAGGCAGGCAGGTAGACAATGACAGTAAAGTGGTTAAATTGCTTCTTGAGGCAGGTAGGTAGACAATGACAGTAAAGGGATTAAATTGCTTCTTGAGGCAGGTAGGTAGACAGTGACAGTAAAGTGGTTAAATTGCTTCTTGAGGCAGGTGGGTAGACAGTGACATTGAAGTGGTTAAATTGCTTCTTGAGGCAGGTAGGTAGACAGTGACAGTAAAGTGGTTAGATTGTTTCTTGAGGCAGGTAGGTAGACAATGACAGTAAAGTGGTTAAATTCCTTCTTGAGGCAGGTAAGTAGAGAATGACAGTAAAGTGGTTAGATTGCTTCTTGCGGGTGGAAGGTAGACAATGACAGTAAAGTGCAGGTAAGAAGAGAATGACAGTAAAGTGGTTAAATTACTTCTTGAGGCAGGTGGGTAGACAGTGACAGTAAAGTGGTTAAATTCCTTCTTGAGGCAGGTAAGTAGAGAATGACAGTAAAGTGATTAGATTGCTTCTTGCGGGTGGAAGGTAGACAATGACAGTAAAGTGCAGGTAAGAAGAGAATGACAGTAAAGTGGTTAAATTACTTCTTGAGGCAGGTGGGTAGACAGTGACAGTAAAGTGGTTAAATTGCTTCTTGAGGCAGGTAAGAAGAGAATGACAGTCAACTGGTTAAATTGCTTCTTGAGGCAGGTAGGTAGACAGTGACAGTAAAGTGGTTAGATTGCTTCTTGAGGCAGGTAGGTAGACAATGACAGTAAAGTGGTTAAATTGCTTCTTGAGGTAGGTAGGTAGACAGTGACAGTAAAGTGGTTAAATTGCTTCTTTAGGCAGGTAAGTAGAGAATGACAGTCAAGTGGTTAAATTCCTTCTTTAGGCAGGTAGGTAGACAATGACAGTAAAGTGGTTAGATTGCTTCTTGCGGGTGGAAGGTAGACAATGACAGTAAAGTGCAGGTAAGAAGAGAATGACAGTAAAGTGGTTAAATTACTTCTTGAGGCAGGTGGGTAGACAGTGACAGTAATGTGGTTAAATTGCTTCTTGAGGTAGGTAAGAAGAGAATGACAGTCAACTGGTTAAATTGCTTCTTGAGGCAGGTAGGTAGACAGTGACAGTAAAGTGGTTAGATTGCTTCTTGAGGCAGGTAGGTAGACAATGACAGTAAAGTGGTTAAATTGCTTCTTGAGGCAGGTAGGTAGACAGTGACAGTAAAGTGGTTAAATTGCTTCTTGAGGCAGGTAGGTAGACAGTGACAGTAAAGTGGTTAAATTGCTTCTTTAGGCAGGTAAGTAGAGAATGACAGTCAAGTGGTTAAATTCCTTCTTTAGGCAGGTAGGTAGACAATGACAGTAAGGTGGTTAAATTACTTCTTGTGGCAGGTAGACAGTTAATGTGGTTAGATTGCTTCTTGAGGTAGGTAGGTAGACAATGACAGTCAAGTGGTTAAATTACTTTTTGAGGTAGGTAGACAGTGACAGTAAAGTGGTTAGATTGCTTCTTGGGATGGGTAGGCAGAAAGGCAATGACACTGAAGTGGTTAATGACTTTTGGATGTTATTAGTGAAGGTTGACTCAAATACTGTATGCCTTTCAGTTTTACTTCATGTTGTGATAAACACAGAAAAGTGGGGAAACCGGGTGGCTTTGTCCTCAAGTGATGACTCTTGTTCCCTGCTGGGGGAATAATGGTACTGAGAGGTACAGACAATCATTGGTATTTCAAACAAACCTTCATTGATAACTAATGACAGTGACAACTTAACTGAGTCTTGGTTTGTGTTCAGGAGCAGATCCGATGGTGGAGAATGTTGTAGGACACTGTCCCATGTCCTATGTGCGTCGCCCAGACATGAAGAACCTGCTGACAGAGTACCAACTGAAGGTAGGCTGTCACGTGATTCTGTCACATGATACTGTCACAGAAGGCAGTCATTTGACGAACACAATGCACTCACATGATACTGTCCACTGGATTGTGGGTCCAGACTTGATTATTTTACAGACCGCCGTCATATGGCTGGAATATTGCTGAGTGCGGCGTTAAACAACAAACAAACAAACAAAAACATGATACTGCCATATGACAGTCACACAATGCAGTCATGTGATACTGTCACACTGCACAGTCACATGATTCACAGTCACATGATTCCCAGTCACATGATGCAGTCATGATTAATAGTCACTTGATGCACAGTACCAGGTACTGTCAGGATCACTTTGTTTTCAAGCTGAAGATGTACCCAGTTTATTATCCCCCGCCACGAAGTGGAAGGGGGATATAGGAATGGGTGCCGTCCATCCGTCCGTCCGTCACATTTCGTTTCCGGAGCAGATCTTGAAAACCGTACCATATTTCTTCACCAAACTTGGCACATAGATAGATCTAGTGGTGAACTGGTGCCTTTTTATAGTTTGGGATTTTAAAAAAAATATTTTTTTTCGAGTTTCCATGGCAACAACTTTGTTTAAGACTGAAACTGGCGGTAGTCCTCGTTTCCGGAGCAGATCTTGAAAACCGTACCATATTTCATCACCAAACTTGGCACATAGATAGATCTAGTGGTGAACTGGTGCCTTTTGATAGTTTGGGATTTTAAAAATATTATTTTTCGAGTTTCCATGGCAACGACTTTGATTTAGACTGAAAATGGCGGTAGTCCTCGTTTCCGGAACAGATCTTGAAAACCGTACCCTATTTCTTCACCAAACTTGGCACATAGATAGATCTAGTGGTGAACTGGTGCCTTTTGATAGTTTGGGATTTTAAAAAAAGTTATTTTTCGAGTTTCCATGGCAACGACTTTGATTTAGATTGAAAATGGAGGTAGTCCTCGTTTCTGGAGCAGATCTTGAAAACCGTACGATATTTCTTCATCCAAACTTGGCACATAGATAGATCTAGTGGTGAACTGGTGGCTTTTGATAGTTTGGGATTTAAAAAAAAGATATTTTTCGAGTTTCAATGGCAACGACTTTGATTTAGACTGAAAACTTAATTAATAGGAACATTCCTGTGGCAGTGAATTATTAATTTAGTATTTAGTCTTCATAAAATATTTACCGACACATCAGAGTTGCAGACTTGAAATACATTTTCCCCAGACCACAGGACTGGCTACTTTGAAGTCTTACCAGTCCTTGACAAAAGTTGTCAGTCCCATATTTTATCCTTACAGCTGAATCATGTCACTCTATCTGTGGTGCCCCGTTGAGATATTGGTGGACTATTGCTGAAAGCAGCGTAAAACCATACTTGCTCACTCCCAACCTGTTCATGTAAAGATATGTAGTACTGAGGCCTGAAAAAGAAATTTTGTACCTATTAAATGCATTCTTAACATTAGGGTTGGTTGGTTGGCATGTATTAGGCAAACTACATTAAATATGACTTTAAATGAGTCAGAGTTAAGTATGGCATTTATATCTGTATCCATTCTCTGTCAACTATTTTTCGTTTCAAGGGGTCAACAGCGCTAGTCTGATCGTGGTTGCGGTAAATAACAGTGCGAGCTGCGGATCAGCTCACGTCCAATTTCACCCCAAAATTATTAAAGTGGATTACAAACATAAGTCCTGATATTATACAATGAACACTTTTTAATACCAAATAGTCTAACAACTTTCGAAATTTAGTACTGATATATTTCCGATGACATGAAGATGTGTTTGTAGGGGAAAAATGAAATTATTGAAATAATTCCAACATTACTCTCGTCATTTTTTTCACTCACAATTGTCAGTGGAACAATGGATTTTTGTTGGTACAAAATGGAAAAGTACTTCAGCACAATGTTGTCAAGGTAAGCAGAAAGGCCTATGCATGTCGGAAGTTTGTAAACTCAATGAACTGCACACCGTATAATCATTTTGCTTAACAGAATCCTTGGACCACTGCTAGGAGCTGTTGAATGTTCATTGACACAGATGATAAGTGCAGCTATACAAGTTTAATTGAGATCAAGAAAGCAGGATTGCAAATGTCAAGTTACTAATAGTGAAAAACATTTGGGTGGGAAGCAATTTAGACGATTGGCAGAAAAAATATGACCGTCCATAGGATGGTTGAAGTTTGTATTTCTCCCATCCTTGGTGGAATCAGGCTGTCACAGACAGTGTGATGGGCCATAGTTAGCAACTCTAATACATCGATATCATATAGCACATATGTTCCCTTCATGGCAATATTTTTAATTTTAACCTTGCTTGACCATGATCTTGAATTCTCCTAGGATGCATTTTTGACTCTGTACACATAGTGCACTACTTCTTATATGGAATTGCCAGACTGAGGGAGCTTAACTTTGTCATGCATGTTGATCCTCATGATGGCATCATATGTTGTTCAGTTCATTAGGTTTTAGTGATAGTTTTTGGTATTTAAGCAAAAAATATTTAAATATCAGTGCTGACAGCAACTTTTGTTCAGTGTCTGTGTTTGTATTTTTAAGCTGCTGAATACATATCGAGGTGAGGTTCAGTGCTGTGGTACACTTTTGAAAAGAGAATGAATGGCCTTATGTCGTGTTCTCCTCAACTACACCATCTTTTTGCTATGTTGCTGTGTGTTCAGTACAACAAGCTGAAGGCTGAGAGGGAGGCTGCAGAGAGGAGGCGCTTCCCCCTGGAGCTGCGGTTGAAGGAGCAGATCATCGGGCAGGAGGCCGCCATTAACACTGTGGCTGCAGGTGAATCATTAACACTGACCACTTGTTGTCTAGTGGTTACAGTGATTATTCCTCATGCTGAAGGCCTGGGTTCATTTCAGATGTTGGAACTTTTTCTGTATGATCCCAGGAATAGTGTCTTCAAATTGGGAAGTCATTATTCCCTGGTGTTGCTGTCAAATTTTGCTGAAGTGAGATCATTTCCTACTTAATCTCTGTGACAGTGACGGTGGAAATCTCATACCGTATTTGACATGATAAGCGCCCAGGGCGCTCTCAAAATTAGAAATAGGAGGCTCTTATTAGAATATTATTTTGGTGGAAAAAGATAAATTTTGTGGTTTAAGCTGACGGCCTGAACTGTTTATATACGACAGATATATTTTTCCAGACTTTAATTGCCCATAATTAAGGGTGCATGTAACACATGGGTGCATATTATACACGAATAAATAAGCCTTGGGTACATTGATCAATCGGAAGGGGTGCTAATTGGGATTATTCACTTGCCAATATATAAGCAAATATCGCCGTGGGCGCTTATTAGAGCGGGGCGCTTATTACGTCGAATACGGTATTATCTAGGTTATATCTAAAGCCTGCAGATACATAAAATGAAAACTTTCACTGTAATCAACGAGCTACAAGGAGTTATAGAATATATGTCTCATGTGAATGAATGGCGTGAATATGAAACCTTTGGCGAGGGACTTACAGCATTCATTCACAAGGGACAGATAAGCCGTAATTTTTAGTAAGTTATTCTATATTACTCATTGATATTTTAACGTTTATCAGTGAAGAACAAAATGTATGGAATGTCAACCCTACAGAGAAACTTCACTGAAGGCAGCCAGTTGCTCAGATGATGTAATGTAATCAATGTGTGATGTCATGAACAATGTAATATCATATCTATGAACAATGAAGCACTGTGACATCATATGGTTTCAATTGACCAATCAGCATTGAGATTGGCTAAATATGTGCAAATATAGGAAGTTATTGTACACGGTCCTCTACCCTTAAGGGTAATGGTATGGTATGACTCTATACCGTTGCGGGTTCTATATAATCGCAGTATCGGTAAATCTCATAATGCACACCCTGTTGACTGTTAACTTATGCAAATCTAAGCATGATATTTCATTGCATGATTGAATACAGGACTCGTTGCGTAATCCATTATCAATGAACTAATGCAATATTATAGTGTATCATGCAATGTTTGTATAATGTTATCGACTGATTTCTCTTAAAACTTGATTTTTCAGCTATACGTCGAAAAGAGAATGGGTGGTATGATGAAGATCATCCACTGGTGTTTCTCTTCCTTGGATCTTCAGGAATAGGTAAGTTGATGTGTGCGAAGCAGGTCTGTGGGGTTGTTGAGAAGGGCTGTTGTAATTTGTGTAACTGATATTTAAGAAAATGGTTTGTGAGAAATGCTGCATGGAAGGGAGCTAAACATAAGGCAATACATTTATTTGGTTTACTCATTTTAATTTAAAAAATGGTTATGGTTGGTTGTGAAAAAAACAAAATAAGACATCAACCTGTTTTACTTTTCGGTTTACATTTGAAATTTGTTCCATTCTTGCTTGTCATTGTTTTGTTGACTTATAATGAGTCAGAGTTGGATTTCATAACATCTTTTTATTCAGTTTCTCAGAATATTTAATTTTTGTTTTCAATTTATATAGTTCTACCTATTTTTCATTTTGTCTATTGACACAAGTATTGATTGAGCTGTTCAAAATAAATTCATGTGTAATCATGCAGTGAGCAGCAGTGTTGTTAAGATTTCAAGGGAGATAACTCCTGGGACCATATCCTAAAGTTAACTGGCTTTGTATACAGTGTTAGACATATCATGTAGTTTGTACTGAAAGTGGCTTGTCTGACCAGTAGATACATCTCAAGATCTTCTATAAGGCAGGAAGTATCATATGTAACATGTTTTGTTGTGGGATGTTTCAGATATTTGACTATGCATGTTTTGATTTCAGGAAAAACTGAATTAGCAAAGCAAGTTGCAAAGTATCTACACAGAGATGTGAAGAAGGTAACACATGCTTTGTTTGCAGGCTCTCATAGGATACTATATGGGTGCATCCTGGTAGATTATAGTATCCTACTTAATCATACAATGGGTAGTGTTATTGATGCGATAATCCCATAAAGTTGCTGTCATCATCTGATATAAATATAAATATCAAGTTGGCGGATCAGTCATCTCTGTCTGACCACCGACCTGAGATCTTAACATCATATTTCATCATCTAACTTTGGCTGATTACCAGCCACTTGCCGAGAAGGAGTTTGAACGCATCATGCTTAAAAACAGAGGCGACTAACAGGATCGGGTGGTCAGGCTCGCTGACTTGGTTGATGCATGTCATCGATCCCAATTGCGTGGATTGATGCTCATGATATCTGTATCAATCATTGGATTGTCTGATCCAAATCCGATTATTTACAGACTGCCATCGTATAGTTGGGATATTGCTGACTGCTGCTTTAAACAACAAACTAACAAACATGCTTAAAACTGTCTTTCGTCTTATGCTTGTGATGCTTGCTCAAGTGAGTGAGATTCATGTGTTAGACGTCAACAAGGTTTGCTTTGAAAATACTTTGCATGGGAATGTTTCTCTGGGCTTGATATGGGATTTCATTGCCCCAAATCAACTTCCTGGACAATGTGATCAGTTATAATCTATCCGGCCTTTGTTATTGATGGGAAAATATGATATAAATATGCAAATAAGTTCACCTAAGCACGCTAGCAGGAACTACTGTCAGTAAGCTCTATAACTCGAAGCAGTGAATAGCTCAGTAAACTGTCGTGTGGTCATATTGGTGTCATGTATGACATCATTAAACATGTTGTCAGGCTTGCTTGACAATGGTATAATGATCTAAACTGAAACGTTGCCAATGCAGTAAATTGAAGAAATGTTGTCAATAATTGTGTCTACTTTGTCATCCGTCCCCTTTTTAAAATCGCCTATCAAATAATTCACGTTGTCATTGCAGGGTTTTGTCAGAATCGACATGTCGGAGTACCAGGAGAAGCATGAAGTGAGTACCATTGGTCCGTGCAGACATTCATCTTTACATTACCAAATGTACAACACTTAAGCACTGTCAATATTATTACTTTGGTTTTTTGTTGTTCAAAACTGCAATAGGCAAATTTTTAAAACTTCTCCTATCTCGCACTGTGCATTTCATCCTTTTCCTTTGAACCTGGTGTGGAAAACAATCCTAAAACATGTTTCCAGCTTAAAAAAACACCTCACCCAAACACATTACAGCCATCACCTTGGCTACCATGACTAACAGTGGATTGTGCACTGCCTGATTCCTTCGCAGCTTGATCATGTGATGTCCCAAGCGTACTCATTCTCTTTCGAAGAACATACAGGCTGGTGTAACGGTGATGCAGGGATGGTTGGGTGTGAGATAGGATAAATATTTATAAATTTACAATTTATTGTAAACTTTACAGTATTTCTGCAGCCTGTAAACAATCTGTTTAGTGCGAGGCAAGCCAGTGATTGATCTCTTGAGCCACGTCCCATGCATACCAAGTCTGATTACCAGATCTGTTTTGTCTCCTCTGACAAGCACAGCTGACTATAGCGTCTGTTGTCTGCAGGTTGCCAAGTTTATCGGGTCCCCGCCTGGCTACGTCGGACATGAGGAAGGGGGGCAGTTGACCAAGAAGTTGACGGAGAGTCCACAGGCGGTTGTCCTGTTTGACGAGGTTGACAAAGCTCATCCTGACGTCCTGACAATCATGCTGCAGCTGTTTGATGAGGTATAGCTTCTTCCTTAATACTTATCCCATCCATGGTGTAGATCAGAAAGCTATGGACATTTTCCTTGAATTACCCCTAAACTTAACATGGGCAAGGGAGTCTTTGAATGGCTTTGAGAAGTGATACACATGAAAAAACAACAAAAGTAATAAGGCTTAAAAAAAATATTAGTCTTGGTTCTCAGGCACCAGCTGCATCATCATAAAGTCAGCTGCGCGTTTTGTTTTTATTTCCATTTTCAAAAAAATATATAAATCCTAATACTTAAACACAATGCACAAAAAAAAATGGAAAATGGAAACAAAAACGAAGCGTGCAATGAACTTTTTGATGATGTAGGCAGTGCCTGAGAACCAAGACTATTATTTTTTAGCCTAAGATAACAAGGTGGAGATTTAACAAGGGAAGACAACTGTTAATTAGGGCTGAGGTTGTCCTATAACCCGGTACTTTTGTCGTTTTTACATGTACATATATATATATGCTCTATGCATAAATTCTCTCTCATATGCTCAAGGGAGTTGATATGTTGAATATATGTCAACATTGTCATTGAAAAGTTTCTTTGATTAATATTTGGAAATTGTGTCAGAATTTAGGGGCTGTATTATTTACTTCATGATGTCAGTTGTGTATCACCATGTCATGCATCTATACCTTATTATTTATGTCCCAGCCCTATTTCACAGAGCGATCGTGCTCTAAGACTGTCATAAAGCCTACACTTTAACTTAGGAGCCATGAAGATGTGGGGTAGAATAGGTCTTCAGCAAGCCATTCTTGCCGTAAAAGGCGACTATGCTTGTCGTAAGAGGCGACTAATGGGATCGGGTGGTCAGGCTTGCTGACTTTGTTGATGCATGTCATCGATCATAATTACGTGGAAAGATGCTCATGATGTCAATCACTGGATTGGCTAGTCCAGACTGTTATTTACAGACCGCCGTCATATACATGTAGCTGGAATATTGCTGAGTTTGGCGTTAAACAACAAACACATAAACAAACTTTAACATAGACTTACGACTGTCATAGTGCAACAATCACTCGTGGAACAGGGCCCTGGTATATATATGTAATGAAGAAATGAAGTATGATATGAAAATGGAATTGTCAAGTACTGTTTTTTAACTGAATTTGGTCTCAAACCATTTGCAAGTTTACATAATCATTAACACAGAAAGTGTTGAGTTTTCAAATCTGATGTATAATATCACAATCTTACTATCAAGATTTTGTTTTGGACAGTTTACATCTAACAACCATGAAAGAATACAAGAAATATCTGTTATGACGAATATAGGACAAACATTTCCTATGAATTATTTAAAGGAATTGAATTAATTGTGGTTGAATTCGTTTGTGTAATTGTTTTATAGGGTCGTCTGACAGACGGGAAGGGAAAGACGATCGATTGTAAAGATGCCATCTTTATAATGACATCTAATCTTGCCAGTGAGGAGATTGCCCATCATGCATTGCGACTCCGAGGTGAAGCGGAGGAGGTAGCGAAACAGAGGCAATCTGGGAAACTCGGTAATGGCTGACTTCCCACATTTTGCTGTCATGTACTGAGAAGAATTAACTATATTTGTAGATAGGGTGAAAATTTTACTTTGAAGTTTATTGTGATTACGACTTACATAACGTGGATTAGACAAAATTATGATATATGGAACAGATGAGAATTGTGGGAAGTGAATCAGAGTATAGTCACTGAGTGCTGAATATTTCATTTCTATGTAACTTCTTTTACAGAAGACTTAGAGAATGCTGAGAAAATAACAATATCACGGAACTTCAAGGACAAAGTAGTTCGACCGATTTTGAAGGTATGTGATACTCTAGGTGATGTTGATTATCAGACAATGTACCTGATACAAGGATAAAAGATAACATTTTCTGGTAATTACGATAAAATATGTTTGCATCAAATCCAACCGTTATGTTTACTACTACTGATGACTGCCATGACACCAAATACTCTTTCTCCCCCCCCCCCCCCCCAGCTAAATTGCTTTGTTTGTTTTTCAGTTTAAATTTCTTTTCATTTAAACTATCATGTTATTGGTATGGTAAGAATGTAAGAGGGCAGTTGGATGCTTATCGGTTAGCTTGCAATCTCAAACCAATCTTAAACAGACAAACAAACATAAATTTATCTGTAATGGTAAATCAGTCATAAACCTTTTCCCAATTTTCTATAATAACATTCCCAAAGACATACATAAAAATATAGATGTCACTACATTCGGTTTTTGAGAGGAAATTTCAAGATTTTTGTAATGTCTGCTTGCACACTGGTGGCAGCAATGATATCGGGAGGGTAATGAACATGATGAAGGTGTCACACACTCAGGAGGAACTTGGTGGATATATTACAAGGGAAGTAACTCTTGTTTATGCAAAACTCTACGTGCATGTGAACACAACTTCATTCATATCAGAGACCGGAGATAACTGTGATGTCATGTTTATAGTCCATGTGAAAGGATGTCTGATTATGTGGTTTGTTTGTTAACAGTATCATTTTAGGAGAGATGAGTTCCTGGGAAGGATTAATGAGATTGTCTACTTCCTGCCATTTTCAAGATCTGAGCTTTCCAAGCTTGTTTCCAAAGAGCTGGACTTTTGGGCAAAAAGGGTAGGTTTCAAATTGCTAATTATCTTATTTTTGTCTTTTCAAACACTATTTGAACACATGTGTAGCATATAGTTAGATGTGAATCAGTACCCAGGTCTTATTAAATGTTGAAATGTTGCAATTTTCATGATGACTGGGATGAGGAACACTATCTGAACAGATTCATGTAGCATATACTTAGATATATGCACAATGCCTGAGATCCACACCACAATATGACTTGAATACTGTTGAAAGCGGCGTTAAACCCAACTCACTCACTCACTCACTCACTCACTCACTCACTCACTCACTCACTCACCGTGACATGGTGATCGACAATGGAACAAAGCTCCATCAGTCTTTGTGCCTCCGTCTGTACTGACTAAAGAAATATTGTTTTATCGCATATTTAGCGTCATGGGTTCACTAAGCTTGAACCCCAGGACTGATGAAGTTGATTGCAACATGTTGTTTGTGTAGGCGGAGACAAAGCATCAGATCGAGCTGAGTTGGGACCACCATGTTGTGGACGTGCTGGCGGACGGCTACGATGTGCACTATGGTGCCAGGTCCATCAAATATGAGGTAACATTGACAAACTAATATGCAGCAGTCTACATTATTATTTTAGCTCACGTGAATCATTGCAGTAATTTTTACAGTCCTCAGAGGCAACACTACCTCTGATGCTGAGGCTTTGCAAGGATGATCCCAGGAATGGTGCCTCAAAGTTTTTCTAACAGAATTCCAGTCAGATTTTGGATGTCATTTAGGACATTGCTATGCATTTCTTCATGTTTTCATGATGGTAACCACAGTACAACATATGCTACCAACAAAATATAAGGGTACTAATGATTTGAATGTAGCTGTCGTTGAGGTGTACATTTACAATACTGTGGCCTTGCATCAGAATGCAACATTTAATCATGGCATTTCACATCATGCATGAATAGCATGTGATGCAGGTGCACACAGAAGCCGAAGTGGGTTCACCTATTGCAGAAATCACAGTCACTTATGCACTTGACCTAAGTACATGCTTATAAGTGCCTCTGAAACAGTATCTCCATGAACAGACAAAATTGCGAATTGTGGATATGATGGAGAGGGGGACATTAATGTCCCAAGTTACCCGAATGTTGGGCAAATCAAATTGTATAATTTCTCGACTGGGACTGGGACTGGGACTGGGAAGTGACGTCAACCGGTTGGGTTGCAATGAGACCTAGACGTAGTAGGCCTAAAAAACAGCACCCAAGACAAAGTTGTGTCATTACAGTATTCAATATGCAATAGATTCAAATCTGCTCCTGTTCTGAAGAGAGAATTCTGTACAATGACAGGAAGGCGAATTTCAACATCTACTGTTAAAAACCGGCTCCATGCAGCCTGCCAGAAACAAGGCAGCCTGTGAAGGGTGAGACCCTAACAACTTGCCATAGGCAGCAAAGATCTGGCGTGGGCCGGGCAATACCAGGGACGGGGTGTGCAGGAGTGTCATCAAACCATGTTTACAGATGAATCAAGGGTTTGCCTCTGAATCACAGATGGCAGGAAACTTTGTTGGCATGTTGCAGCAAGTGGTTGCCATGGCAACAGTTCTTGACCATAATCAGTATTGTGTGGAGTGGTTTGCCACATGAGAGGCAAACTGATTTAGTTATTGTTAATGTACATTTGACAGGTGACAAAATTTTGTGTCCTGTCGTTCCATTGGTTAGAATTATCGACAGAGATTTTGAACTGCAAGATGACAATGCCAGACCACATTGTGCCCAGGTCACACCAATTGTCCCTGACAAGACGGCGTACAGACATTAGACTGGCCCGCTTAGTCCCCTTACATGTCCATAATAGAGCATCTGTGGGATGTTCTCAGACGGACAAGACCGCCTCCGTGGTCTAGTGGTAGAGCGTCCGCCTGGAGAGCGGAAGGTCCGGGGTTCGATCCCCAGCCACGTCATTCCAAAAGACGTTACAAGATGCTACTTGTTGTTACCCTGTCTGGCGCTCGGCATTAAGGGGCTAAAACAAGGGCTGGTCGGCTCGGAGTCAGTATACTGTGTCTGAGTGGGGTATTCATGTTAAACTGCGGCATGGTATCTCAGTGGGCTAGCACTATAAATTGGCATCAGTCCGGACTAGTACAAGCAGCCACACACACACATACACGTGCATGCACGTCGCTATATAAGTGCAATAATCTTGGACGCGACGTTAAACCCCATTTCACCTCACCTCTCAGACGGACAGTGTGTGTTAGAGACCAGCTTGGGGTAGCTCTTCAGGCGGACACACGGGCAATACCAAGGGCAATCATACGCAAGTCAATCAACCATACGCCATCAAGGTTCTGTGCATGTATCGCCCAATACGGTAGACACACCAGATATTAAAGTACACTTCCAAAATTAATTTTGCTGACATGTATCGTCATTACACCTTCACCGTTTCATCAGTTCCCTTATTTTTTGTCGGTAGTATGTGTGTGCAATAACATAGGTTACATTTGCTTTCTTTGTTATTTTTAATCCTACTGTGATGAAGTAATTTTAGTATTTTCTGTGTGTTTATAGCTCCATAAATGCAAAAACATATTGAAATCAATTCAATAAATATGGCAACAATTATAATTTCACAGCCAGCTTATAGAACACAAATAAACTGTAGATAACAATGCAAAATCAGCAACATCATTCAGCACAGTAATGCAGCACAAGTCCCGCCCATTCTATTTGTCATCCAGTCAGGTGACAGTTGTCTGTCTGAGGGCATGGCCTATTTTTTTCAGTTTGTGGGAACAAAATCACAAAAGTATTGCTTGGTTAGCCAATCAAATGCTATCATCAAATGAATCACATTTTGAATCCATATACATCTATCACTGTTATACTGTGACAAAATATCCCATGAAATTGGCAAGAAATTAGATATTTATTGTGTAGTTCTTGTTTTTCTTATGATTATATTGGACAATGACCATGATGACAAGAATGTTTTTATTTCATATCTATCAAAGTTGATATTGGTCTGTAAAGTTTTGAACACATGCAAAATTTTATTTGTGTACAGCCTTGTGGCAGTCATTATTTCTTTTCTTTAGACATTTTAAGCAATCTTTTAGTTGTTTCACTCTTCTTGATCTTTTGGAGACTGCAGGGTATGCCTTCAGAACAGAATATGAATATAGTGTTGGTCAAATAATACAAATTTATAACTTGAAATTCTTCAATTTGCATTAAAGAATCTATTCAATTTTGAAATTATTTTTTACAGAAGAACTAATACTCTTCTAAATCCTAAGGATTCAGAATGTGTATATATAAGAGACATTTACCGGTACTAGAATATGTAAATAGTCATTACTTGTTATATTATTTTAGGTTGAAAGGCGCGTTGTGACTCAGCTAGCCATGGCCCATGAACGCAAGTTGATCAGGAGTGGCTGCACCATCAAATTATCTGTTCCTAATAGGGAAGACATTCTCACAGAGAAAGCCCAAGACCCCAGTGATGAGAAAGAACACTCGCGTATCAAACTGCAAGTGTTGAAGGAAGGCTCCAAGGACAAATATGTGGACATAGATTTGAACAGAGTGGATAATCCGTTTGCATCAGAATTTAGATGAGATGAATTACAGTTGTGTAAGGGTGTGTTTGTCTAGTGAATCAGAGCTATGATTTCGAATGTTTTGCATATGTCTTTCAAAATAATTATTACCTGTTGGAAAGGAGGGACTAAAACATGGCCTATCATTAATCATTAAGTCACCATAAGTTTGAATCGGTAACATGCACATGTGTCATCAAAGGTCTGTTGTGGATTGAAGATGTGGATCATCATGGAAGATCTTGAGTGCCCTTACACTTACATCAGGGGGTCGAGGGTGGCCCAGTCGACTAAGGCGTCACGATTTGCTGTGCAGAGTTGCGTCCCTTGGGCACCCCAGAAACCTAGGTTTGTGGGTTCAAATCCTGGTTCGCCCTGATTATGTTTCTAGGTTTGTCAGGACCATACCTGTGCTTGTGGGTTTCACTGAAGTGGTAAACGTCCAAGACCTACATCACTTTGGGCTTTCCTCCCACATTAAGCTGACACCCTGTGATATAACTGTAATACTGTTAAAACCAGTGTTAAACCCAACTCACTCACTCATTCACAACACTTACATCCCCCTGAAGAATCCTACCCAGGACAAAGCTAGTCAAGGCTCTAAGTTTTGTTTAAGGCCTTGTCCTAAACCAGTCAACAGTATCTGCATTCTTCCATCAACCATGGATACATGCAGCTACGATGCTGTGTGACAGCGATGTGTGTGGTACAAGCTTGCTGGTAAAAAATAGGGATGTGTATAATTCAAAGAAGTCAAAAGAACCCAACTCTGCATGAACTTTGTGTGAGAGCTACCACTGCTTGATATTGAAACAATGTGTGGACCACACAGCCACAAGTCTACTACATGTAGTTCATGTGTTCAGTGGTATGAGCATTCACTGGTTTTCCTCTCACTTCGTTGGTTAAAAATAGCAGCTAAACTGCAAATGAGCCCAATGTATTCATGAGTGATTAGGAATGTAGTGTATAGAAACCCATGAAGTACTGATGATGTAAACCAGCGTGCCAATGTCCTCTTTTGGAAGGGTCTAGTTTGTCACAAAATGTGAAAGGGAAGCAACTCTTGTAAGCTTCAAGTCTTCCCACAGCACAACAAAAACGCTTGATCATTTCCAGAGCTATCAGGTAGATGCTTCTCCAAATGCTTTAACAAATAATAGAGAAACAAACAAAAATATAGTATTCTCTTTATTCTCAGTAATGCACAATCATGTAACTGATTTCCTTTTCTTGTACATCGGTTGCGTAATTTAAGTCTTATCAGAAACATGTCTGAACTACATGTATTTGTAACATATAGTGTACCTGCTTTATCATATATTTACCCATTTAAAGTTATCATGGAATCTTATATGCAAGATTTATATTGGCGTTAGGTTGGAACTGTTTGCAATACATATTTATGAAAATAAAAGGAATTTGTTACAATTGTTTTATCACTTAAGTTATCAAACTATACAAACAATCAAAAAATATTATTGGCACAAGTTTAAGGGGGAAAAAATTGCCAAATTTCATGGTAAGCAATATACATAATCCCTTTCTTAAAATCATAACATTTATTGAAAACAATCCAGTTTAGAACTACTTCCATAAAACACTATGTGTCAGAAATGCCCTTTATTAAATCATGCAACAAACAACCCATCTATGTCTGCATTCATTGTAATCAGTTAAAAACAAATGTTAACTCTCCGATCTGAGACTATCCGTCTGTGAACTATATGTTGCCCCTTGTCTGGTTATGCATTGGACAATATATGTGTACACTTTACATGGTTCTTAGCTTACATGAGTGATACGAGCAGGTTATATTGATACAAGGAGGGGATACAGGCTGCAGGTGGGTCATCCACTACTGCAGTCATGTACTTGAAATTCTGACGGGGCCTGTGAATTTTTGTTTAAAGACACATTTGTTCCAGATATAAAATGGAACATTTTGGGGTCAGGTGTTGCCCCCAAACATAAATTCTTCCCTGAATATGCTGGATTTCCTAAAAAAGAAAATGTGTTGTGAAATCTTTTAAACTTTTTGACTCCATCTTTCACAAACAATAAAGATTAGAAATTGTATGTTTAGAATGAGTGACCAAACAAATATCCTCTAACAAACAAAAATACCAGCCCCTCCCCATCACTGCTACTTTGTACATTTGGGTCAATATTCCAGTTATATAATGGACTGTGAATAATAGTATCTAATGTACCGGTATATAATCATTCCTAACATGCAAGGTGATCTGATGTATTTTCAGTAAAAGTTATAAAATTACCCAAATACAGTTAAGATACTAACCTAACATCTGGGCAGATAGTTTGGTAGATGCCATATTTGCAGGGAAATCACACACAATGTACAACCGAATGTAATTGCATAATTAGTCTAATAACCTATGATATCAGTTTTGAGATCATGAGATAAAGTCTGCAAGACAACCATTATATTAAAAGTTATGTACATGTAAGTCCAATCATCATATGGTGTCCATTTGAAAAAGAGAAATATCTGTAAATAAATTATCACAGATGCACAAGGTATCATCATTCAGTCATCTTAGTACTTAATATCAGTTCAGGCTTCTCGAATCATATTTTCATAAACAGCCGTTTTGATAATTTTACCCTGTCATCAAATACCCCTAAGACATCTTATCTTATCAAGAATTAAATATGAATTATATGAATACAAATATATGAGATATTGCATATATACAATAATCAGACAACAGATGTGACCAAAGGTTGATTAAGATTATTTCATACAAAAGTGGAAAGTTAGCTAAAATATTTGTTATTATGTAAAGGGGAGAAATGACATCAAAATTATCTGTTTGATGTAAGAGATTCTTGCAATTATTTGATAGGCACCTTTTTCTGATAGTTCTGAGATCCATTATGTCCATTTAAACAAAAGAGATCCCATCCCCAAAAGAAAATTTATAAAAATTCTATTAAGAAAATAGTCTTAATTTGAACAAAACAAACCATGCAAACTCAATTTGAACAAAATAAACCATCCAACCAGAAGCTTTAACTGGTTCATACTATCAGGGCTAATATGACAAAATAAATGTCAGTCTGAGGCTAAATCAAAGAATCCAGAGAGACCACTTAATGTTCAGTAACATTCTTACTTGTACACTCAGCAAATTTCATGAGACAGATTTACATTCCGGTATAACTTCCCATAAACATTATTCTTAAATAACATGCAAGCCAAAATTCATTTAAAACACTGGCAACTAGAATATGAATTTGAGCAATCTGGTGAATACTTCACAACGAAACAACGTAAAGACATCTTGTGTACACACCATCTATCACAAGGTTTTGGGGATAATAATCTCATGTAATCATATCAATCGGTTCTATCAATATCTTCACTTATCACTGACCAAGAAACTACAATAATTGTGCACATCTGAAACAATTCTTTGCATATTTATGAACTAAAACATTGAAGAACAAAAACTTTCCAAATCATAACATACAATTAAAATACTCAAGAAATAAACTCCTGAAACATAAAAATTCTGGAACTATTATTGCAACACCTTCCTAAGAATTCACATCAGTTCAAGTCAGGCATACACAGCATGTGGTGATCTGTTATTTGCACCTGTGTTCAAAGTGTTCATAGCACGATCCTGTATTGGCGTCAGAGTCAAGTAAGAAAAGATGCACTATTCTTGATACACAAGTAGGCACGGCTTGGCATTGTCCACACAGGGAAGACCTTGTTGCTAAGATCTTAGGATTCACACATCTACATTGTTCAGGGCTGACTGACACTGTCAATACACGGAAGAACTTATTTGCGAAGATCTTAGTATTCCCCTTCTTCTATGTCCTACTGGGCAGCAAACGTAGCATGTTATTCCATCCTAGAGCACTTGCTGATATGACACATCAAGACAGCCAAGTCTGACAGTTCCCAAAGTCTCTTTATTCAACAGGGAAGAGACAGTCATCCAAGAAGTCTTTAGAAGACAAATCTTGATCCTGATGTATCTAAACTGCCGAAGCCTCCGCCACCTCCACAGTTATCTGGGGGATCCTGGTCATCATTGTTCCAGTTGTACAGAGTGACGGAACTGGTGGAGCTTGTGCGGTCACGCTTTGCCTGCTTTGCTTTTGCTGACGTCTCCTGCTCCTGTACAAACAAACAAGGAAGACCTGAAGTCATTGGGACTAACATGGACACCCGAAAATCTCTATTAACAACTCATCAATGAAACATGCCTCCCCTGGATTCTGACACCTCTCAACTGACACCTTTAAAAGAGCTTTATTTTCAATAACACTCACCATAGACATGACCCATTTTTATTTAGCTATATATACTACTCAAAAGAAGTTTAAGAAGACCTGACTTTTTCATATGACTATAGTTAATCTGTCATGACACTGATGTTTGACCAGATTAAAAAGATTCTGGATTGATGAATCATGGCTTTGTTGCAATAATGCCTTAAATACATATTCCCCAAACAAATTATCATATAGCATTAAAGGAGTCTCAAAAAACAGTTTCACTGTATCAAAGATATGTAGAGAAAAACACCTAAAAATCAATGCCAATGGCATCATAGAGCCTTAAAATAAAATTGTGACTCCAACCTGGAGATATGCCTGGTTATCCTTGGAGACAGACATTCTCAAGTCCTGTCTGATGGGAGGGTCCAGCTGCAATGGACTGAGGGCCAGGTCAGGGTCTCTCTCCTGGGTGCTGGAAGCGTCCATGTCGATGCGACGGTACATCAGCACATAAGGTGTGTCCTTCATGAAGCGCTTCGACACAGTACTGAAGGAGCTGTAGTTGGCATAAGACACCCGGCTGTCGTTACACAGGTACCATTTCTCATGCATAAAGTCAATATCCCCTTCGCCACCTGCTAGCTGAACCTCATCACACACTGTGTCCATGCTCTTCAGGGGGGAATGTCTGCCGTAGCAGTAATAATGTCCACATTCTGATGATGTCCCTGAATGGACAATGACTGCTGTTAATCCATAGATTGCCATATGCCCTGTCTTCCTGTTCCCGCAAAGCTTCTGCTCAATAACTGTTGGCAGCGTGCATTGTCGTTTTGTCTGCTGAGGATAAGGACTGCCGTCCGAGTCGCAACAGTTATCTATTGGTAAAGCAATTGTCTTTGGGTATCTCACTTCACGGAATATTTTTGACCGAGACTGGAGTTTGGCATCATATGAGAAACGGAGCAGTGTTAATATAAGGTTCTCAGGGGATTTTGTGATCCTTAGGCTTCTCTCACCTTCTTGCAGACCTCTGCATTTCTCACAGAAATATTTATTGTCCCCAATCAGCTTCTCTGGCTGAAGGTAGTGATCGATCAGATCGGACAGATCCAGACCAGCTTGCTGACCATTTGTTGGACTTCCATCTGAGGATGTGGATTCGACCTCTGGCTCTCCTCGTATCATATCTTTATCAAGACGAGCATCGGCTGAATTTCCTCCCGCCAGAGATTTCTGTTTTGCTTGGGGATATTCAGGGAAAGCCAGAGGTATGTCGGTGAAACTCTCGGTCCGACTCGACTCATTCTTACAGTTCAGACACTTAAATGTTGTGCACATATTTCCACCGAAGATATTCTGCACTAATGTAGGGTCTATTTCCTTTTCTTCAGCCGCCTCCTTGACCTTCTGTGATTTGCGGCTGAACTTCTTGCTGAGTGTGGACGTCTTCTCCTCCTTCTTCCGGATCTTCATGGTGTTGATCTTCAGCTGCTGCTCGTGCAGCTGGTCCAGGAGGAACTTGAGGAACTCAGAGCAGTCCTGCTGGAAGCCAGGTGTGAACCATGGAGGCCGGGACGCCTGCAGGAAATGCATTGGGGCATAGGCTGGCCGCTGGAAGGAACAAACACATGTCAACAACAGTACCTGCATTAGTGCAATCAGGGCTGCTGGGCACCCGATAAAGCTCTCATGGTACACCAGTAACCTGCCCCATTTTACAGCACTGTCTCTGTCCTACGACGAAACATAGTCTTCAGACTCACAATACATGAAAAAAGTTGCTGAGAAATGTACAAGTAACATGGTGTTTATTTAGCATTTGCAAGTTATGAAGTCTTAGTCGAGAAGGACCCAAGAGTAAGTATGGGTTTAGACAGCTTTTAGCAATATTCCTGCAAGATCATGCCAGGGGACACCAGAGACACCCACCACCCTCGAGAACCAAGGAAGTGATTCACTTTCATCTAATCATTTCATCATTTAACCTTTGGCAAATACAACAAATATCAGGAAAACCTTGATGAATAACTTATTGTTATCCTAATTCTCGATATAATGACTACAAAGTTTGATGTGATTACAGACCTGAGACAGAGAGAGGAAGGCAAACACTTCCTGGAGTTTGCCCATCAGAGTTTCCCCCAGACCCAATGTGTGACTCAACACATGCTGGCGAAATCTGCAACACATAAATACTGGCATCACTGGCTGGTAGTTACAGAAAATCCTTCAAATATCATTTAACAAGTGAATCTGGTTAAGTGTCCTCTTGTTCCGACACCATCAGTTATCTATCCACTAGTCCACAGCTCAATTACAGTTAGTGGTTCATGTTACAAAACTACATTGTGTGTGAAAACATGTAGTCCTCTATTTTACTTTGCCTGACAGCCTGACCATGACTATCCTCATCTTATTCAAAATGTGTCTCACTCATATCTTTGTTTTGTTTCCAACACTTTCGAGTTGACATTACAATAAGATTCTTAAAGCAGATCCACAAATTCTCTGTGACAATTTGAGTCTGTATTTAACTATGCTTGACAGTCTAGTGTGCCACAATACTCACTCATCACTGATGTAGAGAGCCTGAAGGATGCTGTTCATGTAGCAGGTGTTGCCGAGGTTGAACAGGCCGGTCTTGCCCGTGTCCGATCGTTCAGATATCTTGAGAGAGGGGCTGAGTCCGCTGACACCATGGGTGCTCCATCTCTTCTCCTCTAGAATGATGCGCACAGCTTCGCCTGATGGCTTGGGGTAACCCTGGGATACAGCAATCATATAATCACCAACTGCATCACTGACATTGGTGGTGGATATCAAGGATGTCAGGGTCCACAGATGTTACATTCTAATACCCAGATTGCTTGAGTGATGCTTATAGTGTTAAAGTATACAAGTTTTTAAGACTGTTTTACTATGATCTTTTTCTAAATCATGATCCTTGTTAAAAAGTCACTACACCATCAATTTGGCAACAATTGTATCTATTCCTGAAACATGCACTAGTGGTAAGTAAATAGCATAAGGATTTCAGATTTTGTCACATAGACCCATGTAAAGTCTCTCTTTTGAGGGTTTAGTGAATAATGTCAATGTATGTAACCATACTGCAAATTTGAACTTGTCATAACTTGTACAACTGTGTACTTAAATGTCAACAAACTGTAAACCAAAATAAGCATGTGTCTCTAAATTATATTTAATGACTGTATTATGGGCCTTGGGCCTTTATACTGAATAAATCTGTCTGTCTGACATTTTCACTATAAACCTGTTAGTCTGGAAATGAGATTTTCCTCAAACAGTAAACATCAATAAATTGTTCCAACAAAAATGTCTACCTTCACAGCGTCAAGGATTGGGTCGTAGAGGTCAGGGAAGCCAGCATGCAGCTGCATCAGGGTGTGGAGGAGCTCCACTGTGCGGATGAAGAAGTGCTGACTATCAGGACTGATGTCCTGCTTCATGGCCTGCAGAATCTGGGGCATCATGGGTAGGATCTGCAACACACCAACACAACCTTCAGGATCTCTTACTATAGCAGTCCCGTAAAAGGCGACTATGCTTGTCGTAAGAGGTGACTAACTGGATCTGGTGGTCAGACTTGCTGACTTGGTTGATGCATGTCATCGATCCCAATTGCATGGATCAATGCTCATGATAATAATCACTGGATTGTCTGGTCCAGACTTGATTATTTACCGACCGCCGTCATATAGCTGGAATATTGCTGAGTGCGGCGTTAAACAACAAACCAACCAACTACTATAGCAGTCATCATGGTCATGGGATGAACCCACCTTCTGGACAATCACTTTGGTGAATGTCTTCCTACAAAAGTACATTACTCCATAACGTTAACCTAGACATTTTTAAACACAAACAATTTCACCAGGAATAACATTGTCTGCAATGTGGGATATGGCTGATTCTGAAATAGTCTGTTGGCATGGATGTCACATGAGTCAAAGAATGGTCTCTGAATATATACAAATTGTCATTCATAACATCTTCAGATGATCACTGATGATCTTTCCCAGTGTTGGAAAGACCTGGCACTAGTCCTTAATAAAGTCTTAATGACTTAAGGTATCCATAGGACTAGTAAATAATACATATATTTTGAAGGATTCCCTATACCGTAAACTATGCTAACGAACATGCTCATAACAATCTGTGTATGTGCTGTATATATGCTTATAGTTATAATGAACTACAGTCATAACACACTAAACTTAGTGGTCACCTGTGTTCATTATAACCGTAGTTAACTGTATATGCATCATAAAGACTAGTGAGTAAAAAGAGTTTGTTTCTATGATCACTCAGTGAGCTGAGTTTCATGCCAAGTTGAACAGCTTAATGACGGAGGAGCTGGTTGTAGATGTGTACAACTTATTTGAGACCCAAGAGCAGAGGTAAGATGCTGACAAACCAATTCTGGGATTCAATACAACTCTCAGTTGAACCTCGAAACTACAGCTAAGAGACACAATTGCACATCAAATTACATGCCACTGGGACACACAAATTGTCTCCAAACTTGGGATAACTTGAATGACCTGCTTGTATGATGTCATAATGAAACTGTAATGTTACCTTGTGGAAGGGTTCTGGAGCATGCTGGAAACTGAGCAGCATGTGAGCCAGGATGTTGAAGCTGGCCTCTCTGAGGGGAACATATTGAAGCTTCTCGGCAACCTGCAGCACAAACAAATACAACTGAGAGAATGCTTATCAGAGCGTCAGCCAAAGTCAACTTTTCTTCAAATATACATAAATTGTACATGAACATTATTATATTCAAAGATGACATTCCTTTTCAAAACTATGATAAAAATTATCAATATATTCAAAAGGTTACATCATATTTCTTCAGCTTTTTGATGAGGCCATGTCACCGACAGCATCTTTACCTGTAGTTAACGTATGATACACCAAGGTCACAGATATGTTTTCCAAAAAGATATTCAACTGAGTCTTACAGGGTTTCAGATTGATTCGTTTTCTGGGACACTAACTGATTGTCATGCACAATGTCTGAAAGATTTGTTCAAAATTGATAATGATCAATGTCCTATCAAAGTATGCAAAAATCATGAAAATGTCCTGAAGACATTATGCTCTAGCAAAATCGCTGCCTCGTGGTAAGGACAAAACCATTGGGACCAATTGTGCAAGGGAATCTCCCGGAAGACCTTCCTCAGAGACACTCCCAACTCACCTGTTCCACCTTGTTGTCTGTGACTGTTATCAGAATGGTGTACTTTTTAGCAGCTGCCAACTCTTTGAGGAACATGATGACCCACTGGTCGATATTCCTGACCGTTGGCCAGGTGAGCCAGTCAATCATCCTCTGTACAGCAGATGTCATACTGAAGTCATCAATGATTGGATCACTGATGGCATTCTTCACCACCGAGCTGGCCATGTCCAGTGGGATGAAGCTGACGACCGCACCAAGGCAGAAGCAGGGGTCCAAGTCGTCGGGTGTTGATATGATGTTGAAGATGGTCCTCAGAGAGTCCATGATGCAGTCCTTGTTGTTCTGGGACCAGATGTGATGCAAGAAATTACCAATTCGTGTTGCGTCTTTCACAAAAGTGATCATCTCTGGGGCTGTTTCTGGTATGGTTGCCATACTCATTGCATGAAGGATGGTGACACAGAACTTACTGGTGAAGTCACCCTTCGGGATGCATTCCTTGAAGTCTTCTAGAAACACAATAAAGTTATTCAGACATTTCAAGTCTGTGTGTTCCTGCACATAGCTGATGGCCTTAGCTTCTATGACCTTGAAATGTGCCTGAGCCGTTGCAGTGTCTTTCAGCAGCCTCATGTTTTCATGAAGCAGAATAGGCACATTGGCCTCATTTCTGTACTTGCCCGACAGGAGGTTGACGAGATATTCCCTGTTGAAGAATGATTCAGCTGATGCCATGTTGGTCTTTGCCCATTCAATGTAGACCTTGAAGCCAGATGTAACCACCAGTTCCGACTCTCCATTGAGTGTCCATCCTGCTGCCAACTCCAGCACACAGGAGATGACGCTTGGAGCCTGCTTCTGTCCCTTCACTGCCACAGCATCGATGAGCTGTTTCTTCATCGGCTCAGGATGGTTGGACGAAATGATTCCTTGCAGAATTCGGTCCATGTTGTCAAGGTCATGCTGAAAACATCAAGAATACATCAGAACATATCATCTCTTTAGATCATCACAGGATTTGTCCAAGTACATTCATGGCATGTGTATGCACAAAGAGTATTTATTTCTTATAAATATTGAAAATCGCTCCTTTTTCCAGGATATAAATGTAGCTATGCACACTTAACACACAATAAAGAACACAGTCACACTATCCGATAAAACATAAGTCCTGTCTTGCAATGCTGAATATGAAGCATTATGCAACAGACATCATCAGTGAGTATGTATGTACATGACAATGCACAAGTTATGTCATGGCATATTAATTCATGTGGCCCAAGGAGCTGCTTAAGATTATGTCCCTGCTTTACTATGAAATACTCTAATGTAACTCACTGAAACATTTCATCAAGACCTGTCAGTTACATGGTTCATGCAAGTGCAAGGACTCAAAGCAGTATCTGGGCCTTTGGCCACTTTTGCTAAAGGGTCTTAATCTATGCACCCCTTAACATTCAACTTTAGGATTATGACAGAATACCTTGACTTTATCCCTAATTTAATATGATGCACTTAACATTCAACTTTAGGATTATGACAGAATACCTTGACTTTATCCCTAATTTAATATGATGCACTTAATCAAAAAGGGAGTTAACTCTGGGGTTACTATTGCTTGCATGATTAAACACGACCTAGTCACAATTCAAAAACTTCTCATTGTTTGCATTAAAAAACCATACGCCCTTATACTATCAATAAAAGTGACAAATGCGCTTACGAAATGCGCAGCACAGGTTGCGAACTAGTCTAGGTTTCTGCTATATCATCCGGGTACTCACGGGAAAAAACAATAACAAAGGCAACAACCAGTCCCGGGGAATTGCTTTAGATCAGTGCCCCTTTTAAGCAAACATCACACAGTCAGTGTTCATGAGTAACAGTGCAAAACACAATATAATGAGGTCACAATGGACAATTCATATCATATTTATCACTGAATGGCCAGTACTTTATTATTCGACCATGTTCTTTATACTTCTAACCTTTTGAACTGTCATATAACAGTACAATTTGACGGAGCTCTGGTTCATGTTTGGCAACTTATCATGCATAATCTTTCAGTTAGAGTGACAGTCATGCATAATTTGACCAGGAATTCGAGCCAAGAGTGTAGATTTGACCCTTCAGTAATGCAGTCAACCAACCCCTTCACCTACATTCTAGTCTGGATCTTTCCATTGTATAACACTAAACTTCTGCCAAAGCATGGACATACAATACCCAGGGTAATGATAGTACTATCCACACAACTAGCTCCAGCTTGGTGTGACTGCTCTACTTTTACAAACAATGCAGACAATTCAGCACTGATAACCTGCTTTATTAATTACTTCTTTGCTGACATAGGAACATTAATTTTGTTAATGACCTGAGTTAAAGTAAAGATCTTGATTCAGGGATGGATTATGTCGAGTTGTCAGACATAGGTAGCATTTCAGGTCAGCTGGCTGTATACTCAGCATGGAGTCCAGTGTTGCCGGCCCACAATGACAAGTTATCTGGTAACTTCAGCCTAAATACCTCCACATCCAGGTAGCAGTGGAGAGGTGTCTTATTTAATGGTGCTGGCTTGAACATGAATATACAGCACACATGTATCTGGTTCTAATACAATGAAATAGTTTGTAAATATTTACCAATAAAAGTTTAATTGTACAAGTGCTGTACAGCAAGTATTTGTGTATCTGGTTAAATACAATGAAATAGTTTGTAAATGTTTACCAATGAGAGATTAATTGTACAAGAACTATTCTACAATTATGAGAAACCTAAAGGTGGGACCCGCAAGTCTTTTGATAGGAGACTTCTGTTTGACATTCTGTGGACTTCTGTCAATCAAACTTGTAAAGAGGGACTGTCAAGTTATTCTGTAGCAGTGTGTGGTGGGGCTGGACCAAGGTGGAGACGGTCACACAGTTACTATACTTATTTCAGGTATGCCCTCCAGCATATCAGGGATTAATCTTTGTCTAGCAGTTCACACAGGTTTTATGTCTTAACAGCCGTAAATACTTTTATGAATTCAAACCGATATCATCAGGCTGCTAGGCTTTGGCCTCTGTGGTCCTGTTACTAAGCTGCAGTTCACAGCTAAGGAGGGGCGTATGCTATGTAGGAGTTGTTGCTTAATGTTGACTTACAACAGGGAATATAGTAAATGTATGATTCAGGTAGCTATGTAAAATCGTACAACAAAATTATAATGGATAGCTTAAATCAATATAATTCACATGGGTCTTTCAACATCTTGTAGAAAGAATTGTTTTCACAGGAATGTTCCATGTCTTTATTTCCTAGACTATAGTATTATTGCAATGAACAATAATCATTGTTAATCATACACAAGATAGAGAGTATCTCATCCCTACTAAAAGCAAGGAACAACCTTATTGTCCTATAAAAGATGAATTACAGATTGCACAGCTATTTTTGAAAATATATCCAGAAGTCAGTCTTGAATCAGATGACACTTTACACTTATGATCTCCATTGTACCAAGACAAAACGTCTCAGGTTTCAGATTGGTTCAACCCGTGAAGATCCAGGTTAAACTAGGTCTTGAAGCAATGCATGCTTGTCGTGAGAGGCGACTATGCTTGTCGTAAGAGGTGACTAATGGGATCCGTTGGTCAGGTTTGCTGACTTGGTTGATGCATGTCATCAAATCCCAATTGTGTGGATCGATGCTCATGATGTCTATCACTGGATTGTCTGGTGCAGACCCGATTATTTACAGACCGCCATCATACAGCGGGAATATTGCTGAGTCCAGCGTTAAACAACAACCAAACAAATAAAGATTTGTTCTTTTTCAAGAACATTGATGGATTGTCCTCCAAAATGTCCTATAAGCCTTTTTTCAAATGATAATGCCCTTGAAAAATGTCCTACTTAAAATGTCCTTACACATTCATATCTAGCAAAATCTATCGCTGGAAGGTCATGCCAATGCAGAACTGGACCAACAAGATTGAATCTCATCCTTGTTACATATATTCATGAGGTCCCAATGACCTTGAAGCTGGCTCTTGCGAGGGCTAAACAATGATGCAGGGTAACATGTTTTATTCAATAAAACTTCATACAAAGCTTAAGATTATTCTCAGGTCCACCAGAGTAACACCTCTCCCCACGCCGTGGGGAACACAGCAGGTGCACTGGTCATCCATGGGGTCGCACACAATGCTCAATACAACTCACTGACCAGCCATCACTGACATAACCTTTGTGTGGCAATGTATTCAATAGAGACGATTATCAATGTGTTCCTTGTAAAGAAATCCTTGAGAGAAGGTTAGAGGTATTAGTACAAGCACAATAGGAGGGTTGACAGGTTCAACAAAACATGGCCCAACTGGTTGCCATTTAATTATTCTGACATTAAACAATCTGACCTGATAATTCACTTGATGTTCTTGTTTGAGGGAGGCTGCAATTACTGTTTTCATTAAGCGACAACTGAGTACAAAACAACCACTTTAACATAGACAGGCCTTTTCAACACCTTTGACAGTTTGTTGGATACTTACAAACAATCAACACGGGTTCAAAATGTAGAGTGCGTTTTGGTATACTTTGCTTGGTGTGATGGGTAAAGTGTTCAAATACCTTTCAACAGACTACTCCATAGACACCATCAAAGAAGAAAAATGTTTTGTTACTTTTCAAAAAGTACTTATTTACAGAGACCTTAATGCCTTAATGCATGTGTTGACTGTTTGTAATGCATTACACACCTTTATACATTCTAGGTATTTACTCCAAGTGAAGATATTCCACAGTGATATTACAAAGACATCACAACTCTTACAAGGACACCATCAAAGAAGAAAAGATTTTTTTTTTTCAAAAAGTACTTATTTACAAAGATGCTTAATGCATGTGTTGACTGTTTGTAATGCATTACACACCTTCTTTATACATTCTAGGTATTCACTCCAAGTCAAGATATTCCACAGTGATATTACAAGGACATTACAACTCTTAACCCATGTGGAGAATTAAAACTGTAGTCCATTACCATTCCAACTACGGTAAGTGCCCAAGGATGAAGTGGAATATATAGTATAAACACCATGTTTCATACAACCTGCATCCGATTTTATACATTACTACTTCATACTGCATCATCATGTTTCCCTCCCCATAGGCCTAATTTTATTTTGTATTTTTCAAAAACTTTTGAATATACTATACATGAAAGGGTTTACTGTTGCAGCAACTGAGATTCTGAGATATAAAATCTTTCTCCACACATCACTGCCATGTAGGATGCACATCAAGTATCAGATGATGGATTAAACCCTGAGGCAGTGGTTGTATTGTAAATCACAAAATCTAACAATACAGATGTGTGTCCAGATGACCTGTGAGGTGACCAGTGTAAACCCTAATGGCTGATGTACATTGGTCATATCGGGTTACATCACTCCCATGTTATAGCTCCAGGGCTTTCTGCAGATTGCATGTCAAGGTCTTCGCCACAACCAGTCCTACTGGTCCAAGGCTACACAGAGGATTACTGAGCTCAAATACCTTAAAAGCTCATGTTAATTCGGAAATGTTTTAGGGGTCTTTTAAAGTAAGGAAAGGCTTCATTATCAGTATTCAAAATTAAGGATGCAAGTCAAGGGATCCTTGTCATGACCCCGACATTAAAAGCTTAAAATTAAGAAGGTCCCTAGATTAAAAGATTATAGCAGCGAGCCTAAAAACATCTCTCAATCCCACTTAATTTCAAACAATTACAATTATAGACAAGTATTTGTCACAGAGTGACGAAATATCCCCCGCCTGTACACCATAGTACCAAATATGAAGACAATCCAGCGATTAGTTCTTGAGATATTGTGGCAACACCGTTTTCCAACTCCAAAAACAGATTTGCCTGCTGTGACCTTGAAAATGGGGTCAAGGTCACCAAATCTGACAGGTGTATGTGGTGTCTGTATATACAC